CTGGTCGTAAGACATGCTGAAGAAGACCGGGTCTCCCTTCAGAATACTTTTGAATACTGGCCATAGCTTCGCTAGGAATATGGGGTAGCTTGCGCCCGAGCATAGGGGCTCAATGCTGTCTCGTAATTCGGTAGCGACATTGGCTCGGACTTTGACATCTATTAAGATAACGGGATAGTTAGCACGGAAGTTGGACAACGATTCTAGCTGGCGCAAAGCTCATCAACCTACCAAGCTTCTCGTCGCCGAGCTTGCTGGCGTAGATATCTATGTTTCGCTCCATCGCTTTGATCTGACCCTTCTCAAGGGCGGGCGACTAAATGGAAAGAAACAGCAATTACGGCCGGGCCGAGTGGCCGGCTGAGGAGAGCGGAGTGTGCGCAGTCTTCCCGGGGGGGGAATTGGGCTCTCATATGTTGTGTTGTGGTGTCGCAGAAGCTGTGTGGACTGGGTCGATATGCGAAAAGATCGGAGACGGCAGAACTTAAACGAAGGAAATCATCAAGTCATTGGTTCTTCAAGGAAAACAAACTGCCTAGTCCATTTAAATAAATCAAGTCCGGACAGCAAATGAGGGAATCGAATTACCCCGCGGGGGAGGAGAGGCTGAGGGAGATGAGGAGAAAGTTGGGGATTGTATGCGGCGCGATATTCACGAGAGCAGAACAGAGGACGCGGGCTATCGCAGAGACCCCGAAAGAAACACTAGTCTGTATTAGGCAATTATATCGGGTGTGGTTGTTCCGCTCCGAGCTCCTTCCAGGTACAGCTCCGAAGTATAACTAGGGCTTCAACTACTTGAATCGAATATGATTTTGTATTTCTTATTTGTGAGATGATTAGATACCCATTGGTCTTGATCTACCTTTTTATCCGTGACCTCTTCTATGATCGGGATGAAATATAGGCTTCCTGCCCCATGAAGGTGAAACTTTGCTCGTACATAGGACTTTGGAGTCAGTAAGCACAGGCTGCGGGAGAAGTATTGCGCCCATTGAGTGTATAATCTGTTTTCATATAACCAAACAACCCAAGAGGAACATCTAGGCCTCATCTGCCGGTAGATCATAGCTTGGTATCATAGGTCGTAAGAAGCTTAAAAGCATAGTATGAGAGACCCGAGTTAAATATTGTACACATGTAGTTATGAAACTAGGAACCACTAAATCTACTCATGCATGTTCAGCTGGTTGTTTACCCTTGGAAGAGCTCTACTCACTGACAATATGTAGTTTAAATTTCGAGAATCGCGAAGCGTCGCTTGCATGCTGTGGAGTCAAAGTATATATCTACAGCATGTTGTATACAAGAGATTCGCCGCATATCATGACACACATATTATTGAAAAATGTTTATCGCCATAGCTTTTAGAACCCCATCAATGTAAAGACAGCAGTTTGTCCATTTATTGACTAAGCGAAGTATACAAAAAGGCCGTCAAAAGACCTCATCATACATACCTCCGAATGACGAGTGACGGTAATTACGACTTTATTACTATTCTCACTTTCCGTATAATATCTCTACTTGAAAGTATGCCTAATATAACATTTAGGACGGTAGACTAATATTTTGCCATGCTTATCCTGATATACAGTCACGAGCCCCAACTCTCGTAATCCAGGCACCCAACTCCGATTAGCCCCGCATTCAGGCGGCTCTGATTATTGTCCCACCTTAAACCAGATTGCTTCAAGATTTCAGGTGTTCTGTTCAACATGGACCCCCTTTCTATCATTTCGGCGGTAGAGCTCTGCTTCAAGTAAGTTACAGACCACAATCGGACTACTCAAACTGACCTTATGTCAGATATGGCACATATCTAGTTCAAATATGCAATGACTTTGCAAACGCCAAAGGAGATTACGCAGAGAAATTCCTCCGTGTGGAAACCTACTGGATGAGAACGGAGCTTCAGCTGAAGGTGGTGCAGAGTATTGCCCCCGAGCTCAGTGAGAAGCATCGGAGGATACAACATCAGACGATTGCAATGCTAGCCACCAAGTTGGAGATTGCTGTCAATAATCTTCAGTCCATCGTCAAGCGGCATCCTGTCGGGAAGCAAGAACTGGGTGTACGTCGGTGGAAGTATGTGCTCACGAAGGAAAGGATCGACAGCACCATCGAGGATCTCAAAGAATGGCAGTCACTATTCGATCCATCGTGGTATTTGATTATGAAGCTTGCAAACAAGAAGGTCGATTCTGGCCTGAGCACAAACCAAAAGATTTCTGCCATAGATTTCAAAGACCCGATAGCTCCTGCGCAGTCCCTCAGAAGAATCCTGAATCCGACACACCCCAACGCTCCACCTGTTCGCCTCTCCGCGGAATTTCTGATTTCCATTAACCCACAAAAAATACCATTTTGTTCAGCGGAGGCAGGCCGGAGACTAGAAAATGGTCAATCACTTATTGTGGAACGAGTCACACCTTTCCCAGGGGCCAATGTCGGGGACATCAATAAAGATATACGAGATCTCGCTAGACGCCTATCTGGGTCCGATGCCATGGAATTCGGTCTCCTTAGCTGCAAAGGATATATCCAACACCGCAAGCCCGGGTCTGATCGATCTACGCCAAATGCATTCAGCATTATCTTCCGAATGCCGACACAGCATGTTCAACCCCGCTCTCTCCGAGGTTGCTTCCAGGATATGTGCCATACCCACTCACTCTCAGACCGATTCAAGTTAGCGAACGAGCTTGCAAAGGCAGTGCATTCTGTTCACTTGTTTGGTTTTGTTCACAAAAACATACGACCAGAGACAATCCTACTCTTCGGAAGTAATGAATCCTCGATTGGATCTGCCTTCCTGATTGGATTTGACAGCTTCCGCATGGCCTCTGGCAAGACCTTGCGCAAAGGTGAAGCTTCCTGGGAACGATGCCTTTACCAGCATCCCGACCGCATAGGAATGGTTTCCTCCAAAGATTATATCATGCAGCACGATATCTATAGTCTTGGTGTATGCTTGCTAGAGCTAGGATTGTGGGAATCTTTCGTGTTATACGATAATTTGGCACCTGAAAGCAATGGAGATGCCCCAACACCTACTCGCTCCTCTATTCTGGGGATGGATCAAGGGTTATATTTCCAAAAGCATCTTCTCTTCTTGGCGCAAGGTGAACTACGGAAGCGAATGGGGACCAAGTATTCCGAAGTTGTTGTCACTTGTTTGACATGTTTGGACCCTAAAAATGTTGACTTCGGAGAGGAAGCCGATTTTGAAGATGATGATGGCATTGAAGTGGGTGTTAGGTACATTGAGAAGGTATGTTGCTTCTACCCTAATCCCATGAAAAATCGATCTCTAACACATTATCGGGAAAGGTGATGATGCGACTAAATAGTATGTGCGTTTGAGTCCATAGTTCCAATCTGATAGAGCATCCTGGCAGAAAAGGAAAAGGGGACAGAATACATGTGTTCGTGATATACACTAAAGCAGCAACGTGTGTAAACTGGGGACAAAGATTATTTGTTCACAAGTCCTTGCATCACCCCACTAATCGTTCGGCGATTCCTTTCCTGTATCGGCTCTCCAGAGTCTAACCACGCCATCGTTGATGGAAGAGCATGCCAACAAGTTTCCATCGGGGGAAAACACCAAATGCCGATCATCCCGTATGCCACAAGGATATTCGTCAATTTTGCGAATGCCAGAGAGTTTAAAAGTTTCGTTTTCGGATTCAACACCACCCCAGAGAATAATTGTCCCGATCCTAATATGTTCCAACGGTGTTTCCCCGAGGTACACACAGGCCGCTATAACCTTTCTATTGGGAGAAAAGGCCAAAGCACCGACTTTGAGATAATTTAATTCAAATTTAAACCAATGACTCGGAGATTTCACATCGCCCGTATTCACACCATAGGGATGCAATTCTTTGCGGATGAGTCCGAATAATTTGGCCGCACAGTCGGTGTCTCAAGTTTGGGGGTGTTGGTTAACTCCAAGACATAAATACCGGTCCTATATGAGCAGGCTAGATATCTTCCGTCCGGGGAGAACTTCGGCTCTGCTGTTTTGAAAGCTGGTGGCGTTAAAGGAATGAAAGACTCCCCAGTCATAAGATCCAGGGTCCACACTCGGTTATCACCATGATACACCAGTCTTCTACCACCGGGGGCAAAGCTTAGAGACACATAATTGTTGGATGTCTCAATTTGAACACCTTTTGGCCTTGATCAATATGCCAAATTTTGACTTTTTGAGACGAACAAGCCACAAGGCTGCTATCTAGTGAGAATGCAACGAATTCAACCGTTGGCTCCACGTGGAAAATCTGCGAGGGTGATTTAGCCCCCTAGCGACAATCCAGGACATCAGCTTGGTCCTGCCATTGTCGTGCGAGCTGCGGTTCCGTCCAACGTATTCCAAAGCATTACGTGTGTGCCATCAGGAATAAGATACCATTCACCGGCGAGAAATCGACCTGTAATTCGATTATGCACTATAATATGCCACTTATTACTCCGTAAAGAAGGGTTGTGGTGAGGAAAGACTTTAAAAATGCTCCGAAAAATGCTCCCTTATTACTTATCATGGATGATACATCAGATTGCGAAGGTAAAATACTGCATACTGTATAGTTTCCTTTGGTACCTGCGACCATAAACTGTATCCTCAAGTCACATTGAAGCAATCTGGGTACTCTGCAACCTTGGCGTGCTTATAACCTCAATAGCACAGATCACCCTCGAGTGAAGCTTTTGTCGCAAGATCATGTACATCCCCCTTACAAGCTGGATGCAATCATATGGCAACCTCAGCTATTTAAATCCTTGGTGCGGCCAATGAAGATTGTAACTTGAGGAATGCATGACAATTACCGGATCTTAAAATTTTGCACGTATAATCGATCCCCTGCAGGACAATGTTTTGGTCTCCCCTTTTCTGTGGAATGCCAAACAAGAAATGAAACGTTGAAAAGACATATGTCCCCACTTTCTAATCTTGTGTCCATCATCCATTCAATCTCGCCCAACCCACACCAATGGAGAAGATATCAAGTAATCCCCCACCGCAGGAACTCTTAAATGATGGACCCGATGAAGGGGATTCGTCATCTTGCCCTCCGGCCAGCACCTGGACGGTGGTCTATCTCACTATTGCGCTCTGTCTCGGTGTTCTTTGCATGTCGTTGGTAAGTGAAACATGGTATACAGCAGCTAACGGCCAAAACAACGGTCCATTAAGACTGACTTTGCCCAGGACGTCACCATCATCACAACGGCAATACCTCGCATCACTGATCAGTTTGACTCACTAAACGACGTGGGTTGGTACGGCAGTTCCTTTCTCCTCACAAACTGCGCCACAACCCTTGCCTTTGGCAAGTTGTATACATTCTACTCCACAAAATGGGTGTACCTATCCGCTCTCTTTCTGTTTGAACTCGGTTCTCTTGTCTGTGGAGCTACTCCGACCTCTGTTGGCTTGATTCTGGGTCGATGCATCGCAGGTACGGGTGCTGGGGGTATCTTCTCCGGGAGTCTCTTGATTATGGCCCAGACTGTTCCTTTGCACCGTCGCCCAATCTTCACGGCCTTGCTTGGTGCTATGTACGGCATTGCTAGTGTCGCGGGTCCTCCGTAAGTTGAACCCGTTGCCTTATTCTCTCCTGTATTCTAACCGGACTAGATTGGGAGGCGCGTTGACAGATCACGTCTCTTGGCGTTGGTGTTTCTATATCAACCTGCCACTCGGTGCTATCACAAGTATCTTCGTCCTGTTTTTCTTCCATGCCCCTGCTCCAGTCAAAAGACGCCCTGACTTCCGCAAAATGCTAGGCGAACTGGACCCTCTGGGCACGTTCTTTTTCCTACCTGCCATCATTTGTCTTCTTCTGGCCCTCCAATGGGGTGGTGCCCAATATGCTTGGAATAACCCCCGGATCATTGCTCTGTTTGTGCTCAGTGGTGTTCTCCTAATTGTCTTTGTGGCTATTCAGGTCCGCCAGAATGAAAAGGCCACACTTCCACCGCGTATCGTCTGCAATCGCAATATCTGGTCGGCAGCCTGGTTTACCATTACACTTAATGGTGCTTACTTTACCTTCGCTTACTACGTATGTCGAGCCTCAAGCAGTCCCGTGTCCGCTAAAGCTAACTTTGCAGCTTCCTATTTGGTTCCAGGCAATCAAAGCGGCCTCGGCCACCAAATCAGGTATAATGAACTTGCCGAGTATTATCGCAGTCGTTATCGTCTCCATTGTATCCGGTACTCTCGTCACTATCTTCGGCTATTACAATCCCATCATGATCATGGCCTCTTGCACATTAGCAGTTGGTGCGGGTCTACTCAGTACCCTGAATGTAGACTCGGGGAGTGGCGAATGGATCGGCTACCAGATTCTAATGGGAATGGGGGTTGGATTTGGATTGCAACAGCCATTTATACTGGTGCAGAATGTACTAGCCGATGAAGATATCCCTATTGGGACAGCCGTGGTGACATTTGCACAGACCCTGGGAGGTGCGATCTTTATTTCGGTGGGTCAAAATATCTTCCAGAACCAATTGAGGAAAGCCATGCACCTGGAAGATCCCTCGGTGGATATCGCCAAAGTTCTCGCGGCTGGTGCGACGACTTTGCGCAAGAAGCTTCCAGTTGAGCAGCTGCCAGCAGTTCTTCGATCCTACAATACCGCTATTACCCAGGCATTTTACGTAGGCGTGGCTTTGGCAGCGCTTTCCATTTTAGGGACCATCGCGTTGGAATGGAAGTCCATGAAGAAGCCGAGAAACACTACACCTGCACCCAACGGTGACGAGGCGAGTTGAATCTAGTTGTGATGAAGGTGTGATTCCGAGGGTTACGTATATTGGATTTCGGGCCACGCTCTATCAATTTCCCTTCACGTCCTATGTCTTTCATACTTCAACATTACAATAATATACTTTGTCATGATAGTATGTACTGGCTATTAGCATATCCAAACACTTGACCTGGAAATTCAGAGTCTCCATATGGACACTGCCTGGCACACCCTTTTATACATCTGGCTTCTGTACCAATCGTTCGACTTCATCCAGCCCCGCCATGTTCCTGAACATGCTATCAAGTGTACCGAATGGTAGCATACTCCCAAACCGTACCAGCCAAGCTTGGTTGCCCCTCCAAACATTAGGGGCGCTGCTGTTTAGAAGGTCCATCACGACCAGTTTTGCCCATTGCTGGGAAGACATACCAGCACCCTCGACAATGGTTCCCCGAATCGTGCGCTCTACCACTCCCTTCGCCTTTTCATAGATCGATCCGGCTGGCAAAGAAGCTGTGTCCTCCTTTCGTTGATTCTTTTGGAAATTCGATTCGACAACGCCTGTTTTGAGGTCCACAACCCTGATACCAAAGGGCTTGAGTTCCAGTCGCTCTGCATCCGAAAATGATGCAAATGCAGCCTTTGAGGCATTGTATACAGATTGAAATGGCCCTGGGCAAAAGGAGGCACATGACGTGTGGTTGACAATCATTCCCTTTGATTTCAGCAGCAACGGCAGGAACGCTTGGGTGACTGCCAAGGGGGACCAGACGTTCAGGTCGAATATTTTCTTGGCCTCTGAGATTGGAATGTCGGACACTGGCATACCGTAGCCACCACCGGCATTGTTGACTAGGATATCTAGTTCGGGCACGTGGCTAAGACACTCCGCAATTGAACTCTCCGACTGCACATCTAAGCGAAGTGTCTTAATGCCTTGCGATGTCATCTCTGACATCTTCGAAGGGTCTCGTGCTGTGGCGTATACTTCCAGACCAGCTTCATGGAAGGCGATCGCAAGAGCCGCCCCTAGACCGCCATCCGAACAACCAGTTATGAGGACTTTTCGAGTAGACATTACAATTGCAGAAGGGGGTTTTGTTTAAATGATATTGAGGAAATCTGGAGGGTACGAAATGGTCTGACAAGAGAAGAGCATTTTATGTGACGTTAACCGAGCGGGGTAAAATTGGCTGAATATCTGACCTTTTGAAGAGAGCCCAAGTCTTTAGGTATAAGACACTGGCGAAGAACAAAGTATGTGATAGGGCTGCACATTAACTAAGAACTTTGAAAAATATCATACCAAGAAACCAGCCGAACTAGAAAGACCTTGAGTACCATAAAGTGGCACAGATTCAGTCATAAATCCAGCGCCATTCACCACTCCCAGGCTCCCATTGACACACCGGTCTCTATCGCTCTTTGTGGAGCGAAGCCATGAGCGCGATTTGACTCTCGTGGGCACACTGGGCTAATGTGCCAGTGGGAAGTGGCTTTTCACAAATAACGCCCATAGCGACCTTCAGGGAACATGGATTTTCCTTGTCAAGGATTGGTGACTTAGCAGTTCCTCAAAAGGGAGAGTAACCTGCACGGATGGAACCCTGTATAAGTCCCTTGCATAATGCGACATGTCTACTTCGTGCATTCCATAAGACCACGTACTCTGTACCTCGTATTCCGTACGTAGCACGAAATCACGGAGGCTGTTCAGCTGTACCACGGGCTCAGCGGGACTTTCAACGTGACTACATGAGGCATGTCCTTGCGTTCTACCGAAAAATAGAACCACGAGCTTGGCATTCAAGTGAAATATAGAGCCAGAGGTTGCACTTCGGGTGACCTTTGGATAAAGCTGAACAACTGCAAATCACATTTCTGGAAAACCACACATACTACCATACCACAATGACAGTATCTTCCACTATCGATGGTCTCAAGACCTCTATGCTAGCGGTCGCGCAAACAGCAGATATGCCCCATCGTACGCTCAGCAAGTCGATGACTTTTGCCAATCTGGATCAATACCAATACTGGCATGCCGTCGGTTCAATGCTGGGGAGAATGCTCTCCAACGGCAACTACTGCATCCATAAGCAATATGAATATCTGTGTCTCTTCGCGCATGTTATAATTCCAAAGCTGGGACCGTTCCCAGGCGGAAGGGACATATACAGATGTTTGCTCGGGGGCACCGGTTCCGCGGAGCTCAGTCAAAATGTCCAGAAACTAGGCCGGACTGCACGGGTTGCATTCGAGCCTACAAGCTACATCGCTAGCACAGGAGTCGACCCGCTTAACAGACACACGGTACATGCTGCCCTGACTGAATTGAGGACTATCGGGTCTGCCACGATTGACATGGAACTGCATCAACTACTCGTCAACGAGCTAACTTTGACGGACCGAGAGGAAAAGCTCATGTCTCCGGAACAAATCTCGGGCACTGCGTGGAAGACGCAAATTCTGCTTGCTTTGGATTTGGGACAGACTGGTATTATGGTCAAGGAGTATTTCTACCCGGCACTTAAAGCTTCCGTGATAGGAAGAACCGTGGCTGAGTTGTGCTTTTCTGGTATCCGGAAAGTGGATACGCAAAGGGTTTTCGAAGCTCCGAGCAAGGTCATTGAGACCTATATGCAATCCCAGAGCCAGACAGACCTCTACTTCTTGTCCTGCGATCTGGTCGATCCAGCGCAAACTCGAATCAAGCTTTACCTGATGGAGCTAGACATGAGACTCGAAAAGGTTGAGGAGCACTGGACAATGGGCGGCAAGCTGAGTGATGAAGAAACATTGCTTGGACTGAAAATGTTGCGAGAGCTGTGGGTGGAGTTTGGGATTATAGAGGGCATGCGGAATGAGCCGGAACGGCCATCGCTGCCTGGAGATCCTGACACCATTGTTCCCTTTATCATGAACTACGAGATGAATCCCGGCGAGGCATTACCCAAGCCTAAATTTTATTTCCCTTTGGTTGGCATCTCGGAGCTGAAAATCGCCAATGTGCTAACTACGTTCTTTGAACGCTATGATATGCCTGAGCAGGCTGCAGTGTATCGTGATAATCTGCAGACATATTAGTGAGTGACTTCTTTTGACACACATTTCTGCAACGTTAATCTGACTTGTGATATCAGCCCCAGCAAGGACTTGGCTGTCGCAACGGATCATCAGGCATGGCTGTCCTTTTCGTACACCAAGAAGAAAGGACCATACCTTACCATGTACTACCACTAGGATTTTGGAACACATCACCACGGCCTCGATAGTGTGTCATGAGAAGCATAAATGCAAGGACAATTTCTTTTATGTGATTTAGGGCATCTTAGCTAGCCAGAATGAACAATGATTCATGTCCTTTGGGATTACCGTTTCCATGAAATCAATTTACCTATAATTGTTTTGCAGATATAAAAAGCTGATTCTTGCTCCTTGTATACCGAAGGTAACTAAGATGGGGATCGGGGGTTTCTATGGCTTCTTTGCACTGATGACATGGTTGAATCTTCGCATCCGATCCTGCACTCCTGCCTCCTCCAGGATCCATTGAGCCTCCGGGTCCCCTGCGAGCAAGTTGGTACCAAAGCATGCCAGGAATGCAGCTAGTCCAGAGGGCTTGGGGGCGATCTAATATCCGAGCACATAATCCCGTGTCTTGCTGTGCACGCCGTCTGCGCCGATGACGCAGTCAGCTGAGATTCGTTGCTCGCTATTGACAGTCACCCCAGCTTGAGGCTGCCACATCGTCAGATTGGGAGATCAGGTGACGCAGTACCTCGCCGTTATCCCAACTTTGTAGAACCTTTGGCTATCTCCTGCTCCAATCAACACATGAGCCATCGACAGTTAACTTGATATTACAGAGCTTACCGAGTACTCTAATCTCAGGGCATCTCTCAAGGGCAACTACCACATGCCCCCTGCCATGGCACTCAATAGCAGCGACTAGACCAGCAATCCCGGCTTGACGATAATCACTTCGATCCCACTGGAACGGGGCACTGCGACTCCATTGGGGCCAACGCCTTGTGTGACCGTCATCCTAATGCACTTGATTACAGTGCTAACTTTGTGGCTTCCGAGTCAGTATGATCTCCCTTTATGGCTACTTGGCCGTCGATCCGTACTACAGCAGGATATAGCTATGTATACTACTACCTGGCTATTGTGGGCTATATGGCAAAAACACGTCCGCATTCCTCTGCTTGCGCTCGTACTGAGCAAAACCTGCTTCGGGGATCGACCAATGCGTTCCGATCATACTGATGCAACTTGTGTTGCAGTAATCATTGAATGAAGTATATGGCACGTCAGCACAGCACTGAAAAATGAGACCATGGAATCAATCCCCGCAAACCGTCACCTCTGATGTACCGGTGACATTCAGGCAAGGGGGCCCGAGAAATGCTGCAAAATATCGGAATATGTAGGTTTATGTAAATAGTTACATACAATATGCAATGAATGCATTGTGGGTAAGAATTAAAGAAAGTGCTAGTATACTCAAAGCTGCCGATCCGGGAGCGCTTCCAGTAGTACGGATCTCACGGGTCAGGTTTGATGCAAGGGGGGTGCCACGGGGGTGCCACGGGGGTGTCTATGCAGTAAGAAAATGCCTGCAGGCGATCAGATGCTACCTCGCATCTGATGCATTTCAGCTGGTCTCAAATCAAAAGTCAATCGAAGGAGCGGATAAAATATCCGTGAATATGGATCCACAAAGGCTACAGGGGCCGGGCGACCTTTGATTGGTTAAGATAACTCTAGTTCAACATCAATTTCCACTATATAGATCCAGTGGTTGCAGTGGCTGCAAAACTAGAGTTCAAGGTGAGGCACATGAACATATCTATGGATCGTTCTCTAAGAATCTCGTGTCCCGATCTAATTCCTGATTTCAATAAGCTGGGGATTGTTACCTGTTTCTTCCGTCCTACGGCTTGTGCAGGTGGGTCGACGTCTCATTGAGTACGACCATCAGCTAATATGAACACCTCGAAATTTTGAGGCAAGCTTCCAAGATACAAATACTTTGCCCTATTCATTTAATTGATACGAAATGGGACTTGTAAACCGCAGTAAACGCCATTTCCTACAAGCGTAAGACCAGCGAAATACTGTGACAAGGTTCCGAGTTAGGATACAATTGACAACTGAGGAAAATGGGTTCAATGGATCCGTTCGTGTATTTCAACTAAGTAAATCTGATGTTAACCTAAAATAGAAAATGAAACATGTACTACAGGGACTCCAAGATAATCTCCTGCTCGGCAACCTTGAACCAAGCTTCGCCTCGTTTTTGGGCGCCCTTCTCATCCACAGCAGATTGTCCAGGGGATTTCACCTGATAATTCTCGACAGTGTACGCAACCAATACCTTGAGAATCGTGTCTGCCAACGCTTGTGCAATACACTGGCGGGGCCCAAACCCAAAACGCCAAAAGCGATACCGAAAGCTGGACCTGGATTCCTCTAGAAAGCGGCCTGGACGGAATGTCATTTTGTCAGAGCCCCACGCGTCATCCCAGATATTCAAGGCATTGGTGTCGACTACCATGAAAGTTCCACGGGGAATGCGGTATCCACCCACGTCCCGGTCAGTGGGCATGGATTGCGCGTAGGTGTAGTTGGTGACTGGTTTCAACCTTGCAGATTCGTTGATGCAGCTCGCTAGCAGGGTTGAGTTACTAGCAATGTATTTTACCCAGGAATCGGCAGTTGTGCTAAGTCGGGTTTGTGATATCTCGTCTCTCAGCTCAATCTGGAGACCTGCATTCTCAGCCAGGAATTGGGGAATCCAGGAGAAGCTCCCAATGGTTACGTCGATATTGGCAAACAGCGCTTCGTCCAATGTGTGCATTAGCTCAGTAGATGTTATCTGGCCTTGCTCGACGGCCATATACAAGGTAACAATAGCACACGCGGAGGCGACCTCGCGGTTCTTTGCATATTGATACGCTTTCCGGTTGAAATCGGCCCAACGATTGTGGAAGACATGCAGCTTGTTCCTTATGGCGGGGTGAAATAGCTTGCTGATGGAGAATAGTGATAATCCACCCTTGAAGGCGTATTGAAACACATCGGTGCGCAGATCGGTGATGAGTAAGAGTTCCTCTATCATCTCCCGGCACAAGCTTCCGTATAGGAGGTCACTAATGACCCAGAAGGGCAGAAGCTTGAGATCCTCGGCAGGTTTAATTCGCAGGGTTTTCCCGCCTCCATACTCCATGTATAACTCTGAAAAGCGACGAGAGATGCGCGACTGGACAAAGGGAACGTATGTCGTGGGCTTCTGGGTAAATGGTGGGGATACTACAGCATGGACTCGCTTCCAGTGTCCTTGACTGATGAGTCCGACACCATCGCCCACTAGCTCACCCATCACCCATCCACCATTCAAGTTTGAAGCCTTGTAGTGGTTGCCAGAGTCTTTGAAGACTGTCTTGATCTCATCCGCGCGGGTCAGGATACTGTCCTTTCCTTTAGCTTGGGTATTTCATCTTAGGAAAGGGAGCTTACATTTCTGGCGTGAGGCCAACCCAGATACGATAGATCGGGCCATATCTCTCGCCCCACTGCCGTGAGACGTTCTCTCCCTCTAGGAACTTGATACTCCCTCCGCCATCTGGGAAGCTGTATGGGCAAGTCGGGATGGGTGTTGAGCCATCTGTCGAATAAATTGGGTACCACCACAGTAAAAGCCTCTATATTGTTAGAAGAATGAAAGTCAGCCGTGTTGTGTTGAGTTGATGTATCGTCGGGGTATTACCGACATTGATTATGTAGGAGACTACTCGATTCGACCAAGTATCTGGTGTAAATGCGTGCCACAAAGTGACTAGAAGTGATACAACTGCCAGCTGTAGCGTAAGAAGGATGTAACCCATCATGTTGAGCTGACGTTGGCAAGAAACAGTAGAAAGAAACGGTTTTGAATGACGAACTCGAACTGAATTTGTAATCGAGACCATGGCTGCCATTACCCCAATAGGTACGTCCGATGCATACAGTCGTATTCTTACTCCCACATGTGCGGCTGATGTTCCGGGACAACATCGCCAAGTGGCCAGAATCTTACATTTGTGGGTTTAATATCCATCGGCAAGGAAGAACCTACACAGTCGCATTGCGTTGATGCGAGCTAGCGCGTGGTGAACACAAATATGCAAGGAATAGTGGTGTCAGTCGCATATTTAGCCACGCACGAAGAATCACTGGGTGTTAGGTTCCCCTTGGCAGCTATTCCTGTTGCTGACAGCCCATTCTTGGCTATTTTGGGGGATATATCAGGAGAGGTCATTTGGGCTGAAGCATGAATCATACATGTATTCATTACCGTGGAGAAATCCTCATATTTAAGAGGAAGATTAGCCTCTTGCAATACTTGCCTACGATCGCCATGGGTTCTTATCATGATCATCATATCATTTCCCTTCTTTTGGCTAAGGAAGTGGAAGCAGCATGGACTGATAATGACGAAGCGTTGCTGCAAGCTCATCATCTCAAGGCATCTTGGGCTTTGTTGCTTGGCAGACTCTCAGAAACACCAACGACGACATTTGCAGTATTGGAACAACCGGCAGTCCCACCGAGCGATGCGTGTTCGAAATTAGTGCCTTCGGTTCCACATCTAGAGACCTGGGAGATATCAGACAGTCCGGATAGTCTCTTGGTAGATGTAGCGAAGCAAAAGCAAAGAGAGCCTCTTCCAGGGACACAGCCCTCAACGGGTGTGGTCATCAGGTGGCATGATGAACCGAACGGTCCGAGCTTGGTAAGTAGGAGTCCATAAGGCGTTGTTCGCACAATATACTAAGAGAGGCTTAGTTACCCGGCGCATTCAATACAATGGTGGTTTTGGACTGCAGTACATCGCCCGCCCAAATATCCATGGAATACTCAAGGACATCTCTCACTATGAACCAAGCATGGTCACAATTAACGGCAATGGTTCACATTTTGGAGCAAATGATTACGAGCCCAGGCGTATCACTGCGAGAGGTGGATTTCCTGGGCTCATATGGCATCGGGTTGATCCGACAATGGAATAACCCGTACTCACTCGCACGACCACAAGTGTGCATTCATACCTTGATCCTAGAACATTGCCGAAGTCAACCCGAGGCTGAGGCGCTGTGTGCTTGGGATGGTTCCATCACGTATGCAGAGCTTGGTCAACTATCACTCGCAGTCGGACTTCAGCTGCTGTCACTTGGTGTTGGCCCAGAGTCAGTGGTGCCGCTGTACTTCGAAAAGTCGCGCTGGGCCGTGGTCGCCATGATTGGAGTGCTAAGAGCGGGGGCTGCTTTTGTTCTTCTCGATCACTCTCATCCTATGGCTCGTCTAGTCGAGATTTGCTCAGAAGTGCAAGCAACAGTTGCCATCGCATCAGAGTCATTGCAGGAACTGGGTCAGCAGCTGGGCCCTCGGGTTATCACGGTCCTCGACACGATGAAGAATCACGTTGAGACTAGCAAAAATACCTTTACCGCATCTGTCAAGCCTTCAAATGCCGCATACGTCGCGTTTACTTCTGGCTCCACTGGAAAGCCCAAAGGGATTGTGATTGAACATCAGTGCTTCGTTGCAAATACGCTGGCCCAGAACGCAGTCCAGAATATCAATAGACAAACACGAGCATTTCAGTTTGCATCCTATGGGTTTGATAGCAGCATTCTTGAGACACTCATGACTTTGGTGGCGGGTGGTTGTGTCTGTATACCCTCGGACCAGCAGCGTCTCAACGGTCTGGCAGACGCTATCCGTGGGCTGCGAGTCAATTGGCTCGAACTCACTCCATCGGTGGCACGGTTTATAAATCCCAAGGAGGTTCCCGACGTGCGATCTGTCTTGCTTGTCGGTGAGCCCATGTCTCAAGACCACATCAAACAATGGTCCAGGACGGGGAAGGTCCAACTCCTCAACGCATATGGCCCTGCCGAGTGCAGTGTGGTAACCACTGTACAGCCCCATGTGCGGTTGGAAGATCCCCAAAATATCGGCCGTTCATATAGCAGTCACTGTTGGATCGCCAACCCTCAAGATCACAATCAGTTAGAGCCCCTGGGTGCAGTGGGGGAATTACTTATCAGCGGACCAATTGTGGCGCGAGGCTATCTCCACCAGCCCCACCAAAGGTCTTTCATCTCCAACGCTCGTTGGACAACGCGATTCGGGATTCCTCCAGGTGAACGCATTTATAAAACTGGAGATCTTGTCCGATATAACCTCGAGGATGGCACGCTGCGATATGTTGGGCGCAAGGACCGGGAGGTGAAAATCCATGGGCAGCGTGTTGACCTGCAGGAAATTGAGCACCATGTCTCTAAGTTTCAGAAGGGAATACTTGCAGTGGCCGAGGTACTTCAAGTCAACGGTAGCAGCGCGGGGAAACTCCTCGCGCTGTTCATTGCCACTGCAGATAATGGCGAGGCTCTCGTGACGAAGGAAAGCTTCATTGTCCCCATGAATGACAACCTCCTCGATTTGGTGACCGACATCAAACGCTGGCTTCGTGACTGTCTACCGCCATACATGATTCCAACGAAATATATATTCGTCAACCGATTCCCTCTAACGAGAACTGGCAAGCTCGATCGACGGGCCTTGGTTGATCTTGGAGCAGCATCCAGTCAGTCGCCGTCTGGAGAGCACCCGTCGAATCAGCGCGATAGAGAAGATGTCGAGCTGGATTCAGAACTTTTCTCGAGGGAAATTACCTTGTGTTCAGCGTTTGCTGAAGTATTGGGTTGCCCGGAAAGAAACATCGGTGCCCAAGACGGTTTCTATGACATGGGAGGGAACTCATTAGCTGCTATCGAGCTGGTAGCCCGTGCACGCAAGCGTGGTCTGGCGATAACCGTGGCGGATGTCATCCGTCTTCAGAATCCACAAGATATCGCGCGATGTACTGTGGAAAGTACAGAGGTTCATGACATCTTGCCATTCTCTCTCCTCGCGGATGCCGAACAGGGTCTATCCGCCGCGACTGCCCAGTGTGCCATTGAGAGAGAAATGATTGAAGATATTTACCCTTGTACCCCACTGCAAGAGGGCCTTATGAATCTGTCCGTCAAGAATCCAGGAGCTTTCATGGGCACATACCGGTTCTCGTTGGCTCCTTCTACCAACCTGCATCGGATATGGGCTGCATGGGAACAACTTTGGCTCGTACATCCCATCCTCCGAACACGCATGATTCAACTCCAGGATGGGCAAACCCTTCAAGTAGTCACCAAGCCCAAGTCCCCATGGAAAGATATCTCAGCCATGGATGATTCCCAACTCATGAACTTGGGGACCCCTCTCGCGCGTGTGACATTCCATTCTGGACAAACTTCCAGCGGATCGGACTCTGACATATTTCTGCTGACCATGCACCACGCTCTTTATGATGGATGGTCATATTTGCAGCTGCTCGAGGACCTCCAGGTGATTTACAACGGGGACAGACCGCCACCACGCCCGGGCTTCAATCATGTCATTCACTACATCTCCAAACCAAACGTTGATGACGCCCACTCTTTTTGGACGCAAGAGTTCAGTGGCTTCCAAGGAACAATGTTCCCTGTCTCTCCCCAACGGCCTTCGGCCTCGCCACATTGGCAAGTCAGAAGCCAGCAAACTATCCTGGCCAAGTCAGATATGGACTGGACCTTAGCCAATAAAATCAAATTAGCGTGGGCTCTCGTGGTCTCTTCCCAAACTCACTCACATGATGTGGTATACGGATTGACGGTTTCGGGCCGGAACGCCCCAGTTCCAGAGATCGATCGTATTGCTGGGCCAACTTTTGCAACATTTCCCTTCCGCACGCAGCTTGATGATGAGATATCGGTGAAAGATATGTTGATTCAGATGCGACACCATGACGTCTCCATCATGCTATTTGAGCATACCGGTCTCAGGCGTATCGCGGAGTCAAGCTCAGACGCAGCCCTGGCTTGTGGATTCCAGAATCTTCTTACCGTCAGGTTGCAATCTCTTCAGATTCCTCGGGGCGCATTTATTGCCTTGCCTGAAAACGAAGACCACGATTTTAAGTTTGCGTCGTATCCCCTGTCAGTCGTGGCCCAGCAGCAAGATACAATACTCGAGGTCAAGGCCGTCTTCAATAGCCACATTCTGAGCTCCGATAGGGCTGAGGCACTCTTAGAACAGTTTGATGCTTTGCTGCAGCGAATTTTCCAGAAGCCCGAGGCAACAATGAAGGACCTGAGGAGCCAGCTGCCTCCCGAGTGGGAGCAATTGGCGACGATGAACAAAAAGACCCAGCCTCACCTGCATTGCCTACACGATATTATCCAGGGCCTCGGCGCCACCCAACCAAACTCAGAGGCTGTCTGCGCATGGGATGGCTCCCTGACATATGAAAATCTTGTCACGTTGGCGCGGAGATTAGCAGGCCATCTCCAGTCTTTCGGATCTGGGTCGGAACCCAGTGCAGTGATCGGTATTTGCGTGGAAAAATCGAAATGGTTTCCCGTTGCCATCCTGGGCGTCATGATGTCTGGGGCCGCCATGGTTTTGTTAGAACCTAACTTCCCTGTACAGCGTTTGCAGCATATCTTGCGAGATGCCGGGGCGCGAACTATCATATGCTCTGCGGTATTCCAAGAGAAGTGCACTGGCATGGTCGACGATATATTGGTTCTGACTCCGGATATCGTGACCCAAGCGGACTACGACGCTTGGACTCCGCCAGCTGTGTCTCATCGAGATCCAATGTATGTTGCTTTCACATCCGGGTCAACCGGTGCCCCAAAGGGTGTTGTGATAGAGCATGGCATGGTATATTCGATGGTTCAAGCCCATAAGGACAGGATCGGCGCATCAATTGCGTCCCGGGGCTTGCTTTTCGCCTCGCCCGCGTTCGATATCTGTCTTGCTGAGATTGTCCTTATCCTCGGTGCGGGGGGCTGCGTCTGTGTGCCTTCTGAAGCCCAACGCCTGAGCAGCTTGGCGAAAACGATGACAGCCATGCAGGTCAACATGGCCATGCTGACTCCTTCGGTGGCGCGAACCCTTTCTCCAGCAGCGGTCCCTTATCTCCAAACCCTGATACTTGGAGGGGAGCCACCATCAGCCTCTGATCTGGCGAAATGGGCTTCAAGGGTCCGTCTGCATCAATCCTATGGTCCCGCCGAGTGCGCTATGTACACGACCACTACAGCGCCATTGACTCCCACCTCGGATTTTGGCAACGTTGGATCTTCTCCAAATGCATCCTGTTGGATCGTTAACCCAGATAACCATGATGAGCTTGAACCTGTGGGGTCTGTAGGAGAACTATTGATTGGTGGGCCGATTGTTGGAAGAGGATATATCAACCGAGCCCAGGAGTCTGCAGCAGCCTTCATTTGTGATCCTGTCTGGGTCGACAAATTCCCTTTCATGAGAAGAGACCGGCTTTATAAGACTGGTGATCTTGCTGTATTGAATGCCGACGGGTCTTTAACTTTGGTCGGTCGAAAGGATACACAGGTCAAGCTCAATGGACAACGGATTGAGCTGCATGAGATCGAGTATTGTGCGGAGAGATACCAACATGGCACTGCGGTCATTGCGGAATTGATAACACCTGCCGGCATCCAGAGACCCAGACTTGTCATGTTTGTCTATGACCCTGGGACAGTAGAAACGACGGTTGACATCACGTCGACTTATCATGACCATCGGGAAGTGTTTCTCTCCCCATCAACGCAAAACCGAGTTTACCTTGAAGGTATAAAACATCATCTCAGCCAACACCTTCCACCGTACATGATACCGTCCCTTTTCCTTTCACTATCACGTCTACCGCTAAGCCCGAGTGGCAAAGCCGACCGCAAGACACTACGTCAGATTGCATCGAAAATGGACAGACAGACATTGGAGATGTATCTGGACAACCCGGTGGAAGAGAAAGGGGAACCAGTCACTGAGCAAGAGCGATTTGTGCGTGCAAGTTTTGCGACAGCCTTATCATTAAACGAGGAGGCCATTGGTATGGACGATAACTTCTTCGCTCTTGGAGGCGATTCCATCACTGCCATGCGGGTTCTCACGTTCTGTCGGAGCAGGAACATGGCCATCTCGATGCAGGAATTCCTCTCAAAGAACACTGTATCGTTGTTTTGCGCACATGTCATTATGAATCAAGGCGCGGCCGTTGATTCCAAAAACCAGAAACTGTTGAATTCAAAAGAATCCGTTAGAAGGGAAGATCAACCCGTCCAGTTTGAGCACATGGATTACCAGCTGGATATGGTTCGATCTCTGTTGAATTTGTTGAAATCGGATTCTATCGAGGAAGTCTACCCCTGCTCTGGTGCCCACAGTGGGGTGTTGGAGCTCTATACGTCCAATTACACGAGCACTGCAATTTTCAAAATCTCACCTACAGGATCAGTTACTCCGACACAGGTGAGCAATGCTTGGAATCAACTAGTGCACCGTCATGTCGCCTTGCGGACAGTCCTCATGAAAGAGCCAAATGTTCACGCAGATTATCTTCACGTCGTCCTCCACAAGGGACCAGGTCAAATTATTACTCTTCCTCTCAGCAATAATGCCCTTTCGGAACTGAAAAATCTCGAGCCAGTCCAATCCTGGGGCCTGTCACCACCACACCGGTTAATCATCGGTCAGGACCATTCTGGAACGGTCTTCATGAGGCTGGAAACAGGATGTGCCTTGATTGACGCTTTCTCCATGACCATTCTACTAGAAGAACTTTCGCTCGTGCTCCAATGTCGGCCATTGCCGGAGAAAGGGGTCTCGTATCGGCAATATTTGTCCTATTTACGCAGCCTGTCGCCTGCAGAAACACTGCAATACTGGACACAGGCGCTTGGTGGAGTTTATTCCTCCCACCTGCCCAGATTACCCGCCACGCAGTCTATTCTGGCCGAATCTCGCTCGCAGAGCCGCTACCTTCCATTCGCGCAATCAAAGCGCCTAGATTCCCTCTGGCGCTCCAACAATCTCACCATTACCAACGTTTTCCAACTGGCATGGGCCTTAACCCTCACCCACTATACCAATTCCCGCGATGTATGCTTTGGAACCATCACCTCGGGACGTGATAACCCCCATCTCGAAGTATGGAATATTGTCGGATCATTTTTCAACGTTCTTCCGTGTCGAATTTCGATCGATTCTACGCGCACAGTGTTGGACACCCTCCGACACAACCAGGAGGAAATTCAACGTCGAAATGACCACCAATACTGTTCTATACCAGACATAATTCGTAAATCTGAGATAAAAAGCTTAGAGGATGGTCAGCAGCTGTTTAATACAGTTCTGACAGTGCAGAATCCATCCTCAACCCAATCGTCTACTGGGAAAGATGGGAGCAACGAGATCAATATCACACTCATTGACTTAGAGGATGCCACTGAGGTGAGTGCCTTGGGAACTAAGATCATCAACAGGCCGACTAATGATATCCAGTATGACCTTTGCGTGGCTGTTCTTCCTTCTGGTTCCAACGTTGAGGTGGAATTACGCTACTGGTCGACGACTGTATCTGAGGAATACGCTTCGGATATTCTGGATCGCCTTTTCGACCAGCTGGAACAGATTTTGCAGCATGCGACCAAACCTTTGAGCGTTATCACCGGCATTTGATCACAATCATATCTCCGATGGCGCTTTCAGTATCCAATTTTGGACATTATTGTTTTGATATTTCCACTTTTTATACTATTCGATACTTCCGGGTCCCGGTTTAAATCATTTTTATATAGTATCATATACTGGACAAAGTTGTAAAGAGGACTGGTGATCCAACCAATCTACAAATGTTCCAAGTATCAGATCCAAGGCAACATCATATCCTAGAACTGGTCTAAAATAATAGAAGAGAAACAAGACAAACACATAGACAGCCACCGACATTGTGGTGGATGAAACGCCATTCGCACCCGTTTTCCATACCCGAACACGGTTCTAAGACTTGTTCCAACTCAAATTTTGAGAAAGTCCCGTCGCGGAAGGGAAAATATCGAAAAAGAAAATCCATGTACACAAAGGAAAAAGGGGAAGATGGGAAACAAATAAAAAAGGCAAAGCACAGGAAGGGCAGTCCGAAAATCAAACAAAAATATTGCCCCATAGTCGCTATGCCATCGCAGGAGAAAATAAACGGAAATCACCTGTCCATCAGCAGTCCATCTCCTCCGAGAGGTTATTTGGTAGAATTGCTTCGATGCAAGATCTGTACATTGGTCGCACTGGTACCGCCGACCGAACGTCGTCGCGGGCGAACCTCACTACCGCTTCCGCTCCGTCGCCGTCGGCCAGTGCTGCGAATCGAGCCTCGGCGTCTTGTCTGGAGCAAACGGACGTTTTCACGTTAGAATCACGCTGACTATACATGGGCGGACGTGGTCTCTTAGCAAAAGACAAGTACGAGGGCGAATAGGGCCAGACAAAAAGTATTTCGCATAGGAATGCACGTATCTGGGCAGCAAAGCAGCACGTATCAGAGATGCACGGGACTTACCGAGTTAGGGGTGCCTTCCCGGCTGGGTCGTTCTTTTGCAATATCAGGATCCTCTTGCAACTTCAGGGAGTTCAACCGCTTTTGGCTCTCGTGGGTCATGGCCTCTACCTCATCGATCGGCTCCGGCACGTCAAGAGGCGGGGGTGGTGGCGGGGGAATGCCATTCTTCCGATCTTTGGCCTGTTGTTCAATCACGTCCCATCGGTCTGTGCGGGTCTTTTCGCGTTGGTCTGCGTTGTTCTGGTGCTCGGTGTAATCGTGGGAGCATTCATCGAAGAGTTGCGGGTTGATCTCCATGAACATCTTCATGGCATTGTAAACCATGCTGTGGATTGTCCTGGGTGAAAAGTCAGCTCGTACCGAAGTATGCAGCATATGCAAATAAAACTTACCGGTTCCAGTGTCCCTTCGAGTTCTCGTAAAGAGGCGCAAACATAAGCGGGAGAATTGTCTCCACATTGTCGCTCACAAGATTACAGAAGTACTCGTTGTTCCAGAAGTACAAAGCCCGTTCGGCGACTTGGAAATGAGGACTGGCAACAGACTTGGCCAACTGATTGAACAGGGGCTCCTGGACTTTGGCGAACTCGCCCGGATCCATCACCTCGAAGATGTCTTCCACCTCATTCAGGTACATAACCTCCTTGGTGCTATTTGTCTTCGGCCAGAAGCGCAGTAAGCCGAGGACGACCTAGACATAGCGGTTAGTAATTGAGGTAGATTGGAGAAAGGTAGACGAGGGCTTACGTCTTCGGTCAATGAGGAGTCCTTCTCCAAAAATTGGACGATGCAGTAGGCCAATTGCGGGTGGTACATGCTGAGACTCTTCACCTTGTGCATAGGTAGGAGCACTCGGGTCAAGAAGAGCTTGTGTTCCTCCTTCAGCGGCAAAGCGAACCCGTTGATAATGGAGCCCAGAATCTCGAGTAACTCAGCGATTCCGTTGTGACGTTCAGTCTCATACATGAACTGGAAGAAGACGTTGTTGATAGATCGGCGGATATATGAACGCAAGTTCAAGAACTTTCCGTAAATGCGATGCAGAGTTGTCTTGAGGAAGTCACGCTCACGGGGATCTTCCGAGTCAAAGAGGTCCAACAACTAGATGTAGCATTAGCCTACATTAAGTATGAAAATCAAGCGCTAGGAGACATACCGAAAGCACAAACTGATGGTCAATATAGCCCTTCGCGATGTTCGTGTTGAAATCCTGGCTTTCGATGAATCTCAAGAAAAATTCATATACGACCTGAATATGAGGCCAAGCGACTTCCAAGACCGGCTCATCCTCCTCCGGGTCAAATGCTTCGCCCTGGGGCGTCATAGGCGGAGGAATGGGACGGAACAGGTTCTTGGCGAACATCTCCACCACGCGGGGATACATGGGCTCCGTAATTACCGACCGATTGTTGGCAACATAATCTAAAAGTTCGTGCAGCGCCAGCCTCTTGATCTCCTTGGATTTCATATCGGCCGTCGGGTCGTTGAAATCGAATATGATATTGCACTGGTCGATCTTTTGCATGAACAAATCTTGGCGCCGGTTGGGAGGCACTTCGTGGAATCCTGGCAACTTCTCCAATTCTCTCTGACGCTGATCGGAGATATCGAATCGCGACGAATGTTGGCGTTTGGGGGTCCGGATACCTTCTGACATGTCCTTAGGAGTTGTCTGTAGGCGGTCGAAGACATGAGACTTCCTAGGGGGTGCGAGATCTCCGGGCATTGTTTCGGCCGCGCCAGGAGGGGGGACATGCTATAGAATCCAATCGTTAGCAAATGCAACAGTCACCAAAATGTGAAATGACTGAACTTACCGGTGCGCTTGGGCTAATGATGACACTAGGAGCCGCTGGCTGGCCTTGCCTATTCGGAGTTGCCGGTCCATTGCTTACAGGCTGTCCTGCGACGCTCGCTTGAGGTATATATTGTTGAACCGGGGTGCCGGGGTGAGCTGCGCCCGCAGAAGGGGTTCCGCCAGGGGAAGTGTTATCCGGCGATTTGTTTCGCGAGTCATTGAGAGAGGTTGTGGAGGATGTAGGTGTCCCTTGGTTGGGGGAAGTAGACTGCTGTGTGTTGGAAATGCCGAGGGACTGATTCTGTGAGGTGGATGTGGAGTCTTTCTTTTTCGAGGACTTGTTGTCTTTCGCCCGCGACAACTGGTCGTGCTAAAAGCAAGAAACGGGATGTTAGATCGTTTGCAAAACGAGGAAAAGCCGCATGGTGAAGAAGGGGATATATGGGTAGCAGTGATCGTGTGGTGAGGTGCATTTGGGTAGGATACGCGGATAACTCACCACTCTCTGTCTGAAACCCTTCATTTTGAACGACTATGTAGATGACCGCATGTACTCGGCTAGGTTTCTTGGTGCCAGTGCAGCCAGGCGGCGCACTCACTCTAGCCGGAGTGAATCGAGGGGAGCCAACGAAGACAACCGCTCAGGAAGGCCACGAGAGGGGGGGGGGGGGGGGGGAGGTGTTTGGATCGGCCTAATAGGAGAGTCTCGTAAGCGGTCCGAGTCACACAGCATGTAAGACGGTTATTGTGAATGGAAATAGTTCTGAAATACTGATAGCATGCCCCACCAGTGTGTAGAGGAGAGGCTGGGGTTCAATGGCAACAGTACCAAGCGCTCCAAACAATGTGCAATCGCAGCACGCGCACGGGGCAAGACGGTTCGACGATGGGAAGAAAGGACCCAATACAAGCAATGGGGGAGAGGTGTCTGATTAAACGTACCTCCGTAGTTTTGAGTTGGATAATTGACAGATCGCGTGGGAAACTGCTTGGGGAGAGTAGGTGTTATAGGACGAGCTTGGTCCGCGCTGGAGGGTATCCGTGTCGCTTAGTGGCAGGCTGGGAGCGGGGGGTTTGGGAGCAGAGGAACAGGCACTCAGGTCGCAGCCCACGGCGAAAGCACGAAAATCACGATCTGACTAGCAAGATACAAAGTCGACAATGTGTCAGATACCAAGTAAAGATGATGGCGTTGGGTTGTAAAGAGAAGGGAGAGAAGTGGATTGTTGTTGAGGTGTAGGGAAAGGCGGGCTGGTTCTCCTGGCTGCGATGGTGATGGGAGGGGAGCCACGCCCAACTACTATGTGGGGGATTCTACGTGCTTTTTAAGTGACCTAGATCTCTTCGCGCTTTAATCTGAGAGAATGAATTTATTCTATATTATTTTCCCCTTCTCTCCTAATACGACTTTCGTATGCTTTTTCCCGCTTGTTTCAAGTGCCGCTTAGTCATTATCCACGTGACCTCCAAGGGGACTCGATTTTCAGGCACCAAAGCCAAACGTCACTAACACCTGAGAAACCTATGTAGGGCATGAAATATGGTTTGGCTAATTCTGAAAAGGTGAGTTCACAGGTATGTCCCTTCGAGTCAAGCAAAGCAGGTTCCGAAAATGGGGGATATATATAGAGAGAGGTCCGTGCTTTGACCCACACCTGACCACATCTGTCATCTGTGGCATGAAAATTAACCTGGCATGAAATTCCTATCTAGAGGGCTTTAGTACTTGAATGTTATATAAATATCATAGAATCCATGGATATAATATATATAACACTTCTAGGGCTATCTCAAATTGCGGGTAGAAAATGTTCGAAGATGTGGAAATATATATTTCTTCAAAGTACTTACTCTTTGCTTCAATCACATCGTATTTAGTCTAGTGTCTCTTTCTCCTTTCCATACCCCCCCAAGCTCTATTCCATACTATAATATGTTGAAGTATTACAAGGAGAATGAATACTGCATGTAACCAGAGATAAAGAATGGATGATTTAATAATGCATGTGTAGAATTATAATATAGAAAGAATTTATGCGTGGAAGCTCACCACTCTTTACTGTTGTAGATTGTTGAGAATAGGTATTGAGAAAAAAGGGATTGCTAAGAGTATAGAGAATGTCATCATTAATAATTACATTATCGAGAATTGGTAAATAGATACTTTGTATAGTGATCATACTTGTCTCTTTCACACCACGACGAGAAGCAGATGGGCAGCGTTCGAAGAAAGCAATCTATCTGCTCCACAACAAGCCTAGTCGGTCCTCTTCACTCGCAATCCCCACCATTTCTCCTAAGCTCTCAAGTTTCTTCGCCAACTGACTATTACCTAGAACACTGATCCTTACGTGACTACTGACCATTATCTGATCACTGGCTCTTACCTTCCTCTTTCCTGCTTACCACTCTTTGAAATTTACCCTCCTGCAGTTTCAAATCTCACGATGACGAACTTCATGGTGCCTCGGATCGCTTGTCAGGATCCAGACGCGCTATCTTCGGACAAAAAAACCGAGAACCGATGGAAGTCGTCTCAATGGAATATTGAACTGACTATCTTTTGGTGTCTGCAGTTTTTTCGCACTAGCGTCCGCAATTGGGAGACCTGCAACCCCTTGGAGGTGTATTGCCCGATCAACGATGCTTCGTCCAAGCGTCTGGCTTGCACCAACAACGAAAACCCCAAATGTGATTGGGTGTATATTGATTATTCCTTTATCCCTTACGGCAAGACACACTAATAGCAATTGGAACCCTACGCAGATCCCCCAGGGTATTCGGGGTCATGTTTTCGAACTGATGGCCGTGCTTGAATTTGTGAAAAAAATACTGGACCGACTGCCAGGAGAGATGGGAAGCAGGATTGCAAGATAATGAGTGCGACTGGCCATTAGATTTCAGCGAGACACTTTCCAACGTGGTCAGGAGCCTCTGTGCTGCTTTCGATGACCTGGTCGAGACATATGGCGAGGCTCATATGTTGACAGGCGATGTCTCTGACGTAAGGTTTTTTAATATCTCTAACTCTGTGGAGTTTGTTAACCTATGGCTAGAAAGCCAAGGCTGGATATTTTGCTTGGTGCAATGCTAGAGAGCGTATGATCCGCCCTAAGTCTGAGCATAGTGATAAGCTGCATCATCGGTATCCCTCCCGAGCCACAGAGTACCTTCGCCTCCGGATGGGCGAAGACGCATCCATCCGCTGGGCAGTCGCAATTTGGGCCTTTTATCACGCTATCAAGACCTCGGTTAACGACTACGTCAAGACCAAGGGAAGCTTTCTCACTTACGAGCACACCGTCTACATTGGAAGAGTTTCCTCTGGAGCCCCCCGAGCTTTGAATCGACTGAGTTGCTTTGCGGATTCCTTTGCGGTGGGCTTTCATAATTGTCTCGCCCGAGGAATATCCACGATTTGATTTTTTTTGCGACCTTTTTCTTTGCGAGGTTTCCTGTTAATTGCCTGGTGAGGCGTTTATTGACCAGGACCTCTTTGATATTTTCCCGTCTGGTTCTGCGGTTGTTTCAGAGCCATTACATAGCATCTTAAATGCATCATTTTCATCGGGTTTCTCTGCTTTCTGTGAATGCAACTCTTAAATCTCGCTATTTCGATTGTCCACTGGCGTTTGGCTTCCCACCGTATGGTCCTCTGTTTTCAACTCTCCTCCATCCTCGCAACTCCTTGACACGTACCTCGTCGTCCAGTACTCTTGACTGTCGCAAGTGAGACAATCATCATGGCCCCGACGACAGCCGGTCACAATTTGGACGCTGGTCTTCGACTGCACCGACACGACGCAGGCTGTACACCCTGCCCCTTTACCTGACTACCCTATGGTGTCTGCAGAGCTTTGGCTCTTTCAAGGGTATTTCAGATCCAGTCCAGACCCTCTGCCTTTTATTTGATAGCCCGGCGAAGACACTCGGCGAGGCTCATATGCTGACAGGCAATGCGTCTGATGTAAGTCTTGTTCGGTCCCTAGATTCTGTTTCTATGGGGTCATTGCTAACATGTGGACAGGGTGCTAAAGCTGCCTAGCCTTCCATGTGCAATGCTAGAGAGCATAACAATGCTTAGAGAAAGAAATGGAAATTTTTTTGGGACCTCAGGATAGATGTGTTGGGGGTTTGGTATGACGACAAGGCCTCGTAAGCATACATTCTGGGCGGTCTCTAAATATCCATGGATATTTGATGACTTGAACTTTCATTCAATATATATTGTCCGATGTAAGGTTATTACTGCAGTTTGTCTCAAACATCCCATCTCGTTAATCAGCAAGCAGTCGCTGAAAGTATAATTGTCACTAGCTACTCAGCCATATGAAACCTGCCTAGTAGAAAAGGATAGAGATTATTTGTACAGCGCATTGGCCTCAGTATTAAAATTAATGTGTTCTTCATTGAATTTCAAAGCCCTTCGACAACTGTTGCAGGACATCATGCTGGGGTTATGTCCACTTAGCTGGTAAGCCACTTTCGCCACCTATACATACATTGTTACTCGTCGAGTCTCGTCCAAATTCGTGTAAGCTCATCGAGATAGCATTAACACTAGTGGAAGAGCGGCCATTAGGGCTCTCCTCAAGCTCAGGCGCGTGCTTGCTCCAACACTGCTTTTATCGCTGCCACTATCACCGATAGCTGTATTTTCCGCAGCGTACGTGTAGTAAAGACTAGCAGCTGTCTGCGTGCCTAAGCTGTCAACAGCAGTGCTAGTCGGCAAATTAGCCGCCGATGTCTTTGACCACTGAGCTGCGAAAGGATAGAATCCTGTCGTTTGGGGATCGGCGCTACAGTAGGCGCTAGAAACCCCCATCACGTAACTCTCAGGAAACCAGTGATAGCCTGTCTGGAAGTTAGCCTTTCTGATCGAACGAAGATAGCATCATAATGGTGGAATATGCTGTGAGAAGGACGTACCCTCAATGCCTCCATGCTTTCTGAAACACTCCTGACAACCAACTGCTGAGTCAAAGAAAGGGTATATGCCACAGTAGCATTGCTGCTGGACATCCCAATCACCCGAATACAGCTGAAGGCCCGAAAACGTTCCGTTTGTGTTGTCGAAGTAGCAATTAGCATTAATCGCCGCTTGTCGTTTACAAGGAGCCTCATCGATCTGATAGGTAGGCTTGGGGGATATTGCATCATCCCTGCGGAAATTATGGTGCGGCAATGCATTATACGGCAGGTAGCATTCATTGTAGAGATCAATGTCAAGATCCGTTAGACCAGAGTCCTGGGATGAGACAATATAGAACCTGGAGATATACGCGCCGTTTGGGAATACGGGGTATTCATCGGAGTCGGTGTCTGAAGCGGCCGTGCTAGAGGATGTGCTGGTGCCGAAGATGGAGTTGTATTCGTAGGAAGAAGTTGGCCCCACAGAGGTCATGGAGACGGAGGCTGTCATCGGCATCGTCAAGGCGAGGCGAAAGGGGTGATCGTTGGAATTACTTCCGTGGTTGTCCAAGTGGGCCTCGGGGAAAGTGCTTGGCATTACCCGACCAATAAGATCCCTCCATGAGTGGGAAAAGACATCCCAGAGTGGAAGTGATATTCATTCTTGGTTACGGTAGAAATCAGTGAGGTATATTCAAAGCACCCTGGTAGCTTTGTATGCATCGAGGATACCTGATGGGGAGTTTCGATGCTGGTGGTGAAGCCGTTATCGACCGCTGTTTCTTTGAAGCCACCACCGGATAAGTATAGAACTAGGCGAGAGGATTTACTAATGTGCGTGGCCAACCCTTATGAAAATGGATATCTGGTCAGCTTGGCTCGAATCTTTCAAATGTAAATTCGATCAATTGTCTTGAATTATTTCTTCAAAACATGTTTGGTCAGTTGTAGCTTGCAGCGACGTCGCCCTACGAGGTGATGAGTCAGCGGCATTTTGCCCCTGGGCGCACTAACCGCTTGTGGAATGTAGACTCGATTCTTTTCCCAAACCTGAGAGATAACTTGGGAGCCTTTCATTGTCGCGCAGCTGAAGAAAAACATAGAATCCCATACAGACAGGTGTATTGCGCAGAGATCAGTGGAGAAAAGTGGTGGTGCTGGCTTTGGTCGCATTTGCGCAACCCCCAAGAAACAACCACAACCAACATCAATTGAGACACAAGGCTGCGGCGAATGAGACCGCAAACAAATTATCCATAAGTCCGATATAAAACCAATCAGCATGGATGACCAGCGGGGGTCCAGAACTGCTCCCTTCTACGCGGTGCCATCCCGTCGCCTCGTCAGCGTCGAGCACCCTGCCGTGATCCGCAATGTCGATAAGGCGATCGAGACCTTGCAAGGCGATGCCGGGATAAAAACAGTGAGAATACTTCCCCTCTGAGAGAATGTTGAATATTGAACATTGAATATATGCTGATATAATCCAGATCCTGAACCCTGCCAAAGACGGCACACTAGCTAATCTGGTGTTCCGGCCAGAAGATGCCATGGCTCGATCGGTCCAGTCAACCATCGTTCAATCAAACAATGTCCTGCTCAAAATCACTGTTCCCAAGCGGACAGGACGGAAGCGCAAGAGAGGCTCGAACGAGCCTTTCCAGTTCGAGCCTCTCCAAGATGCACCAGAGCTAGAAGCATCCGAGCCGCCCCGGCGACGGATCGCTAAGGATCTCTTGCGCAGTCTGAGTGATAACCCTTCGACGTATCAGATTGAGCCGGTGGGGAGGGTTGAACGGACACATGTGTTCCGGGGTAAGTTCACCAAATGTACTCTGATTGATGCATTGCTGGTTTGCTAACGTCCGATATCAGGAATCCCTGATTTCGTGTACTCGACTACAGCCAGTTCCTTCACAAACCGGTTCCGAGACCAAATTCTCCCATTCGACTGTAAGTTTGCCTGACATGCTTGTCGCCGGAAATGTACTAACAAGCTAAAGTCGACAAAATGAAGCAATTTGATATCGACATGGCCAAAGGCGCCACTGCGAATGCAGATCTCATCCCACCACCATCATTCAGCCACGGAGACGTCCCGTTCCACTACATGTAAGAGCCACCACCTACCAAACACCAAGTCAACCAGACCACTAACGTCCCTCGCAGCTACCGCCAAAACCCAACAGTGAAGCAAGCAATCGGCCGCTCCGGCAAACTAGAAACCGTGAACACGCAAACCGCCAACAAAATCTTAACCCACCTAGTCCCCTACGACATCCCCGTGGTCCCATCCGAGCCACGGCCAGACATGCTCCCAATAAGCGCCCTAGACTCAGGCATGCTCCGAACAATCGCAACACTAAACGCGTTATACGAAAAACAACCCGCCTGGACCCGTCGTGGACTCCGCAACAACCTCAAAACCGACGAAGACCGGCTGAACCTCCGCCACGCAATTCCATACGTAGGCTACATCTTCCGCTCCGGACCCTGGCGCGACGCAATCATCAAACTCGGTGTCGATCCACGCACCTCACCCGAATACCGCTACTACCAAACCTTCATGTTCCGCCTTCTAGCACGAGAAGCCGAACTCGCACGCGACGGAGGCGGCGGCCGACGCCACAACGTCCCACGACCGAGCGACATGCGCACAAACGAAGACGAAAACACCAGCGGACCATCAACGGGCCATATCTTCACTGGCAAGCAGCCGTTCGCGCAAGACGGACGGATCTGGATGGTTGGGGAGATTGAGGATCCGCAGCTGAAAGCCGATTTATTCCCTGCCGATCCAGAACCTGGATTCCTGCGTAGTGAATGTGATATCGTTACCGATGGATGGTTTGGGAATGGTACTCTTGCGAAAGCGAAAGCTGTTATGCGCCATAAAATCCAGGCATTGATGGAAGGGCGGGAGCCGGATGATGAGGATTACGTGAAGGTTATGCGACTACCTGCGCATGCGCGATCTGAAGCCGACTTCCCGCTGTTTACGCTTGATCCTGATGTTGCGACGCAGAAGGAGATTACGCTTGCTACAGAGATTCGGTCGATTATTCGCAGCTCGCCTGTTTGGAGGAATTTGACCGCTAATGCTGGGTTGGTGAAGAAGGAGGCTGGGGAGGGGAGGGGGAAGGGGAAGGGGAAGCAGGCGTTGAAGGGGAAGAGTGTTGAGCCGGAGCCGGAACGTGAGCCTGAGCCTGAGCCGGAGACTGAGAAGGTTGAGGAGAGTGAAGGTGAGGAGGAGGAGATTCAGCGGAGGGAGATGTTGGCTGCTCAGGTTGTGGATGCTGCTGCGGCGAGGGATGCTGATGAAGCCGATGAAGATGATGAGGATGAGAGTGATGATATGGAGGAAGATGAGGATGAGTAACAGGGACTCCTAACTTACTCGAGGATTGGCTACGTCTACAAAAAATGGTCTTTTGTGCTCAAGATTGTCAAGGAAAGAATCGTTTTAATCATTGCTAAAGCCATGGGCAGACTTCGGATACATCGTGAAGCATCAGGCATAACACAGACAATAACTCATGAATTAGACCGGATAAAGAAGGTTAACCTGAGTGGTCGCAATAGTGAAGCCAAATCAGATACGTAATTCGTAGCAAACGTTATACCAAAACACCTGATAGGCTGAACACCAGTGTTTGAAAAGAGTCAAACACGAAGCAAAAGACAAACGCCAAACAATTAAGCAAATAGGTATATATTGGGGCCAAGCCCAGGCCAAAGAACAGCGCCATTGAATCAGATGCAGATGGAAGGAATGACAAGCCGACAGATCAAAGAGCGGACTTGGTGCTATTAGTTGAGCCCTCGTCCTGGGTTTCAGCGCCGGAAGCAACATCCAGAACCGAAGCAATGGAAGCAGTGACGAGGCTCTCCTGGGTCCGCGCCAGAGGCGAAGAAGGCTTCTTGAACTCGGGTTCATCATCGTAGACGATTGTGTACGAGAAGGCATTGCAGCCCTCGGCATAGTATTCAGCAGCATTGAGTTCACCGAGCGGAGCACGGGGCTCATCCATCTTGGGTGCCTTGCCAGCAGCAGCAGGGAGAGCGACAGTGGACTCAGCGGTGGGGAGTTCGATGCCCAGTTCGTGGGGAGGGATGTTCTCCTTGCCACGGGTGCAGGGTGGGTCGGACCTTCCCTCGTCGTCGCTGATATCCAAGACCGTGGTTGAGTGATGCATCAGGTTGGTCATTTCCTCCTGCTCGGTGTCGACGTGGATATCGAAGCACCACGAAGCTGGGGTCGGGGCCGTGGGAGCGGACTTAGGCTTGGGGGTTGTGGATTGAGCGAGGGCGGAGGCAAGAGAGAAGGGACGAGCGACGCCGCGCTTGGTGTATTGCTCTGAGCGGGGTTTGGCGATGAGCGAGCGGCGAGTAGCCGACTTGCTTGACTTTGGTGGTGGAGAGCGACCAGCGGGTTTGAGGATAGGGACTGATTTGGGAGTTGTAATGGAGATCTTTGAGGGGGTTGAAAGACGGGGGGAGATGTTGATGCGTGTGGAAAGAGCCATGCGGGATGTTTTGATTGGCTTGGACGCGCTGTCCTCGTCGTCCTCGAGGGTACGCTTTCGTTTTGTCGACAAGCTGGATGGATTGATGTTCTCTGAATCGTCAATGAAGATAGAGGTCTTCATTGGGGTGGACTTCATGGACATGGTACCTGGGATTGTGAGCTAAACCGTCCTCGGTACACCCAAACATGGGTCACATACCATTTTGGTTCTGACGATTAAGTTTGGAACGCATCAATGGCATATCCAAGCAGCCTAAAGGCTGACGAGTAGGAGTCATAGTGAGAGTGGCCATGGTGAAGGAGAGAGAGTTGTTTTGTTTTGGTCAGCGCCAAGTGGGGGAGGATTGGCGGTCTACAATAGGCACTAGGCAGGCCGATCGCAGGATTTGAGAGAAAAAGAGGGCAAGTGTCTGAAATGAATCAAATGAAATAATTGGAATTGGAATTGGTCGGATAGAATATCGATGAGACTGGTGAGCACGAGGGATGATTCGTAAAGACGTGCGTGATGAGATAGATATAAGCTGGGACGTTAAGAGCTTAGAGGGTTTTAGAGGCAAGGAGTAAAGGACATGAGGAGTCACAAATGGAGGGAGAAGGGAACTATTTCAAGACCATCTAAAAGCGCGTCGCGTTCACGGAGGGGCGTTTATGCAATTCCCAGCACAATCCAATTGACGGGTTTCATTCTTCTGTCTTAGAACAATGTACTCCATATGTAGATCCCTACGCGCTTTTCTGTATGCTCTATGTGGTATTCATAGCATTACCCTATGTAATTAATTCGATCTTCTTCTTTTCCTTAGAGTTCTCTATACAAAATAAAATCACTGCAAAGGTCAAGTGAATTCCTCAATTCCCCCCAGCTGAACACTGCATAGTCGCGTATCCCTTGAACGCGTCGGTCAGTCAAGTACCCGGTACTCGGCATCCCGGCACTAGCGCATACAGCGCGTAAGTACCAGATACCTCCCCGCTCCACATCTTGCACGTTCCTTCGCGCGCGACTTCGCGTTCACGTCTCCTCCTTGCGCACTGTGCGCTCATTCGTGAACAGCGTCTACACTCTGCACTAATAATATGCTGCATGAAATGTCTAATAAAACTATGCCAACGCATCGGTCGCCATTGGCTATACCCCCGGACTGAGGTTACCGGATGAAACCATGCACCGGCCGATCGGGGGTTGCTGGGGTTTGAGGTGAATCTGGAACATACGACGGAGGACAGTCTCAGGACAAAGTTTGGTGTCCGGGTCGCACACTCAAGGCTGGGGAATGTTCTCTGGGCTATCCAGGTGGTGTAAAGTAGGAATTTGCCCCTGAAGGCTGTTCCAAGGCGCAGAATGATGGAGGGTTATTAATAGGGGTATTACACCTGGGCGTAGACAGGTTTTCCAAGGTTTGATGGCACTTGCGCCCTCGTGGGCTCGGATCATTTCTTCTCGGCGTATTGCTCCTTGTTGCATTCCTCAAAATCGAGAGCTAATTCTTTCTGCCATTGACGTACAAGCGCGTCGACATTCTACTTTAGACAGGAAATGCCGACCGGAATAGTCCATAGAATTTTGTCTCGTGATATAATAATATACATCATGGCAAACTTGCCATGCCAATCACCTCAGACCTCATCCTCAAAAGGAATGCTATCCATGGCACCCCGACGTTCCACCGCCCGAGCTGAGGCGCGGGCAGCCAGACGCATCGCCTCGTCCGTGACAGTCTTATACCGGTACGCCTTCTCATCATCCGCGACATTCTGCCCAGCCTTGCCCTCCCCGCGACGCTGCTCACGCCACCGCGCCACTCTGACTGCGTAGGCTCCAACAAATGTATCACCTGCGCCAGTCGTATCCAAGACATGGGAGACATGGGCGGCTGGGATCTCGTTCGTGAAGCGCTGTACTCCGTCACTGGGTCTAGACGAGCCAGCATCCGCGGCACTGTACCAAACGCCCTTCGCCCCGAACGTGATGAGGATGTAAGTGACACCCAATTTGTGGAAATACCGAGCAACCTTCTCCTTGCCATCCAAGCCCTCTGCATCCGGAACCGTGCGAAGCAGTTGCTCCGCAGGCGGAGTCATCAGCTCAGCCTCCGTCTCGTTCAGAATCAAATGATCGACAGCAGCGTATACATCCTCGGGCAAACCACCAGGCGGCGCAGGTGCCGGGTTGAGCATAACATCTGGACCGCACTCGATGCCGCGCTTACCAGCAGCGCGAGCCTTGGCCTTGTAAGCTGTGATCTCACGTAGTGTCCCGATAATCGTGTCAACCGGGATCTCGCCCTGCATAACGATGACATCAGGTACGGGCGCCGCTAATGCCATTCCCAGTACCTCGGAGGTAGGCTGCATGCCATCGTAGTTTGCACCAGGCGAGAAGAGAATGCGGTTTTCACCGCCGGCTGACGAGTCTACTATGATCACTGCTACTCCTGTATATGCGTTCTCGATGACCTTCACTCGGGACGGGTCCACTCCGGATCTCTCGAGGGTGGGTCTAAGCAGGGAGGAGAAGTGGCCATCCAATGCACCTACTGCGCCCATCATCTCGACACTGACGTCGCTTGTGGAGTCCATGGTGCCTGTTGGCTTGGACCGAGACATGCGACCGCATGCCACGGCTTGGTTTGCGCCCTTGCCGCCCGCGCTGGTGAAGTAGGATGAGGAGGTGATTGTCTCGCCCGGGTTTGGAAACCGGGGCGTGACTGAGACCATGTCAGCGTTGAGGGATCCAATGACTCGGATGAGAGGTGCCATGGTGGGAAATGTGGTTCGGTTCGTGGATTACAAGTCGGGGGCTGGTGTGTCTTTGGGTTGGGCTGGGGAAATGCGGAAAGGGTTGGAGGGGTGTAATTGGCAGTTGGCGGAAACCTTGTAGATCTCAAAGTTTCATTGATTCAACATAGGGGAGGAATGACCGTCCAAAACTTTCGGTTAGGTAATTGAGAGAAAGAGCATTGAAGTTGGAAAGCAATTGGAATGACGTCTGGGCGGGGCCCATCGGATGCGGGATGTGGGGCCAACAGGCACAGTTCCGTGGATCCGATCTATGATGTACAGCCACGTCTATTTCGACAACATACAATATCTACAACATTGAAGAATAGCCTCGTCATTTTTAAAAGCAAGCTTATTGATATAAAATTTACAATGGAATAGCATTAGTGAAGCTGTATTATTTGTATTCCAAGTGACAAGGGGGAAAATGAGACCACCCAGCAAGAACAACACATTAAAACCTCGATTCTCACGCCCCAGTGAGACAAAAGAAAAAGAGGGAAAAAACCCCTAACTAACCTCCCTATCAACTCAGTCCACCACGGCTTCAACGACATTTATTCCAAAGAATGAACCACTGCGCCATAAGGAATGAAAAATACTAAGTTTCAGTTAAACTTAAAAAGACACCTAGTTAATGTTGTCACCGACGGTCAAGTGCATATCACCTGACCCGGCGCCCCTTCAATAGCCGCCGCCATAGTTAGCTAATGGATCATCTTCACTTCCCAGTAGCTTTCGGTGCTTACAGCTGGTAGCGTGCCCTAGCCAAGCCAGAGTAAACTTTGACGACAAGAAATGCCCGTCAACGTAACATTTTTCCTTTTTTTCTATTCGAGGGGCTCACGAGCCGATCCGGGGGCGCTGTGCACTTCGCCAGCAGCCCCAGCAGTGATCTGCGTCTGCGGCTGCGTCGACGTTACATCATCGCACATCATCGCACCAGCTGCCGAGTATAATACTGAGCCTCCGCAACAGAGCCCGTCAACGGCGTCACTGGTCTTAACAGAGAGTCGAAAGCGGAAACGACAAACCACGACCGAGGACAACCACCGTATGTTCGCCTCTTTCAGCCCAGAATTAGCCGCCGACTGCGACTATATTAATGCTATTGCCGACAAGGTCACTACAATCACAGATGAAGACAGAGACCCGAAGCCGATCAACATCACCAATCTATATCACAACCTGATTGTCTGTATCCATATTCTGAGGAATAAAGAAACGAGTTAAAAGGGAAATCTACGGTAAGTTGTGTCTTCGCCAAATTTGATAACATGTGTGCAAGCTTAAAGGAAAGTCTGGATGGTCCCCGTATATGAGTGTAATATAAAGTCAGGGTAGAAATGATACCGAATTGAGATTAGAGTGAGATTAGAGTGAGATTGATTTAGGACATTGAGTAACGTGAAACAGAGAATTAATTCAGATAGTTGTGGACTGAAAAAAAAACACTTTCTAAGTAAGCAGATTCAGGTGCAGACAGGCTTCTTTCGGTGGGTATTGAGTCATTTGGCCATTGGGCCAAGTGCCGCGTTCTTCAAGACGCGCATATGTTCGGCCGTCCTCGCAATTGCAGCCAACGCTGTCTTTCGAGCCATTGAATCTGCTGCCTGGTTGCCAGGGACTCTGCAATGACCTGGGCTAAGGTGCAGCTCCAGATGTACCCCAAGCTCACTCAGCTCTTTGGAGTACTTTGCGATAGCCTCCAATTTAATTGCCATGCCTCCATTTGGGGCATATGCTAGGGTCCCATCAATGCGCCTCAACGCGTTGCAGTCGTTAGTAAAGATAAAGACCTCCTTGGTCATGGTATGGAGGTGGGAACGTGTCTGTGCCAAATGTTGCTGGAAGAACTCCTTGTCGACAGAGTTGGTTTGGGAGACAGTGGCACATTTCTCGTTGATGGTTCCGATCGCCATTTCCAGGCTGCATGCAATAGCAAATAGCTCTACCGTGGTACTGTCATGAATAGGCTGGTGATAGTGTTCGCCTCTTCGTTGCCAGCTAGAAGACGTGGGTTTTTCCTACCAAACAACGGCGGCAGCAGCACATCCCGAACGGATAGATGCATCAGTGAAGTATACAACTCGCTTGCATACTTGTGTTGGAATGGGAAGCTGGTGAATCTTTGTTGCGATATTCTTAGCGATAGGGCCATTTACGTGAAAGACAAACCCAACGAACTCGTGGCCGAGCTGCCAACAGAACTTGTGGCCCTTCTCGGCTTGAGGCTTGCTTTTGTTTGTTTTCTTGGACAGACGGAAACGGATGGCTTGCTCGAGAGTTGAAGAGCGTTTTCTTTTACGTTTTCTTTTACGTTTTCTTTTATGGCGAGGCTTGCTGTCGGCTTGCACGACCACCTGTTGGGCTTCTCCCACGCTGGGCTCAGGCAACGGGTTGTGTGTTTGAAGATTCCACCGACAGAGTCGTTTGAGCGTAGACCTTGAGGGCTTTTGCGGCAGGGGGTGGGCATAGGGGTTGGGTCCGGCCACGGGCCCAACGCGGGGATCCAGAACGGGACCACCAATTGGCTCGCCAAAAGGCCTATCAGCAGATTGGGTGGTTGTCGTAACAGGAGCTTCAACAGTCGGCGTCCGAGTAAGATCGGCCGCATGGTTGGGAATAGGCGTGTCACAGGTGGCATCTTGAGTGCCTGGGGCCTTCTCATCAGCTGGATCTTGACGTGGCGCATCACCGGTGGTAGCTTGCGTGGTTACAGGGGCCTCCTAATTATCTTGGGCTTGACATGGCTTATCACTGGTGGTATCTTGAGTGGCCAGGGCACTTTCGGTTACCTGGGTTCGACATGGAGCGTTACCGGAGCGAGGCTGATTTGTGTGAGGCGGCAGAGATTGGAACAAAGGCCAGAGGCTGTGGATAGGCCCCGAATTGAAAGAAATCATGTCTACGCCGTATTTGAGCTGACTTGATGTGGACCCTAGGGCTCGGGATGAATGGGGGATGCGAGCAAATATGAAGCGCGGTTAGCGAAAAAGTAGGACAGGAAGAACAATGACAAAAGAAGAAGCGGAGAAAGGAACAGGACGGGGAAGGGAAAGGAATCTAAGCACTTGTTGCAAAAGTATCAAGGCTGGACTTCAAGACCTTTGCGCTACAGCGCCTTGGTGAAGTGGGAACGCTGCCTTTTGGCTCCTCTATCTAGTCTGAGAACTATTCCTTTCCGTTCATCGGTTTCATTTCTGTCTTTGCCACTTGCTACTACACTGCTAAGCTACATCCTTTTTCTTCCCAATCGAATCCACAGAGCAGTGTTGGACAGGAGCTTTTGCCCGGTATAGATTGCTATTGCTAGACCCGGAGACTGTCTCGTATGAAGTGTAAAGGTATTAACATTATCTTGAGAATAATCAACCACAATTTCCAGCACAGTAGGTCACACATTCAGATCCTACAAGACGGATAGTGATCACTGTCTTGAACAATGAGCAGGTCCAGTTGAATAAGTTGACACACAAGTAGTTATAATGGATTACATTTTCAAGGTATCCCGCCAACAATACCAGGGGATAGTTAGCGGTTATATTCAAAAGGAGCCTAGAAAATACCTCAAAAGGGACCTCTAGAAAGATGGTAACAAAGTTGGGATAACCTTTCTCAACAGGATGTACCAATAATTTAGATATTAAAGGTGCTTTGGAGTATGACATATATCGAGTTCGCAAAGTTCTCGTATTACAACAGAGAAATAATCTTGTGCTTATAAGGGCTTGTACAAAGGTTGGCGCGATGGACCCAAAATCATGCCGTGCACGGATAGGGATTTCCCTTAGTCGTCTTCAACTAAAATGGGTCTTAGCCGTAGTTACCGGGGGAGGTAGTGGTTATTATTGAGAGGTTAAATAAGACGGGGCTATTTTCTCCTACCTATATTCAACAGGTCTTAAGTTTGGAACATTGATTTCAAGGTTAAATTGCGTAATACATGCACAGGCAACCTAAGCGGTCGACTGTTCTTGTAAGTAGTCAACTTGAATGTTTCCAAGTTATACATGTGCCTTACATACTAGGTACGCCCTACCAATACCTACGGTAGGCCAAAATGAACTGAAACCGAGCACAATATGATTATGGTTTACTACTCAAGTTAAGATTTCGTCATATTACTCGTATGAAACATCAATTGAGAACTAGGTCCGCCCATTATCCATAGCTCTTCCCTGATTTGTGCGGGAGAAGTGGGCTTCAACTAGTAAGAGAGGGCGGGACCAGAGTGGCCGTTGTCGCTTCACGCTCGACAGATTGGGCAGTGGGCCATGACGTGGCTGTTTGGTGCATGAGCTCCTGTTGGGTGCGTCTCGCCATTTGGTCTGCTGCCTCGTTGCCGGGCACTCCAGAGTGACCGGGGCTGAGGTGCAGCTCAACATGTACCCCAAGCCCGTGGAGGATCCGCGAGTGCTCGCTGATAGACTTCAGTTGATGTGCGATATCTCCTTGGGGGAAATACCCCATCTTGCCGCTAATGCGCCTAAGCGCGAACTCGTCATCTGTAAACACAAAAACCTCCTTCGTCATATGGTGCTGGTGGGATCTAGTTTGACCCAAATTTCCTCGGAAAGGCATCTTGTCCGTACGGGGAGCAACATCACCACGTGTCTTTTCCATATCCTTGATTGCTGCCTCAAGCGTAGAGGCAATGGCAAAAAGCTCCAGAGTGGCCGTGCTATCAATACTGAACGGGTAATACACACCCGTTCCCTCCCACTCAGGAGAGTTGAAAGCCTGGGGCCACACAATGCCAGCTGCACCGCAGAGCAGGCGAATAGAACCATCGCAAAAATAAATCAATCTCTTGCGAACAGTCTTTGGGACAGGAAGTTGAAGAATATTATTAGAAAATTCTAAAGCCTCATCTCGCGTGGTAAGGGAGACAAATCCAAGGAAGTTGTGTCCTAGTTCCCAGGTGAACTTGTAATATGCGTTGTTGGTGTGTATTTTCTTGGAGGGTGGAGAGCCATCATCGGGTACTATGACCCTGCTAGACCAAGGAGCATTTCGCTTCCGCTTGAGGGCATCATTGCTCTGAATGGTCGCCGGTGGGTTTGAAGACTGGGCAGCCGACTGCGACTGTGTGTTACTGGGTGGGGCCTCTCCTCGAGGGGATTCGGGCGACTGTAACTTCGACTGCGCGTTGATAGGCATGGCCTCTCCTATCCCAGTCTCGAGCTGCTGTAACTGCGTGTTATTGGACGGGGCCTCCCCTAGCCCGGGCTCGGGCGACGGGTTCGAGGACCGAACAACCGGACGCCAGCCTAGTTTGCGCTTAGTGTGCCGACGTTTTGCCAGAAAATGAGGGCCCAGTTCGATCAACGCCCCGGGGAGAGATTTGAACTCACGCGCCCCAACAGGTTCACCGAGGGGTTTCAACACAGGCATGAGCAGCGGGTCGAGGATAGGCGCGGGAGGAACTTCAATGGTAGGCCTGGCAACAGGTCTCTGGGTAAAGGATCTGTCACGTCGCGAGGACTGTGGGAGGTAAAGCATATCGTGTACTGAACTTGAGATGGATTGGTCCATCCTTGTTGTCTCGTAGAATTTAACGCCACATGCGATGATAATGAGACAAGAAGTCTGATGAATGGGGCGAGAGGAAAAAAAACAAGAAGAAAGCAAACTACCCGTCGCAAATGTATCCATTTGGCCCCTAGCGACCTTTGGTCACAACGATTTCCTAAAGCGGGAGGTACGCTACATCGCGTCTCCATCTAGTCTGAGTATTATCCCTCTTACTCCACACGACCTCTCTCTTCTTCCATCACTAAAATTGCTACAATGGATCTAATCCATAGGTACACAAACCAAACGCATGGATCGTTATTGGAATGGAGAGCCCTCGGCCAATGTACCTTGCTGCCGCTGGACAAAGACCGAAAGCCCCGAGAAACCGTAAGGTGCAATCTATGGCAGCCTACTACCGCTATTGCGCCACCTGAGACTGTCTTATGGTTAATTTCGACCCTTCCTTGGTACACTTTTATGCTGTGCCTTTTGGTGCTTCTTTTGGTCGTCTCTTGGGGTGTTTTCTTTGGAGTATTTTAAGATATCATGTCTCCACGCATTAGGTACATGATCATTTTTTATTTTTTGAAGTTTCCATACTACTGTTTAGTGAGAAGGATAAGAATTATTAGTTGCAAGGTGTAGAATAGTGAAAATGATATGAATGTGTAGCCCAACCACTGGATAACTATATACTGTGTACTATAATATATATCTTGCGAGGTAGATTATTCCAGATTCTGGCATTAGAGATCCACGTGATTCAATTCTTAGGAATTCCACTTAATCCTCACCTTATAGAGTTGGTACATTCCAAAGTATAATAACCTCAGGTTATAGTTATCCCGCAGGCAAAATTGAACTGGCGCACTGGCCGTAACAGACTGCCATAGCGCGTAGAGCCGCCTCGGGACCCACCTCGTGCAACCTTATTCTAAAAGAGGAAATATAAAATAAAAACACGAAAAAAAGAGAGATGGTAATTCCCAGTAGTACATAGTCTAACAAACTATTAGACTGTGGAGTTTGGTTGCAAGGCCCAGGGCTGTACGAGTAATAAACGTTTGTTTGCACCATCTGGGCTATAGATGCGAGCACTAAACCTTGTTTCCACTATCTTATTCTCCTGTGGGTAAGTCAACATACTGTCACATAAATTTGTTTAAATATTATAGAAAGAGACGAAGAACAAAACAATCCCTCTGGGTTTGCATACCCCTGGGGTCGAACCAGGTAGCACCTAAACCTAATGCCTCTCCTATCACGACCTGAGGACAACATGTACTAACAGGTTAGCTTCGTGGTTGGTCATGGGAATGATATGGAGCTGCTCTGGCGTGGCGAATGATCTCTTGGGCGTACTCCCGGGGTTCTTTGCCGGCTCTGACATCTGTCCAGCTGTACGTTGTCGAGCCCATTTTTCGGAGGGCTTCGGTTAAGGGAGGCTTCCAGCGCTTGACGAGTTCTGAGGATTCTCAGAGCCTCCTTCTCCAAGCCGGTTAACTCCCGCGTCGTACCAGTTCGCTGCCTTATTCTTGAGAGAGTAGCTCATATGGGAGCGTACCACGTCCTCTGACTTCGGCTGACGATGTCTCTCATGTGGTCTATTCAGGAGTAGACGTTCGTGTGGTGATCCACGTGGTTCACTAAATGAATAGTGGTCGTAGCATTATGATCGGGGTCGAATGAACAGATCTCGGACACCTTCCATGTTTGATCGGGTACTTACCCATATATGCGAGTACTTGTGGTGGCCCAGCTAGGCTATACTGCTGGTCTTTGATGTGCCGAGACAGTGACTGGATGTGGCAGTGAGTTCGAATGGGCTCCTACGAGAAGGGCAATGGGGCGGAGATCTTCCAGGTCACAGACGCCCGTCCTTAGGGTAAATTAGCGTTCGTGGTCAGAGGCCGGCCGGAATGAGGATAGCGTCGAAGGTCCAGCGAATACTTGCCTCACTCGATGAGATGTGACCGAGCGCCCAATAAGAAGTAGTGAAAGGTCGGAGCGTTGTCAGGCCAGTAAGCTAGAGGAGAACCAGGTCAAAGTTAGATAGAGGTTGTTAACAAGGCTAAAGTTCGATGGGTGGAGAGAGACCTGAAAAGGGCAAGAGCAAGGGCAAGATGAAGGATAAAACAGGGGACACACTCAGAGAGCTGGCTATTTCAGATGTGAAAGATGTGTTTCTCACAATGGTGTGAGGGGATGAAAGATCAACAAGCAAGACGGGCAGGTAGAAGAAGAGGTGAAAAAGGAGGATGGGGAAAAGAAGGAAGGAGCGAGGGAAGTTATAGGGTGATGTTATATACTACAACACACGTCAGTAGGGAAGAATCTAAAAGATTATATGAAAGTCACATTCGAAAATACATTTTAAGATGTACTTGAAGGGAACTGAAAGGATATTGAAAGTAAATAGAAGAAATATCGAAAGAAAATTGACAGAATTCTCGAAGGCATTCAAATGGATATTATCCATTTGAGAAGATGCCTCAGACGCTCGAAAAGTCATGTGAAAAGACACCCCTACAGAATATTTTATGTATATGCCTACCAACCCAATGACTTAGACTATCAAAGTACGCCGTTAACATAGAGTGGAAGGATAGAGTCTGTCTAAGTAGAGAAACATAAATGAAATTGGTCCCACAGAAACCTAACAATCTACCATAAAATCAAACCAGCAACAACAGTAGGACCTTGTTGGAGACGTATGTTTATTCAATTGTACCAGACAATAGCAACGATGACAAGGATGGCCCCCATGGCTCAGCGCCATCTAACCCCACTAGTTGAAGACCAAGTTTCCATTATCGTTTCCAATGCGCTCGGACAGATTGATATCCGCATGGTGTTCCTCTCCCTCGACATCGCGCAAGATAGCCCGCAGAATAGGGGTGCCGTCGTCTCCCTCGCGATCGAAGCTGATATCATCCGCACTGGACTGGAAGTCCCCGCCATCCCATTGGAATTGTCCTAACGAAACGAGTCAGAAAATTCATTACGACAGCTTCAACCCACGGAGGCCCCACAAGGACCAAGACAGGCTGAACACATACCATTGTCGTTCCCGATGTGATCATTGAGATCAATGGTAGACTCCTCCTCATCACCATCCTCATTGCGAAGCACAGCCTTGAGGATGTGACCATCCTCAAGCTCGATTTGTGAAGCAGATTCGTGGAAGCTCATATTGTCGATTTGGGAGAGAAGAACGCAAAGTAGGGTATGTAGAGCGAGTATCATAAACTTCCTGGATAGCAAAGGCAAACAGGAGACGGGACTCTTCTTATATACCCCATCTGGGTAGGCTAATACACCCCGAATCGCGATCGGGGCTAGGACAAGGAATCATGCAGCAACCCCCGGCTCTTGTCTGACACTTGTCCCCGACTAATTCGTCGCACTGCATCTCGATTGTGCCATGACGGTTAGAAGAGGTGGGGCAGTTGCTGGAAGGAGCGGCATTGGCAAAGCGGGGATACTGTACTCCGAATTACCGGGGATGTCTTGCAAGACAAAGAAAGCTAGGGAGTCGGTCTGTACGGTGTACAGCTGTGGAGAGGAACGGAATGGGAGTAGCCACTACACCGGTACACGTCAGTGGGTGGAGAAAACCCAATGTATCCTGTAGTAAAGACCCTAGGCTGTCATCTTGGCTGAACACTTGGGACACAGGAGTACAGATCACATCATCTCGAGGCCCAGTTATCGTGGCGCATGGAGACATCCCACAGTCACCAGCCACAAGTTTTGCGACATCTCGTGATGTTGCACTGTGCATGCATGCCAAGAATGCACGATTTTATGACAGCCCTAGGGTAAAGCCACAGGATGTGGGCCACACCTGGCCAATGGGTATCGGACCGACCGAGGAGAAACGCTGTTGCCTAATGGAGACAATGCAGTAGACTGGGGCAGATACAGTGCCAAGTCAGTTTGGGGTGCAGCCTCATGTTGTCAATTCTTGGCAAGGCGAGAGGGATTTACTCACCAGTGGCGCTGAGGGGAAGTGTGGCTGGATAAGGCTAGCCTTGTGAGGGTCCAAGGTGGATCAAGAGACAAATAGGTTTCTCTCAGATTTTGGGCATTTAAGAATTACATTACACGTATTGGAGGTGGTTACTCTTGAAACAATCAGGTTGAGAAACTTTTATTTGATACAAGGCAGATACAAAGCGGAGAGTGAAAAAGGAGCATAAACCTCACGAGGCTGGCAACAGGAAAGAGAATCAAAGGAACCCTGGAATTGAAGAAAAGCTTCAGAAGCCTTTCCGGACAATATAGAGCTATCTCTGTATAAAGGTTCGAAAAATTAGGAAGGGGATGAGAGCAGAGCCCCTTCTAAGGTTCAGCTCCTGACGGACAATGGAGAACCCAAGCAAGTACAGTCAGTATCCACAGCGGTCGCAGGGGCACTGCCTGCAGGTTTGTACCCCGACATGCTTCGTGTCATTAGACGGGGAGACCCCAATCTAGATTTAGCCTAACCTGGGCCGCAGCAAAGATCCAATCAGTGCTCTCAATAGATCCATCATTGGATGTGAGACTGAGCTGTTGAAAGAAAGGAGAGAAAGTAGAAGGCAGGTATTTATATTGTCCTGGCTGAAGGCGATGGGGGAACTGGGGGTGGTGAGTTATGTTATGGCCAAAAAGGAAAGGTGAGAAGTTACACGCCTAACAAGGAAGTCTTGAAAATGAGAAAATGTGTATGCATTGTTCTTGAGAATATCCTTCCCAATATGAAAGACGCCGAACACCGATTGCAAACTCCCATGCCTTACAAGATCGACATATGCATAGAATCGACCCATCCCATAGCACACATACCAGGTGTATCAACAGAAACACATTAGAATCATAATAAATCACAGATTAAACTCCATTACGGTAGATTTGAGATCCACCAGAACGGATTTGGATGGTGTCCCGTCGCTGCAAGACCACCAGGGCACGATTAAGAGCTTGCTCGGTATAGTTCTTGCCATCAACAAAGTCACGGCGCAGGGTTGCCAGGCTTGTGCTCCAACCAATGGGGAGGCGACGCTTCAGCTCGTCTTCAATCTTGCTGCTCTGCTCCATCAGTTCCTTGCTGCCTTGGCCCTCGCCCTGGGTGATGGCATCCATGGTGGAGGCCAAGAACAGACGGATGGCCTCGTCCACGTGGGCTTCTGTGGCAATGGGGGAGAGAGAAAGCTTGGCGAGGGACTCGGAGATACGGACAATAGCCTCGAGTTGACGGACGGTGATGGGGATCGATGAGCGAGAGTTGGATTCCATCTCGGCACGGTGGACTTGCTTTCGGATGGAGACGAAGTGGGACGAGAGTTTTTCGGCGGCTTCGGGCGAGAGACGGGGCGCACAACGACTAGAAATAGATGTTAGTATGAACATAGCGGTTTAATCAGTAATGGGTATCAACATACCTGCGGCAGTAGCTGATGTAACGCTTCATCTGCTCAACGGGAACCTCGGCTTCCACCTGCTCCTCCACACCGCGACCACCCATGTGCACACCCATAACGTGGCGAGCAATCTTCTCGTCACGGCCGCGCTCATGTTCATCGCGAACGATGAAGATCATATCGAAACGGGACAGGATAGTAGTTTGGAAATCGATGTTCTCGCCGGGGGTCTTGAGATCATCGTATCGACCGAAGACAGGGTTAGCTGCGGCCAGTACAGACGTTCTCGAGTTGAGGATTGTGGTGATTCCGGCCTTGGCGATAGAGATGGTCTGCTGTTCCATAGCTTCGTGAATGGCCACTCGGTCCTCGTCACGCATCTTGTCAAACTCATCAATACACACGACACCACCATCAGCAAGCACCATGGCACCACCTTCGAGATAGAACTCGCGAGTGTTGTGGTCTCGCTGCACGGAGGCTGTCAAACCGGCGGCAGAGGAACCCTTTCCAGATGTGTAGATGGCAATGGGGGCAGCCTTTTCGACGAACTTCAAAAGCTGGGACTTGGCAGTACCGGGGTCACCCAGCATAAGCACGTTAATATCACCACGAAGCTTCATTCCATCGGGAAGAATCTTCTTCGAGCCACCCATGAGCAGACACACGATGGCTTTCTTTATATCCGCGTTTCCATAAATAGACGGGGCAATGCTCCGAGCAAGTGCATCGTACAAGTCAGGTCTCCGGCTGAGCTCCAAGAATTCTTGTTCCTCTTCTTCGGAGAAGACGGAGGCGCCCTTTGCTGTCTGGTCGACATCGGAGGTGAGACCCACTGCACGAAGATAGGGATTGCGGATAGCTACGGCAGCCTCCTTCTTTACACCCTTCGCTTGGTAGATAGAGAAGATACCCATGACTGTGCAACGGGAACCGGGAACAACTCGGTTGGCAAGGTACCGATCGGCTGAAACAAGGACGTGTCGCGGCATCTCACCCACTGGCACCTGGTCAGGGGCTTCTTGAAGCTTGAGGACTTGCTGGTCCACAAATTGACATTTCTCGTGGTAAACAACGTAGGGATCCAAAGGACATTGCTCGTTGGGTTGATCATTTTCGTTCCTGGGTCGACCGCAGCGACGGGGCAGTGTGAGGCCAGAGAAGCCAGCATCGACCTGAATGTTCTCGCTGTGATCGCAACCCTTGCAGCGAACGTGAACGATTGTTGATTTAGAAGATATTGTTGAAGCTCCGATCACAATTCCGGGAATTCGAACGAGGTGGGAGATGTTGGTGGCATTGAGATCACGAATTGAGATGTGCGATGCCGAGGAGTGTAGGAGCAGTTGGTGGGAGGGTAGTGTGATATCTCGCTGCCCGGGGAAGACAATTCGTGCAGTACATTGCTTCAGGGCCAGCTCGAACTACTTCGAGTTAGCGAGGGCTAAGATTAGCGGGATAAGAGACTTACAAGAGGGATGATATCGCCGGGCTCGGTGGTGAGTTTATGAGCCAACTCTTCGTTGTAAGAAATCAGATGGGCAATGTCAATATCACAGTAGTATTGTTTCACTAGAGCATTTTGTCGTAATTGATCACTATTTCATCATAAATTAGCCTTTACTGGACACTCGCGGCCGTGGGGTGCGTACCGATAGACGAATGCATTATCCAGCTGAAATTCTAGCACGAAATCTCGCAGACGATTTTGAATAGTTGTGCGATCTTCATCAGCGCCATTTGTGCTGGGCGCAAGTACGCTCAAAGTATAGGGGGTGCGTCTATCCATGGTGTAGAGGACCGCAAATGTGGCAGGTTGGGGGGGTTGATGATTTCGCGGAAGGGAGGCTTCAAGAACTTTTGGTCAGTGTGGAACCAACGCGACGCGTGGAAGGTTTCGCGCGTTAAGTGGTTTCTGAGTCATCTGTGGCCTAAGGCACTGTGGATTCTGGCCTAAGGCTCAAATGATCTGAGTCAGCATGGGGAAGCACCCGGCGTTAGCGCACTAGCCGATTGGGGAGCCATGACCAGCTTGATAGACACAAAGCCACATCATCACAGGCATTCTGCACCCTGGACCCGAGTGAATCCGGACCAAAATTACGAATCGCAGACGCTGACTTGATCAGCATTGGGCCGTACCTGAGCCTGCCAGAGCTCTACCGTCAGGGGTTTATCCACTGTCATGATCAGATAACACGGAGCACACCAACGATCGACCCTCCCCCGGTGGCTGTCCGATCCGGCTCGTGGCAGCCATGTCGTCAACCAGTCCACGAAAGTCAATTGATAGCTTGGCGTCTGGGGTCTCGTCACCTTCAATCTCTTATTCAGCAACTCAGCTGGAATCTCCGCGCGCGGCCCCTCAGAGGTTCCCCCTGAGGAGGGGGTCAACCGCGAGCTCGATCGTGAGCATTGGAGGTGTTCTGGACTCTTCCCACTATCGTGGCTCAATCGCAGAATCTGGGCAGAATGGTTTGTGACCTTGGAAGTTTCCAACTGCTCGATGATTGACCTGTTAACATCGGTGTAGCCATTTCGACCCTCCTCCAGCCCCCAATCATCCGCACCGGTATGACAACCGGCAGTGCCACAGCGTCCGTCGGCTTCAAGCCCCCTTCATCCCGTGATATTCCTCCGGTTACCCTGACAAACATCAAGCATGTGGATGCAAAGGTCTTTCAGCCATATCTGTCGCAAGTGGGCACTTTGTACGATGTGTTTCAACAACCGAAAGAAGGCGCAGAGGATACCCTGGTTCAGGCTCCCAAATCTCCCAAGCCAGATTCTGATCGCGATTCGTTGATGCCATGGTCTCCCGACCGGAGATCTTCGGTGATGTCAACCGGTTCAAGATCCTCTTCGCCATATGATACTCGCGGTCGACGCCACTCCACTGGCCGTGGTCGGGGCCCTGCGGTAACTCCTCTATCCACCATCCCACCAGTTTACTTTGAAGAGGGCTTCCATCTGGAAAACCCCCGTACGTTCGATGTAATATCAGAGAAATCAGATGTGGTTCGACCGCCGAGGCCTCCGACAAAAGACGATAAACACGCTAATGGATTGGTTGCGGAGCCAGTACAAACAGGAAGAAAAGCACTGGCAACGAATGCTATTCTACAAGAAAAGCTTTCGTGGTACATGGATACTGTGGAGATCCACCTTATTTCGTCTATCTCAACTGCATCTAAATCCTTCTTCACTGCGCTCGGATCTCTCCGAGAATTGCACGCGGAAGCCGCTGACTCGGTCAACCGGATACAAGTATTGAGAAGGGACCTGCAAAAAATTGATAAAGAAATGGCTCTTGGCGGTCTCAAAATTGTTAATTTGAGACGACGAAGAGAAAATGTACGAATGTTGGCAGCTGCCGTGGCTCAGCTTCGCGATGTAGTAGAATCTGTCTCTCGATGTGAAGAATTGGTGGAGCAGGGCGACATTGAGGAGGCTGCGGATGGACTCGAAGAAGTGGAAAAATTGATGGCCGGTGAAAAGCTCTCCGACCGTGCCCCTTCTGAGGACGAGGAGGGTGCCCCCAGGCGCATTATCGACCTGCGAGGGATCAAGGCCCTCGAGGGAGCATCCGATGACCTGGCACAGCTCCGCCAACGCATTGGCATGGGCTATGAGACCCGGTTCTTGAATGAACTCTTGGGCGATTTACGACAGCATGTTCAAACTGTGCCATCGAATGTGACCCTGCAGCGCTGGGGAAACTCATTCCAACGGCAGCGCGGCGGCCAGCGGTCTGGAGTATCGGTGTCGCCTGCCTACATGGATTTCAATAACGAGTTACGGTCCCAATTGAATACCCAACTCAATGGACTCGCGCGTGCTCGCTATACGATGTCAGCAGCAACTTCTTTCAAAACCGCTGTTTTGCGGGAAATGAAGGGGCTTATTCGCAAACACCTTCCCAGTTCTAGTGATGATGATAATGAATCTATGGTGTCGCTATCAACACATGCCGGTCCTCAGCTAAGCCAGCAAGAGAAGTCATCAATCCTTGCTCGCAATCTACGCGCACTCGACCCAGATGATGCTTATGCGATGTTGATGAATGTCTACACCGGGATTGGCGAATCGCTCAGGCGACTTAGCGTCCAAGTAAAGGTTCTTCTGGATATTGCTAGCGGCTTGGGGAACTCACCAGCTTCCGGTGTCAAGTCACCACCACGGAGCCCCAACCCGCAAAGTATGGATCAAGCTATGAAATCTCCGCAGATCGGGCCAACTGCCTCTGACATGGCCCAAGATGAGATCCTGCAGGTCTTGGATATGTCGAGTCTGCTTGGTCAAGCAGTTGATATCGCTCAATCCCAGATAACGAAAGTATTGAAAGTACGATCTGAACAGACCGCACAGCTTTCCAAGGAGGAATTCCTCAAGTACTTCACTCTTAATCGCCTGTTTGCCGATGAATGTGAGGCGATTTCGGGACGCAGTGGTACTGTTTTGAAGACCATTGTCGGAAATCAAATCCGCGATTTCATTACTCGTTTCGGTGACGGTCAGCGTCATCAAATTGTCAATGTCATGGATGCCGATCGATGGGACGCACGCGATTTTGGAGATGCCGAGAACACTATTCTTACTAGGATTCTCGATGCAAGCACGAAAGACATCGACGCCTGGGTCGAAGTTTCTAAAATCTGGATTCAATCTACCGAAGAGCAAGACAAACTTGCGGATACTGCTGCAAATGGGACAGACAAATCCAAGGTTCGAAGTGCCGTTATCGACGAACAGAAATACCTTCTGCCGTCCTCTGCTGTTGCCATGATGCGCAGCATTGAGGAGTTCGAGTTCCTTATGTCGAATATCCCCAGCATGATCCAGGATATTGCGCCACATCTACTAGATATCCTGAAACTGTTCAACTCGCGGTCATCCCAGTTGATTCTTGGGGCTGGCGCTACGCGTAGTGCAGGCCTGAAGAACATAACAACTAAGCACCTCGCGCTGTCATCACAAGCATTGAGCTTTGTGATTGCTTTAGTCCCATATGTACGGGAATTTGTCCGCCGCCACGGACAGGCAAACCCCTTGATGGCGGAGTTCGACAAAGTCAAGCGACTTTGCCAGGAGCATCAGAGCGGTATTCATGAGAAGCTGGTGGATATCATGAGCTCCCGCTCTTCGGTCCACGTGAATGCGATGAAGAAGATCGACTGGAATACCAATGGCGCAACTCCTGCTGTGAATCCTTACATGGAAACTTTGGCCAAGGAAACAGGCACTCTCCATCGCGTCTTAAGCAAGCATCTTCCAGACATGACAGTTAGCATGATCATGGTACCCGTATTCAACAGCTACCGTGATCAGTGGACGAAGGCCTTTGAGGAGGCCGATGTACAGACGGAGGCTGGAAAGAAGAGGTTAGTTTAAACTATGCCAATCCCGCTCACGGCTAATGCTAACCACACACCTATATAGAATGGAAACCGACATCGAGCATTTCCGAACCAAACTGAGCAAAATCGAAGGCGCCAGCGAGGTTGGCGACAAGCTCCTCGAAGTCGTGCGAGCCAAGACCATTATCATTACCGACGAACCCGCGAAGTCCGAGCCGAGTGAAAAGCAACCGGATCAGGACGATGGCTCTGATTCCACCAAGTCCTGATTTGCATCCTCGCCTTTTTACCCTTTTATACATATAATTTTGTTTCTACATGTTGCTTTCTTGCACGCTCATTCCCGAGCTGTACACTTCTTGTCATTACCGCTACTACATAACTGTCTACTTGCATTTATAGAGCTAGCCTGGCGTTTGTGGATATGAATATAAGAGCAGATGTGATTTTCAATCTAATATTTAGTATTTACACATTGTGACTGAACATAAGATTGGCCACATTATCATACTCTTACTCTTTCTGCTAACCAAGAACCAAAGTATGACATGGAAATATCGCGTATCATTCATAATATATGTAACTCATCACTAAAATACTCATACAGGATACTCGCCATCCATCACATAACATCATGTTAAACATTGACCGATTCATTTCCCAGCAGTGTTCTTCTCATCAAGAGAAACAGGCCTCGCAGCACCACCGTGGGGATGCTCCGATCCAGCGGTCGGCAATCCAGGGTGGACGTCACGGCCAGAGCCAGTCTGTTCAGGCATGGGAGCGGCCTTGTGGGAGCGGCTCAAGTCTGCGGGCTGGGGGGTGTTAACGAAAATTCACGATTGAGTTGGAATTGTAGCGGAACATACCTCATTACCGATTCCGTGGGCCTTGTTGGGACCGTTCTCGATTGGGTTATCGCTCTGGGGGACACCGTTGTCGTAGTCTGCGCCGCGAACCATTTTGATTTTGGTAGGGAGAAGAGAAAAGGTGGAAGGTTTTAGTAGTGTAGAATTGGTTTTGTAGGATTGGTTGTGTAGGATTGAAATCAAAGGTAATTGATGCTTCTACTTATACTTGGCCATTTCGTTCTGGTAGCCCGTGACAGCATTCTGAAATCATAGTGGGGAATATGACTTCATGTCCCGTTGTATATCAAGATCTTGGCGAAATTGCCTTGGAAATGGATCTGGGTCTAGATATTGGAATGCCAGGATTCTCTTGTCCCTGATGATGTTATAATTAGCGGTTAAATATTTCAATGCGTTCATTGGGATATATAGACTTCACGGGACCGATTGTCGAGTTCGGTAAAATATCTAAACATTTTCCGACCTCTACATCGAGAAGTTGCTTTTAGTGAGATGGACTAATATTATAGACTAATATTATAAACTAATATGATAGACTAATATGATAGTCTTTCTCACGTATCGAACTCTGTTATACCAAGATTGTACTTAAATAGCTGCCGAGTGAAGGGAAAGAAATGAATCTACTACATATGCTCGGGCTACATCATTTTGACTGCGAGTTATTTCAGCAGTATATTGAGACATATTATCCCTGGCCAGTCCACAAGGATCTATTGCGCGTTGAAAATGAGGTTTTATATAGTTAGATGACGTTCGATTGCTTTGCCATCCACTGTTTGGCGACCCAAGGAGAAGTGGGTGCGGGTATGCAACATCCAGGAAACATGATTGATATAAAAGACCATTTATTTTTATGATTTCTGATATGCTTCTGCTGGCAAATTCCAACCGTAGCTCCAATCCAAGTCCGACAAAATATTGAGTCCCATGAGAAATAAGTGAAGACCAACGTAAGGGTAACAAAAGAAAACGGGGATTCCGTATCGACTTTCAGTGAGTGTGATCATGTGAGCACCGACTCATCCCTTAACGGTATCGGCGGTTTTGGGCAGCTGATCCAGCACTTAGACACATTTCCCAACCAGATGGATCAACATTCTCATCGATGAGATCAGTTTCGACACGCAAGGGAAGATCCTCGTCAGAGGGAGCATAGAACCCCATATGGCCTACAGGACCAGCCCAAGAGGAGTTAGGTGCAATATCTGAGAAGGTGATTGAGACTCGATTTAAGGCTCGAGAGCCATGCAACGACCGAGGACTAACTAGCTCTGCGGGGGAGATTACCCCAGATCGACGGGCCCTGCAGTGCCCGCACCGTGGGCCTGGCCTGAGCGAAGACGGCAAACTGTCACTGTGAGTTTGGAGGCCGGTTTGTTCTCGCGGACTATGTTGGTATGGGAGGCGGTTTACAAGGTGAGGGCTGTTGTCACCGCGGTGGTGATAGGGATGACTGCGGAGAGCGCGGTGTCGTCCTGCTAGACAGCTGCCGCATATTGAGGTTGGTCGGTCAGGGTGCTGGGGGACATCAGATGATGCCGCCGCAGGGGAAGAATGAGTGGTTGATGAGATGCCGGATGGCCGAGAGCTGGGCTTTGCTGCAGATGAAGGAGTGGATGAGGTACTGGGTAGGTGGGAGGTGGGTGTTGCAGGAGGCAGGGGAGGTAATGGACCGTGTTGGATTTTACGGCTGAGACTGTATGGTCGATAGTGTACTGGTGTAGTCACTTCATGGGTTGTATCTTCGGGAATGGACAGTAGGGCATCATTCTGGCTGTTGTGTAGGATGGCACTGCACGCTTTTCGAATTTTTAGTGGTCGCGGTATGACATTCGATGGGATATGCCAGTTGTTCAGGATGGAATTTCGTTTGTTGTGTGTATGGCGGATAAGGACCTCTGCGGTCGACGCCCGGGCTTTGGCCCTCCTGATGGATGAGCGTGACATGCCTGATGAGGGTGTATGTGGAATAACTGGATCATCACTTTGTGGGGAATCTGCACATAAACAGATACCGTTCTCGAAAAGAACTGGTGGGTTGCAGTTGCAAAGAGCTGAGGTGATGAGGCAGCATAATCGTGGATCGGGATGTCGTGCGAAATACAAATCCGGGAGTTGAGGAGGCAGGTCTTCAATCACTGGGAGAGTAGCCATGCCAAAACTAACGTCGGCGAAAGAAGAACGAAACTGCTCATATTGCATTTCACCACTTAACTCGGCAGGTATGGCTGGGCTCATTTCCCTAACTGCAGAAAGCTCGTACACATTCTTATGAATCTCAAATACAGAAACTGGATCTGACTCTGACTTCTCACCGTCACAACTCAAAACAGACAAGTCCGGGTTCACAAGTCTCAGCGCAGAATGATCATCCCCTTGCCAGCTTCCACGGGGATCGGGATACTTGGGTTTGGTAGCCTCAGGGAGCGCAATTCTGTCAATCAGAGGGCCGTTGACCACATCCACATCAAGGTTAGAAGACTGCTGTCGTGGGCTCTCTGCCGGTGTGGTCATAAGCCACTCATCTAGCATCGTATTATCCTTGTTGCTGAAAACCGACCTCCTTGGACTTGAGACCTGGCTATCACTGCGGTGCCGAAAAAAATGACTCGGATATCGATCATTGAGGGCATCAAAAACGATGCGATTGACCTCTGAGTCTGGGACAATTCGATAACGCTTCCGCTCAATCTTGTTGATCAACTTGATCCTCACGTTGCCGAGAGGAGTGAATACCCAACTTCTCAGCCAACGCTTGACCTTTAGCCGCCTGCGTGCTTTCTTCCGTTCAGACATGCTTAATGCGACTGGAGATCGAAGCTCAGAACTCGCAGTAATCACAAGAGAGGAGTTCTTCGGGGCGGGATGCTGCAGAGGCTGTCTTTCTTTTGGTCTCATCTCGCTCAGCCTTTTATATATTTCTGATGTGGTATACTGGTATCTCCGAGCTCGACATGAATGAGTCTTTCAGTTGATCCATATCGAAGTGACACAACATTTCGTGTATTAGGGAAGACTCAATCTCAGTTACAATGAGGATGGGAACAAACACTGGTTTGAGACTTTTGAGGTTCTTTGTTGATGTTGGCAACGATGAGCTCTTTGTTTCCATGTCTCTTGATGACTCAACTGTGGTAGTCCTAGCTATCCATGTCGCTAGCAGATTGGGTTAAAAGAAATGTGGTCTCATTATGCTGGTGATCACGGAATCTACATCTTGGATATGGGTGTATAGTACTGGCTGGAGCCGATGCTGTCCCGGTGGAAGCATCCTTGAGGCAGGTCAGACGTTTCAGGATCTCGGAGATCTTCCATTCCCAGGAAGAGAACTCTACCTTGATAGAGACAAGAAACACAGTGTACAAAAAAGTAGTTTGCATCTGCTATGTTGTACGGTATAGGCATATTTTAACACTAATGAGAAAGTTGGACTGCCAAGGCCATCATTCTCTCCAACATAGCCCGCGCATTCTTCCCACCAATAAATTGTGTTAGTAAAAGCCATCTGAAGCCATCTGAAGCCATTCATGCCTATATTAGTGGTCATTTATGTAGATCAAGCTCTGGCGGGGCCGATTTGGCCAGTGGAGTGGCAGATGACATCATGAGCTTTCCAGCTTTCCCCAGATCCGACAAACTGCAATTGGATGAACCCTGAGGGTTGTAGACTGGGATTGATGGCAAACATAGATCAGCTGGTCAATAAACGGAGAGAAACGCCATTAACAGCAAGGGAGAAAATATATCGGGAAGAGGGAGAGAACAAGGGTGATCCTGTACTATGACTGCTGGTCCCACTGTTACGACAGTGACATAGGGAGTACCAGGTACATCGTACCATTCATTCAAGACAATTGCCAATTTAAAAAAAAAGGAAATCTCTTCAAATATTTCAAAGTACTTTTCTCAACAGTTCTCGGGTGGAATTTCCCTAGCAGAGACTTTTTAGCCTAAGCGCACGGTAGCTCTTGGGTCACACCCGTAAACCAGCCCGGAGAAAAACTCTTGACACACCGGGACAAGGAACGGGAAGTCTTGTATCCTCTTTTGATCTCTTCTATCCTCAATTTGATCGACATCTCCCAATTCCCCCCAACTCCCCCCAGCCACCCCAGACAGCTCGCAAGTCAAGGTCCACTTCTCCCCGCACAGACGTCCGACAGCTCTTCCAAGGTTGCGCTCAACCCCTCTCTCCTCGCTTTTCATTTCTCTTTCGCTTTTTCTGCTGAGGCATAATGGAGGGAAACGGCGAACCCATCAAGCGTGATGTGCGCAACCACATGCTCTTCGAGGTGGCCACTGAAGTGGCTAACCGAGTAGGTGGTATCTACTCGGTCCTCAAGTCCAAAGCTCCTGTGACCACTGCGGAATATGGTGAACGGTACACTCTGATCGGCCCACTCAACAGGGCTTCGGCGGCGGTGGAGGTTGAGGAGCTCACGCCGACCAACCCGGCCATGCGGGAGACGATCCAGTCTATGAAGGAGCGCGGCATCGACATAGTCTACGGTCGCTGGCTCATTGAAGGTGCCCCTCGGGTACTGCTCATTGACACGAGCACTGGATATAAGTGGCTAGACGAGTGGAAGGGCGATCTTTGGACTACTTCGGCCATCCCGTCCCCCGCCGGTGATAACGAGACCAATGAGGCCATCGTTTTTGGATACTTGGTTGCTTGGTTCTTGGGAGAGGTATGTTCCAATTGTTCTCCACGTTGGATATGGCAAAAGCGGATGATTGACCCACATGTCCCGCTGTAGTACATTGCGCACGATCGTCGCCGTGCGGTTATCGCCCATTTCCATGAATGGTTGGCTGGTGTGGCTCTGCCACTGACCAAGAAGCGCCACATGGATCTCACAACTGTCTTCACTACCCACGCGACGTTATTGGGTCGTTACCTTTGTGCTGGCTCGGTTGACTTCTATAATAACCTCCAGTACTTTGACGTGGATGCGGAGGCCGGCAAGCGAGGAATCTACCACCGTTACTGTATTGAGCGGGCGGCTACTCATGCTTGTGATGTCTTTACGACAGTATCGCATATCACTGCGTTTGAGAGTGAGCACCTGCTGAAGCGCAAGCCTGATGGTGTGCTGCCTAACGGTCTGAATGTCAAGAAGTTCTCTGCCATGCACGAGTTCCAGAACTTGCACTCTCAAGCCAAGGAGAAGATCAACGATTTCGTCCGTGGCCATTTCTACGGCCATAACGACTTTGATTTGGATAACACTCTATATCTCTTCACCGCGGGTCGCTACGAATACCGCAATAAGGGTGTCGATATGTTCATTGAGTCGCTAGCCCGTCTCAATCATCGCCTGAAGAGCGCTGGGTCAACCATGACCGTGGTCGCGTTCATTATTATGCCAGCACAGACCTCCTCATTGACAGTGGAAGCACTCAAGGGACAGGCGGTCGTCAAGTCTCTACGCGACACCATCGAGAACATCGAAAAGGGGATCGGCAAGCGCATGTATGAGCGCTGTCTTTCCTGGAAGGAAGGCGACAACATGCCCGATGACAAGGATCTCATCACCAGTCAAGATCGGGTGATGCTCCGTCGTCGCCTGTTCGGCATGAAGCGCCATGGTCTTCCCCCGATTGTCACCCACAACATGCACAATGACAGCGAGGATCCCATCCTGAACCAGCTGCGTCGTGTCCAGCTGTTCAATCACTCCTCCGACCGGGTGAAGGTTGTCTTCCACCCCGAATTCCTCAACTCCGCCAACCCCGTATTACCGCTTGACTACGATGACTTTGTTCGCGGAACCCATCTGGGTGTCTTCCCCTCCTACTATGAGCCGTGGGGATATACCCCGGCCGAATGTACCGTGATGGGTGTGCCTAGCATCACCACCAACCTGTCTGGATTCGGTTGCTATATGGAGGAGTTGATTGAGAATTCCTCCGATTACGGAATTTACATCGTGGACCGTCGCGCCAAGGGCGTTGACGACTCGGTCAACCAACTGACCGAGTATATGTTCAACTTTACGGAGAAGAGTCGTCGTCAGCGCATTAACCAGCGTAACCGTACGGAGCGTCTGAGCGATCTGCTCGATTGGAAAAGAATGGGCTTGGAATATGTCAAGGCTCGCCAGCTGGCATTGAGAAGAGGTATGTTGCAATTCCTATCCGTTTTGTAAGTGATTGGTCTAATTTTTTGTCCAGCTTACCCATCCTCCTTCGAGGGCCAAGAGGATTACTTCGATATCATTGGAGGAACCGAACAGAAGCTCTCCCGCCCGCTTTCCGTTCCTGGATCCCCTCGGGATCGGTCCGGAATGATGACCCCCGGTGACTTTGCCTCTCTGCAAGAAGGCCATGAGGGATTGAGCACCGAGGATTATATTGCCTGGAAGCTACCGTAAGTGGTTCATCTTATCTTTATCATCAAATCCTAATCAATTCCACAGTGAAGAGGAAGAGCCCGAAGAGCACTTCCCCCTCACCCTGCGAACACGCAAGATGAACGAACGTGCTGCATCCCCTCTGGACAGTATAAACGTCAGCCGCCGAACCAGTGAGGACTCCGGAACTGCAGCTCGGACGGAATAAAGGGTTTTTGGAATTTTCTTTGCATCTTCACAGGCCCCGAGTGACGTCATGTGTTTAATCACTTTATCTTTTAGTGCATTTGAAGCCTACGTTTGTTTTAGATATGAAATCGAGATTTATTTCAATATGTAACATGTAACTCTTGCGGAGCTGTAGCGGAGGGATGACCTCCGAGTAATCCACTCGCCTGACATCGGAGCTACATCGGATCATATAGAGTTCATACGGTGAACCAAGATGATTCACGCATGAAGTGCAGTCCGGCCTGGACTATTTCTACCCCTCCTGCCCCTCCCCCTCCATCTTCCTTTCCACCCATCTCCAATACTCTCAACTCGTCTACCATCGGTACGACTCTCCCATGGAGCCGCGCACGTCCAGTGCCCCGCGGGGTCGGACTATGTCCTCGCTATGAAGGGATCAAGGTATTTGTTCGTATAACAGTCGTTGCCCACGCATGACAGGTGTTCGGTCCAGTCGGTTGATGGGAAGAACTCTATACACCCGTCCCATCCAGGACCCTATGGGTTTCTTCTTCTCACAACTGGCTGGCTGATCTGAGATTATACTGTCAAAACTTGATCTAGACAATACTAGCGAAAGGACATGCGTGACTTTGATTGTTCCCCCGTTTGTGTTTTGTGTCTGGCTCTGCTCGTGCTGTGCTGTTGACTGTTCAATTGAATACATAGATTGAATGGAATCTGTACTAGACAGAGCAGAGCTGGATACTTTCTCTCTTGGCATGCTGACCCAATGAAGTACTCAAATAGCTGAATCTTTCTGCCATCATGTCTACCGACAAGATTACTTTCCTGACAAACTGGTATGCTGACATTATCCCAGAATCAGTTCTGAGCTCAGTGCTCTTGTAGTTACATTTTGGCTAAGTTGTTCTAAAGGCACGCCACCCCGTACCACGCCCCCCTCTACCTCGCCCAGGCCAGAGGCTACTTCAAGGATGAAGGTCTCAAGGTGGCTCTGCTCGAGCCTAATGACCCCTCCGATGTGACCGAGATCATCGGAAGCGGCAAGGTCGATATGGGCTTCAAGGCCATGATCCACACCCTGGCGGTATGTATACTCCAACATAACAGACATGTCAATCGTACTAATACCACATCCAGGCCAAGGCCCGCAACTTCCCCGTGACCTCGATCGGCTCCCTCCTCGACGAGCCCTTCACCGGCGTCGTCTACTTGAAGTCCAGCGGAATCACCGAAGACTTCCGCTCCCTGAAGGGCAAGCGCATCGGCTACGTCGGCGAATTCGGCAAGGTAAGAATATCCCCCTCCCCCAATCCAGTCCCAACACTCCTAACCAATCCCAGATCCAAATCGACGAACTCACCAAGTACTACGGCATGACCGCGGACGACTACACTGCCGTCCGCTGCGGAATGAACATAACCAAAGCCATAATCCAAGGCACCATCGACGCCGGCATCGGCCTCGAGAACGTGCAAATGGTCGAACTGGAAGAATGGCTCGCAGGCCAAAACCGACCTCGCACAGACGTCCAAATGTTGCGCATCGACCAGCTCGCCGAGCTAGGCTGCTGCTGCTTCTGTTCGATCCTGTACATCGCGAACGACGCCTTCATCGCCGCGAACCCTGAGAAGGTCGCTGCGTTCATGCGCGCCGTGAAACGCGCCACGGACGATGTCCTCTCGGACCCGGCGTCCGCATATGCGGAGTACATTGACGTCAAGCCAATCATGGGCACCGATGTTAATCGTAAGATCTTTGAGCGGTCGTTTGCATACTTCTCGCGGGATTTGAAGAATGTTCAGCGTGATTGGACTAAGGTTACGAACTATGGAAAGAGATTGGGGATTTTGGATGAGGGTTTTGTTGCGAATTATACTAATGAGTTCCTTACTTGGGGACTTGATGCGGATTCCACTGATCCTACTGGTGATCAGAAGCGTATGGCTGCGCTTCAGCAGGAGGTTGCTGCTGATGGTGGTTACAAGCGTCTTGAGGTTAAGGCCTCGGCTTAGGTTGGGGGTTTACTGCACTCCACTACCTCTTGGTGAAGATTTTTTTGTCCTGGGCTTCACTCTTTAGCCTTGGCTGCTTGAGATAAATTGAAAAAAACCTGCCGTTTTGGTGTATCACCTGTGCTGTAATGAGGTAGTGAAAATTCGCAGAGTAGAATGCCTGGAAGTATACCTGAAGTCTACAAACGACATTTTCATTATGACTTGTGGCAAAGAAAATCAAATTAAGAGAAACAATAATGCGTGAACATCGTGGATATTGTATAAATGGTTTGTCTCCCAAGGTCATTAACATCAAAGTCATTACGCCTCATGTCTCATAATAAGGCACCGTGCTGCACTTCCTCAAGGGACAATCGAGGGCGCACCCTCATTCCCTGCACGATCAAGCATGGCTCGTAGCCGACTCTCCGCGGACTCCAAAGAAGGACTAGATTCAGGCCCGGCGATACTCGCAGTCCACTTCAGCCAGCCAAGGAGGGATTGGATGATTTCCGGGCCCGAATTCCCTACGGCAGGCGAACCCTCACCGTCCAGATTAGATTGCGAAAGAAGATTGGATTCAGCGGAGGATCCATCATTTGCAGTCGCCTCTAGATGAACCTCCGACACCACAGCGGGCGTGGCCATATGAGATGGTCGCTGTTCGCGATTGCCAGCAGCATTTTTTGCAAGGAGATCACGTCCGCTATGTTTGGGTCTTGATGCGAATTCGCGCGTGAAAGGGGTTGAGGATATGGTCTTCGGGCTAATAGGCGAAACAGCTTCCGCCTCAGTGGCCATGTTTGGAGATAGTGGAGGAAGCCCTCTCTGAGTCGTTTGGGCTGATGTTCCATTCTGTTCCAGCATAGACGCAGTCTGCCGCAGATTTTCTAAATACCGATGAAACGAGAACGGGTGCATATCACCAGCTGGATCAACCGGACTAGCCTCCTCATTAGGTCCGAGTGCACCCGACGGAGCACAAATCTCACCCAACGGCGCAATATGACTTCCATACTCATTGGAAAGACTCAGCTTGCTCCTTCCACAGATCTCAGCAATGGAGTCCAGAGTACCACGGATATCAGGCTCGATGGCTTGCAGTATGTTCTCGATACTGAAGTCCTTATCGGACGGAAATATGATATCTGGCTCGGACGGACGAGGAGTTCGGCTCCTCGAGCTGGAGAATGAGAGAAATCGACGTGCGGACATAGCAAGCGGTCGTGTAGTTCTGTCCTGGACATCGCCCGAATACGCCCTGACAAGCACGGGGCGCGTAGCGAGTGTCGACGAGCGCCGCGCAGGGGGGTTATCAACTCGGACAGGGCGTGACTGAGGTCTCGGGGAACCGTTCAGCTGGCGCAGGGCCGTGGCACCGTATGCGGTTGCTTGATCTTCGGAGACGTATCGCTGGTTTGTTTGGTGTGAGGGGCCGGCAGCGGCGACTGGAGACGCGTGGGATGGGGACAGTAGTCGTGGCCATTCTTGTCGAGGCAGGGAAGACGACGGCCGTGTACCGGACAATATATCTGACTCCATCTCCGTACTTGCGGTAGCGTACAGCTACGTCCTTGTTATGCAGGAGACAGCGCAGAGACTAACCCCGCTCTAGGAGGGCACAGGACTCTGAGGGAACTAGGGTTCAGCTCACGAGGGGGGCATCCACGTCGTGCATATTCTCCGGCATGCGGTGGATGTTTTGTCTGGGTGTATGTAAACAATCCGATGGGTAGTGGGGAGATGGGGATGTGTTGCGCTGATGCGCGGGCACTGAAGCTGTTAATAATGCCAACGGGTGGTCTAGATACCTTGCACTATTAGAATTACGAGTAGATGCCTTAGCAGAATATGCCTTGGAGATCTTGTCCAAAGCTCAAAGAAGCACAAACTGGAAACACTCTGCCACGAGCAACGATTCGTGAACAACTGACAAAAAGCCATTTCATGAATCTCCCAAGCTTGGCGTTCTTAGCACCGAGGCATCACCACGTTTCCCCAGTGTTTACTCATCCACTAACCACACACACCATGAATCGGTTCCAAGTATGCATCCATGTCCCTCGTATTGATACCTCATCTAACGTCCCACAGTTCAGCGACTCCGACGGGTCTTCCTCCGACTTCGACGAAGACCCATCCGGCCTCCCCTTCCCGGAACCGCTATCCCGCACCTCATTCCTCGCCCCTGACTTCGACCCTGCCACTTTCCTATCATCATTGACGAACCGACACCAGAGTCTTGAGGACCTGCGACAGGAATTGCGGGGACTAGAGCAATTGTTGAACAAGGAGCTATTGGATCTCGTCAATGAGAACTACCAGGACTTTCTCTCGTTAGGCAGTGCGCTTCGCGGCGGCGAGGAGAAAGTCGAAGGTGTGAAAGTTGGCGTTCTGTCTTTCCAGCGCGATGTCAAAGCTATCCGGGACAAGGTCGAGGCGCGACGTCAGGAAGTGGAAGAGCTGTTGAACGAGAAGCGGCGACTACGAACGAATGCCGACATTGGTAAAGATCTGTTGGACTATGCGGATCGGGTGGAGGAATTGGAACACCGTTTGATGATACAGGACAAGTCATCGCAAGAAAACGCCACAGCGGACGAATCTGATTCAGAGTCAGATCTATACAGCGGTGAGGACGACGACAGTGATGACGATGAGCTAGCGGATGGCACACCTGCAATTTCATTGCAGAGGATGGAACGTCACACCCAGAAGTTTGTCTACTTGACCTCAATAGCTGCCCGGGTGGGCGAAAAGCATCCTTTCCTGCTTGCACAACAACCACGAGTCGCGAAGATCAAGTCCACAGTACTCCTGGATCTCAAAACTGCCTTGGAGCAGGCCACTGCGGCTAGTGGTAAACAGGGCAAACGCGACGCTAGGACAATGGCTATTCTCCGCCTCTACGATCTTATGGGTGAGGATGTTAGTGCCGTCGCCGCGCTGAAGAACCTCAAGCTGTAAAAAAACGTGCTTCGTCCTGAAAATTGGCCATGTGCAATGGTTTGCATACATAGCGTCGGCGTTTGGTCTTATAAAGTTCTAATTCAACAATGATACCATGATACACCATTTCCTTTCCTAATAAAACAATAAATTTGTACACGCCAAAGGATATAAGAAAATTGAGTATGTTACAAGCCGGTCAAGGCAGATGTTGGGGGGATGAATCGGAGCGGAACTCGCCGTTGAGGGAGAATCCGGGTCCATTGGTCGAGCTCAATACCTATAATGTTGTTAGAGGCTAGTGTCCACAAAAGGGATCAAATCGGGTACTCACCACCTCGTACACTTCCTTGTTGACACGGTCGGTCAGGGCGGAAGCGTCCTTCTTAATCTGGTCAAGGGTCACGCGCATGTTATCGCGCAATTGCTCCGGAGAGAAGCCCAATTGCCCGACAGGCAGACGGATAACGGCATCACGCTCACGGTAAACAGTACCGCCGCGGAGATCTTCCACTCGCGCAGCCACGTCTTCCACAACGGTACCAGTCTTCGCACTGGGCATCAAACCGCGAGGACCGAGGATGCGACCCAGTGCGGCCTTGTTCAGCGCCGGCAAACTGTCCGGGTGGGCGAGACAGCGATCGAACTCAATGGTGCCTGCCTTGACAGCATCGAACACTTCTTGTTCACCGACAAGAACGGCACCTGCGGCAAGCGCTTCCTTGGCTGCTTTCGAACCAGGAGGACAGATGACACAGATGCGGGATTCGGTCTGGACGGCGTGCGGGAATCGGAGCATGTTACGGATAACGGGACCATCGCGCTTTGTTCGCAGTCGAATGTGCAGTTCGTATTTTTGAACGGAGGGGTCGCGGCCGACTTCGATGGCCCGGATGTATCTGCAGAAAGTAAGGTGTCAGTTGTTGGTCCAGCCATTGACTGACGTCTCAGTTGTCAGATGCTCAGTACATACCGCATAGCATCACATAGAGCATACTGCGGCATATCCTTCAAGTTGATTTGCCGGAACTCCTGGGGTCCTTTGCGGCTCTTGGTAGGTTGGTCTTTCCCCTTCTTTGGTTTGTTCTTGAGACCTCGGACCTGATTGAAAGTCGAGAGAACGGGGGCAATTGAGGCCTCCCGCAGCGGATTCCGGCATGCTGAGAGGATACCGCGTGCCGCTGTGGGCAATACCGAGCCGTAGGACGACATAATGGCAGGCGTTGATTTGAGCTGATCGGCTGGATGAAGCCGTGGAGCAATTGTTTTCTGCCGGAAAGCTGCCGGGTTCGGAGAAACGTGATTCCGGACGGGGACTAGAGATAATGACTCTGCCCCGCCAGAATTCACTTTGCTTCCCACAGTACGCAATGTCTACATACGAATTGAAAGTGGCCACTCGCGGTAACCACGCGGCGCTTCTGCCCGTGGTGCTCATCGCCACCTCTGTCAACGAGGCCCGCCCTACTCCCGTGATCACCATCACCCTCGAGGACACTGCTCTGCTGCAGGATGGCGACAAGGCTATTGTCCAGCTCATCAGTGGCTCCAACTCTGTCTTTGGCCCTGCCAATGCTATCCAGGAGCTTACCACCCACTTCCCTTTCCTGGCTGGCAAGGATTCTAAGGTGGTGAGTTTATATCACTACTACCCCGCGATCAAATCCTTTTTTGAAACCGACATGTCCCTAACACGATCACAATAGGAAACCGAGTGGATCTCTCAGTTGGACTCCCTGACCACCCTTGACTTCAAGGCCCTCGACCCCGTGCTCCAGCGTATTGACGCTCACCTCCTTATGCGCTCGTTCATTGTCGGATACTCTCTGTCCACCCCCGACATTGCCATTTGGGGTGCTCTCCGAGGCAACCGTGTCGCCGTTGCTGCCCTGAAGAAGGGATCCCTTGTGAACCTTACCCGCTGGTACCGCTTCTTGGAGGAGCTGTGCCCCTGGACTACCGCCGCTGTGGAGTCCATGAACGCAGTTGCTAAGGAGAAGAAGGTGGCCAAGTCCAAGGAGGGTGCGAGTTACGATATTGCGCTCAAGAACACCGAGAACGGTGTCGTCACCCGATTCCCCCCCGAGCCTTCTGGATACCTCCACATTGGTCACGCCAAGGCCGCTCTTCTCAACGATTACTTTGCGCATGAGAAGTACAACGGCACTATGCTTCTTCGATTTGACGATACCAACCCTTCGAACGAGAAGCAGGAGTTTGAGGATGCTATCGTGGAGGACCTTGCGCTCATGGGCATCAAGCCTAACAAGATGACCTACACCAGTGACTACTTCGACGAATTGTACGATTACTGCGTCAAGATCATCAAGCAGGGCGACGCCTACGCGGATGATACTGACAAGGAAACCATGGCTGCCCAGAGATGGGATGGATTGCCCAGCCAGCGTCGCGATCTTTCTCCCGAGGAGAGCTTGTCGCACCTGGAGGAGATGAAGAACGGCACTCCCGAGGGTCTTCGTTGGTGCATCCGTGCCAAGATCTCCTTCGACTGCCCCAACAAGGCTATGCGTGATCCCGTCATCTACCGCTGCAACCCAGCAACCCACCACCGCACCGGCGATAAATGGAAGATCTACCCGACCTACGACTTTGCTTGCCCTATCGTTGATTCGATGGAGGGTGTCACCCACGCTCTGCGTACTATCGAGTACCGCGATCGTAACCCCCAGTACCAGTGGATGCTTGATACTATGAAGCTGCGCAACGTGCAGGTGTGGGATTTCGCCCGCATGAACTTCGTTCGCACTCTCCTCTCCAAGCGCAAGCTGACCAAGCTGGTCGAGACTGGTCTCGTCTGGGGCTGGGATGATCCCCGCTTCCCCACCATCCGTGGTATCCGTCGCCGCGGTATGACCATTCCTGCTCTCCGTGAATTCATCCTAAAGCAGGGCCCCTCTAAGGCTGTGACCAACTTCGACTGGGGTCTTATCTGGGCTACCAACAAGAAGTACATTGACCCTATTGCCCCTCGCCACACCACCATCTTCAACAAGAATGTTGTCAAGACCACTGTCACCGGTGGCCCTGCCACTCCTTACTCCGAGGAGAAGCCTAGACACATCAAGAACGCCGCCGTCGGCATGAAGAAGGTTGTCTACAGCAGCTCTATCATCCTCGAGCAGGAGGATGTCAAGCTCTTCAAGCCTGACGAGGAGATCACCCTTATGAACTGGGGTAACGCCATCGTCCGCAAGATCAACACCAATGCTGAGACCGGTATCATTACCGATCTTGAGCTCGAGCTGCACATGGCCGGTGATGTCAAGAAGACCGAGAAGAAGGTCACTTGGCTCGCTACCGAGGGACAGGATCTCGTACCCGTCGAGTTGGTCGACTTCGATCACCTGCTGACCAAGGATTCTCTTGGTGAGGATGACAAGCTGGAGGACTTCCTTAACATGCACACCGAGTTCCGCGAGGAGGGTCTGGCCGACTGCAATGTCGCTGATCTCAAGGAGAGTGATATCATCCAGTTCGACCGCAAGGGTTACTACCGCGTCGATCGTGCTTACTCTCCTGGTAAGCCCGCGGTCTTCTTCAACATTCCTTCCGGCAAGACCAAATAAATCTTGTGTCAACTATGATGTGAAGTATGTTTTATGAGTGTAGTGAGATATGAAAAGAAGAATGAATGGTTATATATATGCTTTCACTTCGCGTTCAGTAAAATGACTAGCCTTGAAGTCTGCATAGTCCCATGGGAGTTGAGAATAGCCTCTTTTCTTCATCCCAACTTCTATCCAGATCACACACAATCCTCTATGCATTTACAGAGGGCTGCCTTGGACACAACGCAGCATCTACAATGGCGGATAGGTGATTCCAGGGGCCACTCTTGTATTAGGCGTTCGCGCGGGATTTGACTACAGGTATAGGCATTGGACGATACCATGGTCGCTCTGGGAGGGCTGTTCTGGGCATATCTAGCAGGCTGTAATGGCGCGTGTAGGGCTGAATAGGGTCACGTGTAACCGAAACCGACTGCAACGATCTCCCTGGGTAAGTTGTCCATTACCATACTTCTTATACTTTCCATTTCCCAGACTGTCTGGTTCAATTTCCAGCCATTCGGTTTCTCCCGACAAATCTTGAAACCGGCGCCAAATGGATGTGAATTCCGTCGGCCGGCTGTCAGCGGAATTGGGGTGCATGACGTCGAAGACTACCTACCCACATTCAATTGACATCCGGACAGCCGCTCGCCCTCTACGGCAGCAGCGGGCCTAACTCATTCGTTCATCTATGCTTGAGTGGTTCCCAGTGTTTCTTCGGGGTCATGGCTTTCGGTATTATGCCGAACAGCGTTCGGATATTACACCCATGATTGCCCCGGGATAGCTGGATGCACTGATGATCTTCTCCGCATGATACATTTTATATTTCAGATACTTTCTGTATAGCAAAGATCTTACCGCCAAAGACACATAGCCTGAATCCTTTCCCAGTCGCGTTTGTTCTGGCCCCTGCCAAGGACACATCTTCTACGATCCATGGGTGAATGCCCTATTGGCTAGAAGTCAATTCGGGTACCTGCTTGCACCACTAGCTTCATTCGAGCTTAGCGTGGACTAAAATATTTTGGCCTTCGTCTGGATTGGTCGAACCAACCTTCTATGCATCAAAGCCCAGCGGGAGTTCTTCGGCTCGTCCGCGGGTCGTCCCTTTTGAGACCTGGGTCCCCGGCTTTATCCTCCAAATACCGGGCACAGGGACCACAACAATAGGCATTCATGCCTGGGCATGAAATGGCTCTCCCGAGGGCTTCCTGGCTCGACGTCAGCATGATTTACTTTGAAACGGATGTTTTTGTTAATCTACCAGTTTCTTTCTTTTCTGCTCCAGATAGAACCACTAGACCTTCGATTCTTGTCATCCTGCAGGTGTTCAGGCGCGAATAGAACATTGAAAAAAAAACACATTTTCTTTGGTATCATTGCTCCTTCGTTTCTATATCCTTTTGCTTCGTGTGTTCATTCTTTATCATCAATAATCAATAATCTTGTCTGCTTTGACAGGTATGTGCCTTTTTGGTCGATCGGTGTCGGAAGAACCTTTATCTGACCTAGACAGCCAAGCATGGCTGGTGAAGTCAAAGGCGAGCGCTCCGAAGCTCGCCGCCGCAGCTCACGTATCTCTCGGGCATCTCTTAGCGGGGACTGGAACAGTTTGGACGAGTACGGCAAGCTGGTCAAGTATGTGTCGACATTCCGTGATCCCAATGCAATAGATGAAGACCGGGGGGAATTGACCGAGAAACGAGTCTGGTACGCCCCGTGGATCAAGCGAAAGGTCCGCGTCAAAAGAGTTGAAGGGGAAACCGGCAAATTCCCCGATGAGTGGACCATGACAGATATCCGAGAAGGACTTTCTAGCGATGAAGTTCCAATTCGTCGTCGTCGGGCTGGGTGGAATGAGCTAACATCCGAGAAGGAGAATCCTATTGCTAAGATTCTTTCCTACTTCCGGGGTCCAATTCTCTACGGTGAGTTCTTATCAATCTTTCCTTGACTGTGAATCTGATTTTAGTGTAGTCATGGAGTTGGCTGTTTTACTTGCTGCTGGTCTAGAGGACTGGGTTGACTTCGGTGTCATTATTGGTATCTTGTGTCTGAACGCGGCAGTGGGCTGGTATCAGGAGAAGCAGGCTGCCGATGTGGTTGCGAGTCTCAAGGGTGACATTGCCCTACGCGCACAGGTTATTCGTGACAGCACCCAACAGGAATGTCTTGCTCGGGAGCTGGTTCCAGGCGATGTTGTAGGTCTATCTTAGACGGGCCTCAGTACTGGTACACGACTACTAATCAGTCATTTAGGTCATCATTGGTGAAGGTCAGGTCGTGCCTGCAGACTCCAGAGTTATCTGTGACGTCAAAGATGAACATGGCTGGGAAGAGTTTAACCAGCTTCAAGAGCAGGGTATGCTCGGTGGAGGGTCCTCTTCTGATGAAGAGGATGACCCGACCAAGCAGGACGATAAGGAAAAGGGCGAAGACGAAGGCAAGGCCAAGGAGGCCGACGAACATCAGGCGAAAAAGGCTCGCAGACGTGGTTATCCTATTTTGGCTTGTGATCACTCTGCCATCACGGGCGAATCGCTAGCCGTGGATCGTTATATGGGAGATATGATCTTCTATACGACTGGCTGCAAGCGTGGCAAGGCCTATGCAGTGGTTCAAACCGGTGCAAGGACTTCTTTCGTTGGTCGCACTGCAACTATGGTGCAATCTGCCAAAGGCGCTGGCCACTTCGAACTTGTCATGGACAATATCGGAACATCCCTCTTGATTCTGGTTATGGCCTGGATTCTCGCTGCGTGGATTGGTGGATTCTTCCGTCATATTCCTATCGCGTCGCCGCATCAGCAGACTTTGCTCCACTACACTCTGTCTTTGTTGATCATTGGTGTACCTGTCGGTCTACCTGTTGTCACCACTACCACCATGGCTGTCGGTGCTGCCTATCTGGCGAAAAAGAAAGCCATTGTGCAAAAGCTAACCGCAATTGAATCTCTAGCCGTAAGTCTGCATCAACCTAGACTTGCTGTCAAATACTAATAGTGCAATAGGGTGTTGACATTCTATGTTCCGATAAGACTGGTACTCTGACGGCGAATAAACTTAGTATTCGTGATCCTTATGTAGCCGAAGGCGTCGACGTTGACTGGATGTTCGCTGTTGCTGCCCTTGCATCATCCCACAATATTGAATCGCTCGATCCGATTGACAAGGTCACAATATTGACGCTTCGGCAATATCCAAGAGCTCGAGAGATCTTGCGACGGGGTTGGTCAACCGAAAAATTCACGCCCTTTGACCCGGTTTCGAAACGCATTGTCACGATTGCCACCTGTGACGGCATTCGGTATACCTGCACCAAAGGCGCTCCGAAAGCCGTGCTCCAATTGACAAGCTGCTCCAAGGAGACTGCTGACCTATACAAGGCCAAAGCGCAAGAATTTGCGCATCGAGGCTTCCGTTCTCTTGGTGTTGCTGTTCAAAAGGAAGGTGAAGACTGGGCTTTGCTTGGAATGCTGCCTATGTTTGATCCACCCCGAGAAGACACCGCTCAAACCATCAGCGAAGCGCAGAATCTCGGTATCAGTGTCAAGATGCTCACTGGCGATGCTATTGCCATCGCGAAAGAAACCTGCAAGATGTTGGCTTTGGGTACCAAGGTGTATAACTCAGATAAGCTGATTCACGGCGGCTTGAGTGGCGCTATGGCTAGTGATCTTGTTGAAAAAGCTGACGGCTTTGCGGAGGTGTTCCCAGAACACAAATACCAAGTCGTACAAATGCTACAAGAACGCGGCCACTTGACCGCTATGACCGGTGATGGTGTAAATGACGCACCGTCTCTAAAGAAAGCTGATTGTGGCATTGCCGTTGAAGGCGCCTCGGAAGCGGCTCAGTCTGCATCAGACATCGTTTTCCTCGAGCCTGGCCTCTCAACCATTATCGACTCTATTAAGGTGGCGCGTCAAATCTTCCACCGCATGAAGTCATATATCCAGTACCGCATTGCGCTATGTTTACACCTTGAGATCTACCTCGTGACTTCGATGATCATCCTCAATGAAAGCATCCGTGTCGAGCTTATTGTCTTCCTGGCATTGTTCGCCGATCTTGCGACCGTTGCAGTGGCGTATGACCATGCATCCTTCGAGTTGCGACCTGTCGAATGGCAACTTCCTAAAATCTGGTTCATTTCCACCCTTCTTGGTGTGCTACTAGCCCTGGGTACGTGGGTTATCCGAGGTAGCATGTTCCTGAAATCTGGAGGGATTATCCAAAATTGGGGATCTATTCAAGAGGTTCTCTTCTTGGAAGTTGCGCTCACGGAGAATTGGCTCATTTTTGTCACTCGCGGCATTGACACATGGCCATCTATTCACTTGGTGACTGCGATCCTCGGGGTGGATGTGTTGGCGACTATCTTTTGTCTGTTTGGTTGGTTTACCAACCAAGACATGAAGACCAAGCCCGCAGATAAATTCGTCGAGACTACGAATGGCTGGACCGATATTGTCACTGTTGTGCGAATCTGGGGTTATTCACTTGGTGTGTCGATTGTGATCGCTCTAGTATATTTCATCTTAAACAAGATTGAGTGGCTTGATAATCTGGGTCGTGTCCAGCGCGACAAGGGAGAGCTCAAAATTGAGAATATGCTTGCTCACCTGTCTCGTCTTACAGTTGAGTATGAGGAAGGGGGCGCACCAAAGGGCCGATTCTGCTTGGCTACAAGCAAGGAGGAGGAGGAAGCCGAGTAACGTGGTGAGATATGAAGTGGAAGAAGGCGTGATGTGAGGAGTCAAGTATCACTGGATGTCGAAAGTTGTCTTTTCGTTCCCTTCCTGGCCTAATTACGGATTATCGATGGTGATGAACGTTATCATCATGGCTTGTTCTCGGTGGGCAGCGTACGAGAGCACAAGGGTGTTTCTGCTAATTTCTAATGTGTTGAATCTGCTTGCAAGTATCCTAGTGGCGCTCAAATACCTCTAGTTTCTGTCTTTTGAAATACATCATTTACTATGGATGGAACCAATGTGATACCGTATGTGTAGATATATAGAACGATCTAATTACAAGCCTCAGTAAAACGGCGTAGCCATTGTATGATGAAGGAAATTACAGAAGGACCCTGTTCAGAGACGACATAAACGAATGTAGATGATGTGGATATTCCAAGATTGAAAAGACAAAGTTAAATACTGGGTATCACATAGAGGGAGAGACAGGAAATCGGCTGAATTGAAAGAAATGGAAGCATGCCGGGTCTGAAATGGGGGCCAGGTTCATCGTAAAGGCTCTTTATATGTACCCAACAGCCCAATCATGTGCGTCAATAGTAACCAAAATACAGAAAGTCCCAATGGGAATGATACTGGTCTTTGACGGTGTCGGCTTTGGCCAACAAACTCACATGCTCAGGTACGGTTGCGCTCACCATATCAGAGATTGGCCAGAGCATGAACGATGCCGCCAGCAGCCTCGTTTGCCTTACGGATACCACCAAGCAACTCAAGAATGTCGTTGCCAATGATTGTGCCGAGAGCATTATCATCCAAATCATCGTTCGATTTATCGTCTGGATTATCGTGTTTGATGTCTTCACTCGAGTCGTCTTCATCTTGGGCGCTACCAGTCGAGGTAGGAGCCGCAGTTGTGGAGGCCGTCGGCTTTGGTGTTGCAGTCGCAGTATTGTGTTCTTCGGTAGTTTCTTCATCCGCCTTGTGCGAAACAGAAGCAGATGAGGAGGAGGAAGATGAGGGTGAGGAGTCTGGTGCATTGGAAGATGGCGAACTCGTTGTCTTCGTTGGGTCAGTGGACGTAGAAGTAGATGTCGAGGTTGACACCGGATCGGGCGACGACGAACCGGAATCATTCGCAGGGCCCAGGCTTTTCCGCACGTCTTTGATAAACCCATCGTTGGCGTATGCCTGCGTGGCATCCCACATCATCACACCCCCAAAACTCTCAAACTTCTTTGTGTATTCAATCACCTTGGCCAACTGGGATGCTGGGACATACCCCGTGCTAGCTGCTGTCGTAAATGCTGGCACGCCGATGATGACCTTCACATCTTTGTTATTGGACACCGTCTTAGCCCAGTTGTCCCACTCTTCGAAATTGTATTTGCTGCTTGAGCTGTCGGTGTTGAAATTGTTGACGCCGCAAAAGTTGTTGTAGAACTGTACCCAGATAGCATCGATATATACAGGGCCGTTGAGGATAGCTTTATCTGCTTGATCAGGGTAGGGACATTGCGGTGCTGCGGTCAAATAAAACTTCTGGTTGCTCTTATCTGCCTTCATCAGTGATCTCATCTCGTTGGCAAAGACGGCCATGTTTTGGACATTTGCCTCAAAGTCGAAATCGAACCCATCCAAGACAGCGTCGCCGAAGGGACGGAGGGCGCTGGAACCCTCTTGCTTGGGGCCAAAGGTCTCCCACATTAGTTGTGCCCCCTTCTTGGCCTCTTCTTCGGATTTGAAGCCGCCCTCGCTGTAAGTGGCTCCACCGATGGAAAGAAGAATCGTCTTGCCCTTCTTTTGGCACGTCTTGATGTCCTTGCTAGATGTTGTTAGTCATCTAGCTAGTTGCTAGCGTACGCGACTTCTCAATGCTTACCCAATTGCAGGACAATCTTTTAATTGGGTGCCCCCGAAGACATCGCAGTCCTTGCTGGTAACAGCAAAATCAATCTCTGGAGCGCCTCCTGGGCCATTGACCATCATATTGAAGGCCATTGGTATCACCTGTTTGATTTTGTTAACCCATCAATCTAAAGGCTTTCCCGTGGTCTGGTTCCTACATCAATGTCCTTGTCTAGTGTTCTTTTTTAGTTCCAACGACATTGAAGATAGATAGTTCACTCACCATCGCAATAGTGTGCCAAGGGCTGCTGTGCCTGGTCTTCCTTTCCATTGAATGAATTTTGGCCTTTAGAGTATCTCATGTAAGTATTTATTAGCCCAAACAATACGCGACGGCATACCCCAGTAAACAACAATGTTGCTGCTCGAGTTCAAGTCCAGTTTTGCTTCTGCTCCTCCTATCGAAGCCAGCAAAATAGACCAAGGAAGGAGACCCTGATAGGGACGCATGGCGACAAACGCAGTACAGTGTCTGCTCGGGGTATATCTCTAGGTATAAAGAAATAAATTAATATATGGAACTAGGCGAGGTATAGAGACGAAAACGACAACACTCATCATGAATGAGCATTGCGCATCATTAAATAGCATACAGTGGACTTTTTCCCTTGTTATTTTCACAAAACAATGGCTGCGTTCCCCGTTTAAGTGTCTCACCCGGCGCCCCCAGCGCATGTTATGATCCACATGTCCACGGCAGCGATCTCAAATGAGTTTTGTAGTCATTCCTTTGTCCTGAATAGATATATTGTGTAGCTAATCTTGCCAAATGGTTATTTTGATTGGATTGTGGTGTCCTTCCAGCACCCTAGTCTGCATTCCCATGTTGTTGTCAGGGGGCTGGGGACAGGCCGGAGAATGCACCGAGGGATGAGCATGCGTGCTAAACGATCGAATTCCCGGACACATTAGCATTTAAGTATCCTGCTATACCGAGTGTAGCCTATATCCAGCTGTGAAGGTCAGGAGCCACATCCCTTGTCATCTGGGTGGTGGGGGCACACCTCCAGTTAGCCGAACTATACTTACCCGGTTTAAGGCAAGCCGTTCACAACGATATAGCTTATTTGGCCTATTTCCATGGAGAATTTCAGTTCTTCAAAAAGTCTCGTGGTTAAGAACCTGGTACTCCCAATTATATAAACAATCCAATACCCCAACTGATTGACCGGGGCATAAACACCCAGGGTTTAACCTATCCAATATGATTTAACCCTCTAATTGTCACAAGTCCGACACTATTCCCCTTAGGTAGAATGCAAGCCAACGATGTATCACATCTTCAGTGCGGTTGGGGGTTACCAAATTGGGTTAGCGTCAAATGCTGAGGGCATTCTGAATTTATTTCGACCGAAGACTCAATGCGTGGAAGTGTAGCAAAACTTTTCCCCGGGGCAATACAGAGATGGCCGGGTCAATGGTCATCCCGTCGGTTCCAGCTACATAAGTCATAGCATAAACGCGAGAGAGGCCCCCGCGAGGTCCAAAGCTGCTTGGGGCCGTTTTCTCATAATCTCCAACAGAATCTAGGAGTGTGTCAGTCAAGAGTCTTACTCCAGGTCAGAAATAGGCAAATTTAAACTCCCCAGTCACTTTCACCGGCCCGACACCAGGTACAAAAGGTCGCAAAACACCCAGGCAAATAGATGAAATGTACCGCACAGGGCCCCGATGGTGCAAACGTGCCCAGAGGAGATGATCATCCCCAGCCACTCCAACCAGGACATGAAATATTGCATGGATGGCACGACTGATAGTGATAGTCAATCGGACCACGATGCGGTCACGCAGCCATCCAGCCAGTGTACCGGGGAACAGAGCCGGAACAGAGAGGAAGAACATTTTTCCAATCTGTCTTGGTTTCCATCCAAACCCCTCCCCCGTGTGTAGAGGAAGTGTGGCATGGAAACCAGTGAGAATGGCTGTAGTCAAGACCGTGACAACCAAAGCCGTCAGCAAGCGACTGCCACTAAGCAGGAAGATCCAGAAACCGAATGTAGTAGACGCATCATGGGGCTCAATTTGCTCAGGAAGAAGGGACGTTGTCTCATCCGGATTGTCAGAGGAAGTAGGGCTCGAATGTTGTGGATTTTCTATCATCAACAAACGTGTGATGATATCAACAACCAAAATTCCACCGGACATAGACCACGTCTACGAAGACGTATAGGTAGACTTCCGCAAAGCCCACAAATGGGCCCGAACCTCAGGCCCAAAGCCCAACCCGCAGTGGGCTGTGGGCTCAGCCTTCGAAGCCCAACCCAACCCACAGCCCATATCCATCCTGACCGTAGCCTTTTGCTTGTGCAATCTACAGTGTGGAAATCATACCATTCCGCTTGGATGGGGTTATTGGATAGGTGCAGCGAAGCAGTCAAGCTGCGAGCTGACGGTATGTACGGTATGTACACTTGACTGGTATCTCACGTCGGACCTTCTCTCCAATTGGGTGGAAGAACGTCTCCACCAATAAAGCGAGGTATTGCCCCCCCAAGTCTAGATGTCTTTTGCATCAACTCAGCTTAAGCGAATGGAAACGACGTTCCAAGCCCTAAGTATGCAAGGAGAAGAGCACCTTTAGCGCATTTTGTCATACCTTCCGGCTGGAGCAGCTCTATACTGCCTTATTCCTTTCCCCCAACATACTTCTATCGTGAGTATTGCTTTAATCACGACTCTTTGGAAATACCTATATTTACTTTTCAAGATATAGGTCTTCCTCGACAGATTAAGAATGGGTTCTATGAATACAGGTACCCCCTATATGAATATAGGGCAATATCTGGCTTTTCAAAACCGTGACCACTTCAGCTGGTGGCACCAGAAAGGCCCAGTCCTTTCTCAAATGCTTCAAGAATGTCACTACGAGGTCCACGAGCAATATCAATATTTGACACTCTTCTATGCTCATCTGATTCCGGCATTAGGAGCCTATACTGAGCCATCGGTCGGCCAGAAAGGGAACACCCTTCTATCTGGTGCAGGGAGACTTGAATTGAGCCGCACTTTTACGGTTGATGATTCTTCCTTGCGCATTGCATTCGAGCCCACCAGCTTCCTGGCGTCCGAAAAAGGGTCAGATCCACTCAATCGGGTCCCACTTCCTCGTCTCTTGAGCGTCCTGAGCCAGCTCAGTGGGGTGTCTCTGGGAACTGATCGGTACCGTACCCTTGCAGATCAGCTCACTACTTCCGATGATGACGAAGAAAAGTTGCTGAACGAACCGACGCTCGCGGAGCAGCTTCACGGCCTGCCCTCTCGCACTCAAAATATCCTGGCCCTTGACCTGGTGAACGGATTGGTCAAACCAGAACTGTACTTCCATCCCCAGATGAAGGCACTGGCCTCCGGTGCGCTAGTGGAAGATCTCCTGTTTGATGCACTTCGTTCCGGCGACTCCGCCGGGAATCTTGGGAAAGCCATTGACCTGGCCAAGGAATTTGTGCAAGCGGCTCCGACAACGACGCGTCCGCAATTTATCTCTTATCAGATTGAGAGATCCCACGGTGGTGCAGCGAAGCTCTTCCTCACGGAAAGTGTGATTAATTGGGATCAGATTTCCGGTCTCTGGAGATATGCTCAGCCAGAAACCATCCAAGCAGAACAGAATCGGGCCTTGCGTGTCCTTTGGGAGAGTCTTAATGTCGTCGAGGGTGACCGTGGGCCCAACCAATTCCCTATCATGATGGTTTTGGGTTTGTTCGCTGAAGAGCCGTTTGTGAGGCCTCAGGTAGCCTTCCCCGTGGTTGGCATGACTGAAGATGCCATTGCTAGAAGCATTGGGTGTTTCTTTGACGATATGGGATGGAAGGAAAGCTCCCACTCCTACGTTGATGGTTTACGCTCATACTTGTAAGTCTCTCTGAGTTGTTCCCTATCACAAGGCAAGGGGTGGAAAGGCTGATATGAAAATAGCCCAAATGAGGATCTAGATCAGCCATTGGGCAAGCAGGCGTGGGTTGCACTCTCCCTGTTTGACAGTGGGAACCCAGCTCTCACCATCTTTTACTATTGATGTGTAAGTTGGACGCTGCCGGCGCATTTGAAAGCCTTCACATGTTATGATTGTTTGGAAATACTCGGCGAAGGTGGCTGGTTTAACATGAATTTCGGATAATTTGTCAGTATATACTGGCAATGGGTCTTAGACTGGGTCGATAAATGCTTTGCGGGTATTACTTTTAGGGAAAAAGTCTGGTATATATATTTATTTTGTTTTTGCGTAATTCGTTGGGTGGATAATGAGTGTAATAAATGAACGGGATGAAACAAGTAGAGAAACCGAACAGATAAAGAGAAGGATTGCCATAGAAAATAACTTATAGAGGGGAAAGGGCATTAAGATGTGATAAGTCCATTCCCCAAGACGACCTTGTTGCGCCGTTTGAACAGCATTGTAGAGGCAGCCAGGTCCTCAAGTGACGCCAGGTATTCGGCATTGCGCACCACAGCCTGGCGGATCATATTTGTCAAAGAGGGCGGTTGATAAGTAGGCACAGGCAAGGGATCAGTAGGTGCAACACCCAGGCAGCCCCCAGAAGCGCGAAGGAAACCCATCAGCGGCCACAAGGGATGCGATGTGCCCACATCGTCGACTTGCTGTTCAACTGTGTCCATCCACGTTTGTGAAGAGGAAGGAATCAGATCTCTTCCGATCCCCAGCATGATCGCTTGCCAGAAATCCGACATACTTAGCCCGTCACCTATGGTCACAGCTTTTGCGAAGGGTGCCAGGGAACTTGCATTGTCATTGACATTGTGAGGTGACGGCCAAGGGTGGAGTGTTTCATGGATGATCAGGCTTGCGACCCAGTCGACAGCGGCCACAAAGAGCCAATTGTCAGACTCGTCCGAGTTGTAACTGCAAGTGGTCATCGCAGTCGTCACCACACGCCAGAGGAGGTCGTCCCCGTTGGCCACTGCGTTGCTGACAGGTCCGATCATGAAACCAGGCCGCACAATGGTCAGGGAATGCGCCTTGTGCCGCGCTGAAAAGGCTCCGATTAGCTGTTCTGAGGCAAACTTTGTTTGTGTATAACCATCGTTAAGTTCAATCGGAGAAAGGACTGTGTGACCATTTGACATGTTTGCGTAATTATCGGTATCCGTTGTTGGGAGGGCGGCATCACCTGGTATCAGCGCAGAGATGTAAGTCAAGGCAATAGGAGTTGGAGAGCGATTGAGACATTGCAATATTTCGAATGTACTGCGAACATTCGCAGCCTCTAGAGTGTCATAATCGTAGCCCCAGTGGATGACCGCACCGCAGTGAATGATCGCGTCAACTGTACCAATGGAAGAATTCAGGCTGTTTTCGGTGCCAGAAAGTGTTTCCCAGTGTTCTTCAGCCAGACCTAGATGCGTCTGGGAGAGATCGCCAGGCCAAGCTTGAATGAGACGTCGGTAGTCGTCCCGCCACCATCGAGCGAGTCGTGCGGCCTGAATAATGCGCGCTAGTCCCTTTCGTGGACAAAGTGCCCGTACCAACACGTATACCATGCTAACGTCGTTGTCGAGCAGGAGCTGGTGAAGAATATGTGTTCCCAAGAACCCTGTAGCCCCAGTGAGGAAAAGACGTTTCCCTGGTGGCCGAGAATGTATCGTCCGTTGAGAAGACTGGCAGGCAGGTAGGTCTTTGATTTGACGTATCATACCTTGCACCCTGTCCCACCAGCCGGGTGATAACAGAGCTTTCTCCGTGACTGAGTTGGCTGTGCGATCGATCATCTCTGCAACCATTCTGACGGTCAAAGCACTGTCAAAGAGATTCGTCATTGAGATGGAGCAACTGTAGTGACGGGAGATGAACTGGGACAACGCCATAATATCAATTGAGTCCAGACCAACGCGAGACAAGCCAATATTTCGACCAACAATCTCAGCTGCCATTTTGTCATGGCCCGTTTTGCGCTGGAGAAGTTGACCAATGTGCTTGGACAACTCCCAGGCCACTGGCTCATCTGTGTGATCCAAGAGCCCTGTGCTCGTGCTCTCGTCTCGGCTCAGGCCTCCTAGATTATGTAGATCGACTGGGCTCAGCTTCGTGGCCTCGTCAAGGAGCGAACGACGGTTGACTTTGCCCGAGATCGTCAAGGGAATGTTCCGCAGCTGCAGGTACAGCTCAGGGACCATCACTGGAGCGAAATTTTGTCGCATTTCTTCTTGCACCCGAGATGCTCGAAGAGGGAAGTCATGACTATGGGATTGGAACGCTATATTGGAAAGTCCGTTCATGTCGGAGATATCCGGTTCGTTGGCAGCCAGCGATGGAATGTGCACCATGGCCACCAAGCAGGGGGGCATGTCCGATTTAGTGGGTTGTAGAATAGCAGCAATCCCGCTGGCATCAGTGCCAAATAATCGTAGGACATGGCGTTCAACTTCTGCTAGATCGATACGTTGTCCATGAAGCTTCGTGTGTTGATTCGTGCGACCCAGGAAAGTGAAGGTTCCATCCAAGTTGCGACGGACCAAATCGCCCGTGCGATACATACGCGAGGCTTGCTGGTCCTTGAACTGTGCTGCCCACGAAGGCGGCTGCAGGAAGCATTCGGACGACTTTGTGGGGTTATTCAGGTACCCACGACCGACGATAGGGCCCTGAAGAATCAGTTCGCCAACTGTATTGATTGGCATACGTCTGGTCACATCTTCTTTGTCAACTACCCATAGGACTGCGCCCATTCCTTTTCCGATCAGTCGAGCGTCTGCGTCGGTGGACATGACCCGATGAGCGGCAGCCCCTGTACAGCATTCGGTCGGACCGTAGCCACAGTAGAGATGTACACGACTGCACCACTGCTTGATTTGGCCTGGGAGCATCGACTCACCTACAGCAACAATAGTACGGAGGCTTGGCACATCGTCAGGAGTCAACAACCGCAGCACAGAAGGCGTGATGCAAAGCCAGTTGCTCCGATATTTCTCAATGATGCGGCCTAGGTCCTGTGCAATTTCGGACTCCGAAGGAATGCAGACACAACCACCGCTAGCAAGAACTGTCAGGATTTCCACTGCAAACGAGTCAAAAGCGTAAGAGGAAAGCTGCAGAACTCGAGAAATGGAAGTTATTTCCAATTTGTTTTGCTGCGCTATAATGGCCGAGGCGTAGGAGGCGTGCTCGATCAGCACTGCCTTGGGCTCACCAGTTGAACCAGAGGTGAAGGCCGCGTACAAGAGGTCGCGGGGACTGGGGTTCGGCATGGGTGGCATTGTCGTTGTTGACCCTGATGACACGGCCTGGGCGTGGGAGATCAGCGCTTCGGTAGACAGCGAAATCCAGGGTCCGTCGCATATTGTCGACGCCAAATTCTGCATTCGTGCTGATGTGATCCCCAGGGTTCCTGAAATAGCACGGCATATTTTTACGTTGCGCTCATGAGGTTGATTGGGGTCCAGCAGGACGAAGGCGACACCCAGTTTGGCCACCGCGAGTATTGCGATGGGGACCCAGTAGGACCGCTCAAGGAAAATGGGAATGAATTGAATGTCTTGACCGACAATGAGCGGCAGTAACAACTGCGCCAGTTGGTGCGCACTGGATTTTAATTCTGCATAAGAGAGGTCCCCATCATACGCAGAAACCGCACATTTCGATGGATTGCGAGTTACCTGGGCCTCCACAAGATCTACAATTGTAGAATCCAAGCAGGCTGGCATGCTCGTGAGACAGGTAGAAAGCAATTCAGAATCCCGATCCGATATGAGGTCCAGTTGCGCAATAGTCAGATTTTGGGTGTCGCAATCATCGATTTGCTTGAGTAAGTGGCTCAATTGAGACAGCATGAGCTCTGCCTGCTCACGGGGCACGACGGCTTCGTCGACTAGCATTTCAAACTTCCACGAGGTCTCTGATTGTGCCACTTGAAGGATGAGCGCATATCCGGGGAAGCTATTGACGGAACCAACGCATACTTCAACTGGGCCAAAGATTGGGGAATCAGGGATCATTTCGTCGGCCTGTATGACGAGTAAGTTCTGAAACTTGCAGGCTGTGGCAGGACCGTGACCCATATTCTGAATCCGTTGCAAGCCCGTGTGCTCGAAAGGGATCATCTTCTTCATGTTATCCTGGACTTGCGCAAGAGACTCCTCTACTGTGGACTCGCGCTGGATGGTTATCCGAACAGGCAGTGTGGCGATGGTAGGACCCAGCACGGACCCAAGGATGACGCCCAGTCCACGGCGACCATCGACGACCGTGCCGTAAACAATATCTGGCGAGTCTGTGTATAAGCTGATCAACAGCGCCCAGGCGAGACGAATCTTGGCAGACGGGCTACTAGTTTGCTTCGAATAGGCTGCATTGGCCCGACAACCCTCGTATACGACCGAGGTGCTTGTGCGTGGGAGATGTTGCGGCGATGGAAGGGCAGGGAAGACATTGCTCTGCAATTCGACCATCTCCTTTAGCCAAAATTGACGGGTTCTCTCCCCGTCAGCTAGATTTTGCTGATTCAAATGGTTAATGAAGCCGATGAACGGTGATGGAAATAATGTTTCCGATGTATATGCCTTCTCTGCTTGCTTGATACATGCGTGGAGCGTGAAGCCGTCGTAGACAGAGTGGTGAAATGTTACAGCTAGCTTCGTAGGCTGTTCTCTGGCTTCCGAGTCTTGGATGAGGGTCAGCCGGACTAGCGGCGACCCCAAGCCCATGGAGAGAGCTCGGTCTTTCTCGTAAAACTGGGACTCCGAGCTCGCCGTTTGCCACTGAATCTTCCGTTCAGGGCGCACCACAATCTGATACGTACGACCATCATCCGCCTGGATGATACGAGTTCGGAAAATGCTGGTCGCTTGCACCACATTCTGCCAGGCCTGTTGAGCCAATTCCACGCTGCAGTCCGCCGGGAGCGAGAAGAGAACCCGGTCAACATACGCATCGCCGCTGTGAATTTCCGTGACTGCCAGAAGACCCTCTTGTAGTGAAGTTGTCGGATAGATGTCCTGGATATCCTCCTCCTGGATCTTGCATTCCTGGCTGGCTACACGGCGCAAACAGGTGATGGAATTCGTATCGTTCACATCAATCAATGAGAATGGCGCGGGGCCATCTGCCAACGTCACTGCATCAGTTGGCCTCGCCTCCTTTGCGACGGTTCGAAGGCTGCATTCAATGTCTAGTAGGCGTTCGGTATGAAGGAGCAGGTTGTACGCCAAGAGCGCCCTGGTGAGACGGATTGCAGTCGTGGAATCGCCACCCAGTTGCAGGAAACTAGCATTCAGGTCAACAGAAGATGTTGAGATCTTACACACCCTCGAAATAACCTTCACTAGGACATCTTCATGAGGTGTCATTGGTAAGGAGTGTGCTTCTGCCAGACAAAGTGACCGATTTCCTCCTAGCCACTCCATCAACTGCGAAGAGGAAAATTGCTGGAAGCACTGACAGAGGCGGCGACGGTCCACCTTGTCGGTAGCCGTTCGGGGCAAAGACTTCACGGGGATGATAAGGGAAGGCACCATGTATTGAGGCAGATATGGGCGCAAAAGGGACTGGTAGTGATGGCTCAAAGCCCACGACCCAGACTCGAGCGCGGTGATGCTCTCTCCGGGCCGCTGTGAACTCCAGTCGATTTCGAATCCAGTGGGGTCGACGAGAAACTGTACGAGTGTCATTGCACCTTCAGCATCATGGAACTTGACCGCACTGACGATGAAGTCGACATGTGGATCCAATTGTCGTAGTTGCAGTTCGACAGCATCGACATCAACGCGTTGGCCCCGGATCTTGACGACAGTATCCCTGCGACCGACATAGCGCAGGGTGCCGTCCGGGTTATAATGGCACAAATCACCCGTCCTGAAAAAGCGACATTGGACGGGAATATCTGTGAAACGCTCGCGCCAGGGAGGAGCCTCGATGAACACCTGCTGCGTGCGTTTAGGGTCTTTGAGATAGCCATCTGCGACGACAGCGCCCTCGATGATCATCTCACCCACTGTTCCAATGGGTGCCAGGGAGTCACTGTCATCGGGCATCGTAATCCAAGCGATGCAGCCGGCCGCCGTGCCAAAGGTTCCCGGAATCCACCCACTTGTCGGTGAAATTGGGCCAGCTCCAGCGGGTCCAACCTCCGCGGGTCCCCACAGATTGAAGATACTCACATGGCTCTCCCAATGACGAACCAGGTCCACAGGGATTGTCTCGCCGCCGAGGGTAAGAGTCTCGAGGGTCGGGAAATCGCTAGGTTCAAAGTTCCTGAGAGTGGTCGGTGTGAAGAATGCCCAGGTCACACGGTGCTGCTGAATAAATTCAGGCATACTGTTCAAGCGTTGAGTCTCGGACGGAATACAAAGGCAGGCCCCGCGTGTCAAGGCCTGCCATGTCTCAATAATGCTCATATCAAAAGCATACGACGAGAATTGTAACACACGTGCTTCTGATGTAACTTGGAGCCTGTCGCCCACGTAGTGACCCGCCGTGGCTATCGCCCGATGACTGAGGACTATGCCCTTGGGCACGCCAGTACTGCCTGACGAGAAGACGATGAAAGCCACATCGTCCGAACTGGCGCTGGGAAAAGCAGTGGATACTGACTGTTGCGTCGTCGATGATGGAGGGGAACTGGACAAATCCTCCGGGATGATGAGGACCGGGGACTCGCCGATTTGGCGGATGAGTGGTTCCTGTGCTCTGGACAACAAAATGGCCGCAGGGTTGGACTGATACAGAATGCGTTTGATGAGATCCATCGGGTGGCTGATACAGATGCATACTGCAGTGGCGCGAACTTTGGCCACAGCGAGCATCGCAACAGCCATCCATTTGGATTTTTCAAATAACAATGGAACAACCATGCCAGGCTGGACATTTTGTTCAAGTAGATGTCGTGCGGACAGATTGGCAAGCTCATCAAGTTGACCGTAGGTGAGCGTGCCGTCCCATGCCGACACAGCCAACCGTCCAGGGCCTGAATGAACCTGAATGGCAAACAGGTCTTGAAAGCACGCATCGATTATAGCCGGAGGATCATGGTTCCACTCGGTCAGTTGACGCTCATCCGCCGTATTTAGCAAAGAGAGATCGTTGATGGTTGCCTGCAGACCTCCTGAGTGGCTCCCAAGTTCCTTGTAAATATGTGCGAACTGTTCAGCGATGCGTTGTGCGGCATCTCTGTCCACCAGCTTCTCATCATAGACCACCTCACAAAACCAAGAGATGCCGGGCTCTCTGGGCTGGCAGATGACGCGTAGGTGCAAACCCTCCCCGTCATGAATCGGGGGAAAGGACTCTCCTGTCACAGAATGACTAGATTGTACGCTTTGCATCAGAAGACTCGCTGTCCGCTCTCCGAAATCCAAAACAGCATTGGGTTCGTCATTGGTCGCGCCATTTTCCACCTGGGAATGCTTGATCTGCTGAAGAAATTCTGCCATTTGACGTTCTAAGGAGTTTATTTCAGAAGCTGGTGCCATGTCCACTATGGCATCCGCACACGGCTCACGAGGACTCCTGAGTTCACTGGGCAGGACGCCATTCAACAGGACGATTGTTGATCCATGATACAAGCTTGCCAGGAGTGCCCAGCTGATCAGGCAGTACTCCTCAGACAAAGATGATCCCAACGGGAGTCGTGTAGTTCGCCCTTGGTGCGACACATGTAGGTTGGTCGAATCAAACGTTGTCGGGGAATATACTAATGGAAAAGGCACCGAGACTCGAATACAGCCTTGTTCTGCCATTTAGAAGGGTTTTAGATAGGTTGAATGGCGATTAATTTAATGCATTGGGTAGAAGACTCCTTGGGAACGTATGCCTTGGAAGTCCTCACACCTTTTCCTAGCGCACTAGATGGTTTGCGGCTTATGCCAATAGGTAAAAGCAAGTATATTACGGTGAACGATCTATGATACAGTACAAGTATTGCAGGGACTGCATCAGGTGCTGACTCTATTTCGCGTTGCAAGGGACGCATAGTCGCCATGCTGTCTACAGTAGGGTCAGCTGGCCACGGCCAGTTCGTATGTTCATTCTTCGACAGACCCCTTGCAGCACTTGCAGAAGTTGATTCCTTGAATTCTAAATGGAGACATTGCCTGATTTGAAGGCGCCATCTGCTTCGCCGGAGGCAAGGAATGTCAGCCGGTATCTTGAGTAACCTGACGAGTCTTAAAATACAATTGAGCATCACAATGGAGGCATTAAGAGGAACACACTGACTATAACAGACACTAGACCTCAATTCAAGTTCTCTCGGCATACATTCACATTCCCAATCGGGCGCAATCACCATGTCTAAAACAACTGAGGTGAAAGTAGTGGAAGTCCAACTGGAGGACCCTTTACCCAGTATTGTCGATGCCTCCCGGTTTATTTCTGGCTCGCCCGCCGAGCAACGGGCTACCGCTGTCGAACTGACTGATTCAGTCCGCCGCTGCGGTTTCGTGAAGGTCATCAACCATGGTCTCTCCGACGAGCTCATCGACGAGCTTTTTGCATGGGTAAGTGACGTTCAGCTGTCTGTCCAAGAGATAGTCACATTTCCGGATCGCCGCAGTGCAAAGGCTCACATCTTGTCTAGAACGAGCGTTTTTTTGCAATCGAGCCCGAGCAAAAGTTGGCTGTCGTCAACCCCCCAGGACCATCGCCGCAGCGCGGGTGGAGTTGTGTAGGCGCCGAGAAAACCTCGCGCCTTTTCAGCAGAGGCCAGGCCTCTCTTGACCTGACCGACGCGCGGGTATGTGTAGTGATCTCAAGCTCGTTAGAATCTTCATTTTTGCTAATAGAGCAACCAGGAGCATTTTGATACCGGCTCTCCCCATGACACTAGATGGCCTTCGCGTTGGCCTGGTGAGGTGGTGGTCCCAGGATTCAAGGCCTTCCTGGAAGACTTCTATGTCCGATCTCATCAGGCTGCACTGCTCATCCTGGAAGCTCTTGAGATGGGGCTGAACCTGCCCGCGGGAGTATTGAAATCTCGTTGCGGTGGATGTGCGAGTGAACTTCGCCTGAATAGCTACCCTGAGATCGATATCGAGGAGCTACGCCGTGGCAAGGTTAGTCGCATCCATCCCCATGCTGATCTGGGTGTCATTACTTGCCTCTTCCAAGATGGACTTGGAGGTCTGGAGCTCGAGGACCGATCTCATGCCGGCTCGTTCTTGCCTATCCCTCCTGGTGCTCGTTCAGAAATGGTGGTCAATATAAGTGAAACTTTCCAGCTGTGGACAAACAATGTCATTACCGCTGGAATCCATCAGGTCACCATTCCACCAGAGATGAAGACCCGCACGGAGGGCCGGATCTCTGCTCGGCGTTCTTGTGCATTCTTTCTCAAGGCCGATGGTGATGCTTCTGTCGCGCCACTACCTCAATTCGTAACGCAAGAGCGACCAGCCGCCTACTCAGAGATGACCGCATTGGACTATCATCAGAAGCGTTTAGCTACGGCGTATTAAACGTCTTTGTATCTCCATGCCAATGAAGCAACAGGCGTTAGACATGTACTGGGACTACGAGTTGAATCACTCTACAAGAGGACGTAGATTGACATGGGTATCTAGGCTTTGTTGCAATTGTAGAGTGACGGCTAGTGGCTCATCAAATTTCATTCCATTCACGTACTAGTTCGTATCAGGCTCCAGGCCGCAATATAGTTATCATCTCGAAGAGTCAGCTAGAGACATCTTTCTTTCTGTCGTATTGTCGTCACCATGGGCACCGACACTTGGTGCAAGTGCAGCCGTGGCCTCTGCGGTAATGGCAGCGCAAGTCCGAAGTGTTTGAACCACCTTTTCCTTTTCCAAAACCGCCAATCCAGCGGCGGTCGCCCCACCCTTAGTGGCTACCTGCGCGACCAAGTCAGCCGGAGAGCTTAGCTGCTGGAGAAGGGCGGCCGTTCCACGAGCCGCCTGTGCCGTAATTGCTAGTGCCGTCTCTAATGGCAGATGTTGCCCATCTTTGTTGCCATTGCTATGTTGTTCTGCAACGCCCTGGGCCAAGCCCTCGATCATCTGGGCAAAGAAGGCCAGAGACGATGAGCCTACCGCGGAAGCGACATGCATTTGGCATTCTGGAAGCCACTTCACCACTCCTACCGATGCGAAAAGGTCAGTCACTGCGTGCCGGCTCTCGGCATCGTCTGTGCGATCGTCGCTAGTGGATAGAAGTGTGATGGATTCGCCGACCGCCACTGCAACACTGCAAACGGCACGCACGACTGGCCCCGTCCAGAAGTGTAATGCTTTTATGATGAGACCTGGCGATACGCCCCCCATCAGGCTGATCAGGATCCGACGGTCGTCATGACGCATGTCCTTCAAATCATGCACTAGCTCACCGAGGCTGGAATGTTTGCACCCAAACAGGACGATATCTGCTTGTTCGGCGACATTGCGATTCTGATCCTGTTGTAGGATCCAGACCGCAGGGACCGCCCGATCTCTCAGTAAGGGGGAGATTCGCTCGCGGACTAGTTGCGCGGTCCGTGCCGATCGAACCGTCACCTTGAACTCCCGAATCTTTACCAATCCTGGGTGGGCCGAGGCCGACCGGAGCAGGCCAACCAGCAAGGCTTGTCCCAATTTTCCTGAATATCATGATCAGCAACGTCCGATATAGGGGAACTCATTGCCGTGTGTTCCATGTCAGATAAACTAAATGAATGCCGGACGGTGAGACTTACCGCATCCCAGAATCGCTACCTTCGGGTATTCAACAGTAGACATGAGTGCCATCTTCGTATTGAAGAAAAAAACAAACGAAAACGAAAAACAAAGAGAGAGAGAGAGAGAAAAGGAGCAGAGATACACAGAAAATACGGCACAGTCGTGTCTGTGTGTCATTGACATATTTGTCCGAGATCGTCAACCAACAGGTGCTAGGGCCTCTTGCTCCGCATGAGACTGGGCATCAACTCGATCAGTGGACTAGCCGGCCGAGCCGGGATTTGAAGCCTTCGGTCGAAGCTGGATTCTCACACCTGCATTATTTCTGATTTCATAGAACCCTTAGTCAAAGCCCTTAGCTGTAATCAACACTGTTAAGTGATCTGAACTGGCCATTGTGGTCTACTACTGTACACCGGTCTATACGTGACTGCTTCATGCTAATGCATGGCGTACAATGTTTTGTCAAAATCTTGCTAAGGTACAGTAATGTGCAGGGGCGCAAGAACCTGTTAAGCTCGCGTACTCGCGCCTCTACCGAAAATATAAAAACAAGAAAAATATGATACACTAATTCTTACCTGGGACTTCGCCTGCAGAAAGCACCGGAAAGGCGGTCCACACATCCTCACCACATGAACGACGAGAATGAGATCAAGGCAAGGGGTCAGCCAGTCTTCACCCACGGTGAGCCCTGCTATCTAATATTTCTTGAATACTAGATTTGAACCATCCCAAATTTGGTTATTGATAATTCAACAAAAATCGCCAGCTCATCCCCCAGGTCAATTCGCAATGACACTCGCTTCGACACCACGTACTGATCAGCTACATGGCTCCCGAGTTCTTGTTATAGGGGGAACATCTGGAATCGGTTTTGCCGTGAGTGCAGCTGCACTTGGTCATGGAGCAATCGTTACCATCGTGGGATCGAATGCCCAAAAACTCAAGGATTCCATCGCCCGGCTGAAGTCCTCATTCCCATCCACGGACCCCGATAACATTATCGCAGTCCGATGTGACCTCAGCAACCCCGACACCGTCGAGCAGGATGTTGAGAAGGCTCTCCAGCTGGCGGCCGGAAACTCCAAGATCAATCATATTGTGATCACCGCAGCGGATATGACCGCTCCACCTCCCTTGGAGGCCCTCACCGTGGATTCTGTGCAGCGCCCGGGGATTATCCGACTAGTCGCCCCACTGATGGTAGCCAAACACCTTCCAAAATATATGGACAAATGCCCTCAGAGTTCGCTCACCCTAACGAGTGGTGCACACTGTTTGAGACCAGACCCTGGCTGGACCGTTATCTCGGGATATTGTGGTGCGGTTGAAGCTATATCGAGAGGATTGGCCATCGATTTGAAGCCACTGCGGGTGAACGTTGTGGCTCCAGGAGCAGTTCTCACAGAAGCTGTGAAGGATATCCTCGGCGATGCGTATGATGCTGCGGTGGAAATGGCGGAGGCAAAATCAACGGTCGGACAAACTGGGTCCCCAGAAAGCGTAGCCCAAGCATATATCTACCTGATGAAAGATCACTATGCCTCGGGATCAGTTGTCTCGACAAACGGTGGCATGCTTCTTGTCTAAGTCGTTGCGCAATCGCTTGATGGGCACGATCTGAATATCCGAAGCTATTCCATTCCTCCTCTTCCTATCACCTCTTGCGTTGATAAATGTCAAATGCCGAGTCCAAACTACGAATCTGTTTTGAAGAAAGAATGTCAATAATGATCTTATTACTCGCAACTACCAATGCTCTCTAGTGGTGCACGCTAGCTATTGTCGTAAGGAGGACGGCTTAGTCCACCATCTGTGTTGCTTGGCTTCGAGGCACTCGTTACACGGTAACTGGATGGTGAATATATCGAGGATCTGTTGTTCTGTTGCCTGTTAGTGATTCACGTGAGATACCAGAGAGTTATCTAAAATCCGTACCATTATGAGGTCCGCTATTTTACACTCTTCTGAAAACACAATATGGAAGATTTACAAGAGAGGAAACGGATCATTGCGCTTGTAGATGGAACCCAAACTCGAAGCAATGGACAGGCTCGAATGAAATGAGCCCCTAGACTCTGAAGTATTCATGTCAGGCCTGGTCATTACGGGTTCGATTTCAGTTTCGCCAATATTAACGCGCGGGATCTAATTCGAGCTCACTGAAAGGAAAACTCAAATAACACACAACCAACATAATAGATTTTTGAGATTTTGGTGAATTTCAATCAGCTACGTATATTTACGGTTGTATTGGTTTGCACGCAGATGATCGGCAGCCAAGTTTGGCTTAATGCACTTTCAAAATCAGCAAAACGAGCCGATCTGAAGACCCACATGTGCAGCAGCGTAGGGTGTTTCATTTTGCAGGATTGACATCGGAACAAGACGCAGGTCTGGCCGATCATTTAAACCACGTGCTAACACTCTATCTCCACCAGTCCGTAATTAGTATCGAATACTTAATTTTACGGTCCTTTTGATCTTAGTCTACTGCATTCTTAATGAATTATCAAGAAAATATTAATGCGTGGATAATTCATCAAGAATTCATTAAGAATACGGATCTTTGGACACATAGCTCCGCTGTATCGTTGAATCTGTGGCGTCGGAATATGTAACCACTGGAAAACACGTTTATATATGGAACTTATACATTTTTACTTCCAGAATCTCCACTATGAATCCTCCTTGCTTGATGTTTTACAGAGAAGATCGATCGATCTCTGAAAGGAGTTTTGGCGAGACTTGGTACATTCCCTAGACCCCCCCTTGTCTGCCTGATGGCTCAGGTTAGGTGTGATATGTCCAATTATCCAGCATACAAGTGAATTTATTGATACATGATGTCTCCTTACACGAAGTTCTGCGGCGGAAGTGGATCTTATGGATCTGAATGTACTCTTGGCGAGGCCTACATTTCTTAAACCCTTTTATTTGTTTGATGGTTCATTTTACGCGGAATGTCTAAGCATTAATCATACAAAGGGCTTATTGATATATAAGTGTTGCCTTGGACGACAGTAACTGGGGTTGCTGACGGCCACTCACGGTAGATGCGATCTCAACAAGAATTTGAATCCGGCCATCATCACACCAATAATAAACCCGAAAACATGCACAACACAGAAAGCGACATCAAATGTGAAAATGTGTCGGTTACCCTGGAAAGTCTCACAGAAGAAGAGACCGTCGGACTTGCTCGTTGGAAGTTAGGGCTATTGATGTTCGGAAATACTCTTGCAGTGTTCTGTGTCGCACTGGTACGTAATTATCCAAGATTGATATCGGTTTCTAAAGCGTTGGCAGGATAATACGATTATGTCAAATGCCATCCCCAGAATCACGCAGACCTTTAACTCGCTAGAGGATATCGGATGGTACTCAAGCGTATATTTCTTTACCAATTGCTCAGTGGTTCTATTCTTCGGAAAACTCTATACGCATTACTCAATGAAACAGATTTTTCTCGTGGCACTTCTGTTGTTCGAGGTTGGCTCCTTGATCTGCGGTGCCGCGCCAACCTCCGTCGCCCTCATTGTGGGCAGAGCCATTGCTGGACTTGGTGCCGGGGGGTTCTACCCGGTGCCATATTGATCGTCAGCGAGAGCGTGCCACTTCACCAAAGACCGCTGTATACGGCTGTTTTGGGGGGTATGTCAGGTGTCGCGGCAGTCGTTGGGCCTTTGTTCGTCGACCACTCTATTGCATTTTTTTCATCATCGTAAGGCTAATTATGTCTTTCCCTAGAATCGGTGGTGCTTTCGCTGAGAAGAGTACTTGGCGTTGGTGTTTCTACATTAATTTGCCACTGGGCGCCGTCACCACGGTGGTTATTTTGTGTTTCTTTTTTGACTCGCGGACGGACATCTCTGATGTATCCATGAGCAGCTGGAACCGATTTAGGGGCCTCGATATCCCTGGTCTGCTCTTATTTCTACCGACGGTCTTTTGCCTACTGTTGGCACTTCAGTGGGGTGGAGTTAAATACCCCTGGAACAATGTGCGTATCATAGTTCTATTCGTCATTTTCATCCTAGCGGCAGGATGTTGGATAGTTCTCCAGCACTTCATGAAAGAGCAAGCATCGGTTCCTCCACGCCTGATACGCAACCGCAACGTTTGGAGCTCAGCGGTGTACATGGGGTGCATTGTAGGCTCATTTATTATCATTCTCTACTACGTAAGTCTATCACTACGCTGTTCAAGAATATCAGCTAATGGCTCAGTTCCCTATTTGGTTCCAAGTCGTCAAAGGCGGTTCCCCAATACAGTCAGGCACCATGATCTTGCCGATCATCATTGGGCTCATTGTATGTATGTCATTGGGGGCGGTATTTGTGACCGTCGTGGGATACTATATTCCCATCATGGCAATCGGCACTATCATTTCAACTATCGGCGCTGGTCTCTGCAGTACTCTCGAAGTGGACTCTAGTGCGAGCAAATGGATCGGATACCAAGCTATGTGTGGTATAGGACTAGGATTTGGGTTCCAATTACCATTTATTGCCGTGCAGACTGCGCTACCTAGATCAGATATTCCCGTCGCTACAGCCATTATCACCTTTGCTCAGAACCTGAGCGAGGCTGTGTTGGTGGCTTTGGCACAAACAATCTTTCAAAATCGGCTAGTTGCTCACGTCAAGCAATTATCACCATTAGTTGATCCGAACGTTGTCGTTCATGCCGGTGCGGCCAATTTGGATCAACATTTCTCAGCCGATGTGCTACCGGGGATTGTGCGTGCATACAGTGCTGCTGTTACCGAAACCTTCTATGCGGCAACAGGGATCGCAGCGCTGTCCTTCATTGGACTGATCAGGCTGCAATGGTTGTCGGTAAAGAAAACCGAAACCAGCGGGAATGTGGCATAGGCGTATCTCCAACAACGCAAGGGATTCAGGTGTAGGATATTGCCGGTTCAATCGGCTTGTCGGTTGTGACATTGAATACGATAGCATGCATTAATTGTAACAACAATAACAACATAGCCGCAGGCATTGTCTCGATAATATGTGTCATTCAGAAATATCATTGTTAGTTATTTTTGTCAGAGCCACTATCTGAACTTTCATACTGGCGGATTAAATACCATTTTGTCAGAAACCGTGGACCGAATAGCTTGTGTGTAAATACTTTCTAGGCTATTCCTTGCTAAATTCACATACGCTTCCGCTATTTGGTGTGCTTTACACGCTTTTTGGTTATTTATATAAGAGCGGTCATACAGTAATCTGTCAGCATTCTGTGATATCATTTCAGGGTAATTAATCATTCTCTCGAGACTCATGAGAGTGCTATTGGGGAACAGCGCCACCTCCCCATAATTCTAGACGATCGTAGGTGTCATTGCAGGAAGCAAACATGTAGCAGGCAAGGGAAATATATTCATAGTCCACAGTAGTGTGCATGCATACGGCCATTCGTATATTCTTCTTTTGCTTGTCACAAATTAAAACGCAGCTATGATATAGCGCTTGCAGATAAATTGTGGTGTTGTACAGTAATCGAGGGCACGCTTTGTGCGTCAGATGACACAATGACATGAAAGTCAGTCTGAGCAAGTGGCCAGTTCAAGACTCGTGCATGCATAATAATTTGCGGTGTGAGTGAAAAGAACTATCCTGAATTCGATACAATGTATATAAAGGTGCCGATGCATTCAATCCAGACCGAGATGTAGCAGTCAGAATTAAGTTAATATCGAACTTTAACATCAACCCTGTACTCATTGTCAGCTATTAATCATGACTATCCAAGCGAAGAGAATTGTGACGGTATTTGGAGGGACTGGTATGAAGCTTTTTATACACAAGAAAAGCTCCCCAGAATCAGCTGACCGATACAGGAAACCAGGGCAGCAGTGTGGCACGTTCCTTGCTGGCACACAAAGACAAGATCTTTCACGTTCGTGTAATCACGAGAAACCCTCAATCAGACAAAGCGAAATCTATTGCGTCACTAGGGGCGGAGTTAGTTCAGGCAGATGGACTTAACCTCGATGAAATGACCAATGCCCTTGCTGGCAGTTGGGGAGTATTTATCAACACGAATTCCGATGATGAGGTAAGATCACAATGGGAAGTGGCATGCTTAATAGTAAGAAGGCTCACTCAATTTGTTCGACAACAGGCTTTGAAATCATTGGATGGTCCTAGCGATTATGACCTTGGCGTGTTGGTAATCGATTCTGCTAAGAAAGCAGGTGTCCAGCATGTTGTCTACAGCTCTGGACCATCCATCACAAACGCTACGAAAGGCAGAATGCATCTGGAAGGCTTCGAGAGTAGGTGCATTCTATCACCGCCATTGTTACATCTGGTTATTAACAATTGTAGCCAAATACCATGTTGAGCAATATGGGCGTAAGAAAGGGTTTAAAAGCTTTACTCCCATCTTATGCGCCTCGTTTATGGAGTGCTTTTTCTATGATCCGTTTGTAGATGCCTTCGGTGGGTTTCCTTGGATTCCTGAGCCAGAAACAGGCGAAGTGGTCTTCCGCACTCCGGACTACGGGGGTAAAGGCGACATGCCCTGGGTCAGTTGTGAGGAAGACCTCGGTGACATTGTGCACGGTATTTTTGTGAACCCGTGCAAATACGATCAGACATTGGTTCAGGCAACGAGTCAACAGATCACGATGTCTGATGTGGCAGCTTCATATACCCAAGGTACGCCGCCATTCCTCCTTTTTTTTTCAATTCTGTCCATTGACAGTGACGTCTTTGATGTAACTAATAGTTGCTACTTGCAGCAACCGGAATTCCGGCCCGACACGAGGAATTGTCGTCTTGGTCTAGTATCAAGCTCAATGGGACAAGGTGCCGAGAAGAAACTCGCCAAATGTTCTGGTACATGAAGCATTGCGGTGGCCGTTGGTTTGCAGAACACGAGAGTGATATGTCTACCGCGGTTGCATTGAAGGAAGCAGCAATGTTGTCTCGGGGTCAGGAGGGAGGTCTTACTACATTTCAGGCCTGGTTCAAAAAGGCGAAAGTCCTGAAAGACCAAAATGTGTGATTCTTCCGAGATCTAGACGGCAATCTGTACCCTAGTCTCAATGTCTAGTATCAGGCGTGTAGAAATTGAATTACCTTGAACCTGAGACGTAAACATCACTTCCTTGCTTCATTTATGGACAATAAAAGTATGACGATGGCCATATTTTCTCTAAACACTACGGAGCGGTCAACTCAAGGAATTTCTCGTGACAACATATAATGCAGAAATTCTTAGTAATTTGAAGTATCTAGATTATATCGTTCACTCTAAATTAAATAAACCTTAATGAATTTTGATTAATTCCAGTATATATTAATAAAACTAATATATATTATCCTCTATATACTGCCTTTTCCTCCCTAATATTCGTGGCTAAGTGCTATAACCTAGTAATAGAGGATCGCTAGCATTATTATCGCTAGTATAAAATACATGAATCAAGTTAAAATCTGTTGATATAAGTCACGTGTTAGACTTATTCTGCTTACTAAAATTGCCCGTGGCCGTATAGTTTCCTGTCCATCGGGTTCCCGCTCAGCTGGGTGCTCCATGGGCCGGTGGCCCCGCATTGCTTACATAACGTCCGTGGGCAGTAACTGCCCGTGGACCCGCCGTCCCATCCGGCAATGTCGCAGTCTAAGCCCTAGCAGTTTAGTAGGCCCTCTCCTTTAACTGAATTATTACTGTATATTTGGCATGTTTAGCCGACGAACTTTCTTCGGCTAAAGTAACTAAAACAAACTCTATGCTCTGCAGATTTGTCTAGACCACAGCCATTTGGAAGAAGTCGGGTTAACCATTGTGAAGGTCTAGTACACGGCCCGAGCCGAATAACCCGGCCCTAATGTGATAGTATACTGTAAGTTACGATTGTTTGCAAAATTATTTTATATTTACTCTAATTTCCGGGTCGAAAAATGCGATACATCAATGGTTGTCGCTCTGCTACTTTGTAGCAATTTTCCGGCTTTGTGGTCGAAGAGACCCATATTGGACTACTCCAATTCATGGTCGCAATCACAGGCTGGAGAATGAAAGTATCCTGCATGAACAGATTTCCCCTTACATGTATATGTATACTTTCAAACATGCTGAGCGATGGTACTCTACGAGGACCTATTGCGACCCCACCCCCTTGCAGGTCTACCGAATCATCACCAATCCAATCCTATGGGAGAGATCGGTGGGGGTGCCAGGCCGGTGATGCTATCTAGTACAATAGCTTTCGAACTTCACTACCGTCGTCTCCCCATTCATAATAATCCTAATACTCAAGATCTGACTGCGGGTTAACTTCAGCCCATAGGTCTAGTCTAAATCATTCCATGGCGTTTCGGCTAGCTGGCTTTTTCCTGATCCTCGCCCTCGGCTTGAGACATTATCTCTCCACTAACCAGGAGCCCCGATGTCGGTGTGGCCCGGATGATGATTGCTGGCCCTCGCCGATGGCGTGGGAACACCTCAATGAGACTATCAATGGCTATCTGACGCAGTTACAGCCAGTTGGAGCTGTGTGTCACGAAAAGCATTATTCCAACAACTCCTGCAATGAGCTAATTCAACACTATCGCAACACCACATGGCGCGTTAACAATCCCGGTAACTTGGTTATACCCCGAAGTCCCAAAAGTGACTTGTGCTCATACTAACTGCTGCTTCATCACAGCTGCGCTGCAGGTAGATACCTGGGAATATTCGCGACCACTGAAGCAAAGTTGCCACGCCCAAGACCTGCCGGAGCACAGTCAATGCCACCAGGGTCGCGTGGCACACTACTCGGCCTATGTCAATTCCGTATCGGCGGTGCAGCAGGTGATCCAATTTGCCGCGTCTCATCGCCTGCGACTGGTTATTCGCAACACCGGTCACGATCTTGCAGGACGTTCATCAGCCCCAAACTCACTTCAGCTTCATACCGCTGGTCTTAAGGGCATTGATTATGTAGAATCGTTCACTCCTCAGGCTCCAGCCGGTCAATCAGTGCCCTCAGAGGGCCCCGCGGTGACAGTAGGGGCAGGGGTGCTCACAGGAGAGCTCTACTCGGTGGCCGCAGAGGCAGGATTTACCGTGGTAGGAGGAAGCTGCAGTACGGTTGGAATCGCTGGCGGCTGGATGCAAGGTGGTGGCTACGGGATTCTGACCCCGTCACGAGGACTAGGAGTGGACAATGTGTTGGAAATTGGGGTTGTAACGGCGCAGGTAAGTGGCCAATCACTCTGTATGACCGATCGGATTATTAGCTTGCAATTTTGGCTCACAAGTTGCTTATTTGTTTATTCTAGGGCGTCTATGTCACTGCAAACCGATACCAAAACCAAGATCTCTTTTGGGCCATTCGTGGAGGCGGCGGAGGCACATTTGGGGCCGTCGTGCACGTAACATTCCGCACCTACCCAGACTCTCCCGCCACCGTGTCTAAACTGAATGTGATTAGTCCCCATGGACTGAATTCTGCCTTCTGGGGCGCCATAACGGATCTGCTCCTCGCGATTCCCATCCTGGCGGATCGCGGAGACGCTGTCCTAGCCTTTATGATCCCGGTCATGCCTGACAACGCCACATTTCTCACCATCGAGTCCTATCTCATCAATGAAACCGATGTCGGCGGTCTAGATGTTATCCGGAAGCTACAAAAAGGCATCGAAGCGCGCGGGTTATCAGTGGAGTCCTCCGAGGAGTCCTTCGATCGGTTGTCTGCGTATCTTGCGATTCCGAAAGGTTTGGATCAGGCCGGCATGGGGATGATGACCGCGTCACGACTTGTGTCGCGAGAGCTAATGACATCGGCTCAGGGGCCTTCCCTGATTAGTCAGACCCTCGCCCAGCTCAGCTATGAGCCTGGAAATGTCCTGAGCCTAGAGGGAATGGTCGGGGGGCCCGCAGTGCGAGATAAAGACACAGCGGACCGCGCAACCCATCCATCGTGGAAGTCTGCTGTCATGTCCCTAACTTTGGGCCACAGCCTACCGTCAGTTCCAGATTGGACAGCCTACAGCCGTGTCCAGCGCAAACTGGCAATGACGCAGGTACCGGCTCTTGAGGCCCTCGAACAGGGCACGATGGGAGGGTACCTGGGCATACCATTCCCGTACGAAAGCCATCCTTCTCAGGTGTTCTGGGGGTCCCATTACGATAGGCTTTTAACTCTCAAAGGGCATTGGGACCCCGATGATTTATTCTTAACTCGATTGGGGGTCGGTTCGGAGCAGTGGGATGAGGAAGGCATGTGTCGAGTTGGTCTGGAGCAGGCTTCTCTGTGGTCGTATTCCAGCATATGGAAGAAGTGGGACGATCTTATCACTGTGATAGGTTGGCCTTTAATTTAGCAATCTTATGGGCTGCTTACAATTCACCATTTCTGCCCTTGCAAACATTGGGGTTGTCAATGAATCTGCCGGTGTAAAGTTCTAAATTTGTTATCTTCACAAAGTACCTTCCCTTTGACTTCCTCCAAAATAATGATCGACTTTCAATAGTTTTCAATGAACACCCTGCCTCAGAATATGATGATATTGTATTCGGACTCCCTCTCCACTCGCAAAATCTTGTTAGGCCTGCTGCAGTGATTGTATTTCAAATTATTGACTCTTGGCAGTACAAGTCCTAATCTGCCTTTTTTTTTTGAGTACTTACATTCACTATGTAGATCACTGTTTAAAAGAAGTCATTTCGTTGTACATCTACTGTAGCGCATCACTTCTAATTTCTCTTTAATCTCTAAGTCGGCAGAGCATTGAGTTTATCTGTTAATGGGATGTATATGGAGTAGAATTATCTCAGAGTCGTTCATTTAATGTCCCGGTGACAATCATTCAAAGTGACTATATTTTACTAAGGGGGACTAGGGCAGGGGGTGGCGAGAATGCATACTAAACAAAAGCACTCTAGCGCCATAAGCTCCCGAATAACGCAAGCTAACCACATAATGCATTGGACTACAATTACTCAATGACGCCTAATGAGGTTTAGCGAGTGGAGCGTCCGGATAGCATCCTGTTGAACAAGAAGGGGGGCGGTCATTGGCACGGCCAAACAGCGGTATGAGGTGTAGACTATTCAGGTGCTCCAACACGCCCCGTCTGCACCCCTACTCTCAGGATAGGCTAGGATAGGCGGCTCAAGGGTCCAGCTGACACTGTATAGGGCTTACACGTGACGATTAAACGGAAAAGAATGGTCGAACTCAGGGTCACTTGCACTGCACCATGCAAGAGAACAAGCCGGGCTCATAACCTGTTGAAGAAAAAAAGTGGCGCCCCGTATCATAGGCACAGTCAAACAGCGGCATTAGGTGCAGGACTAGTCAGGTGCTCCAACACATCCTGGGCGTGGGTGTCCTTTCAAGACTGCACTAAAGTAAAATGACTTTGCGCTTGTTAATCACCGACCAAAAAACAGTCTCAAGACCAGATCCGCTGGATAAGCTTGGGATTATTACTTGGATTACGGAGTACATGTAGATTAATTTTTGGGTTCTACTGTAATCTACTGTATTCAGGGGGGTAGCCAAGTATACCGCAAAGGGGAGAGAAACTGAAAGATGATGATCATACCCATAATGCCAGCTAGCATCTTCCACGGAGAGAAGTAGAAGCGATGCAGCAATGGATACCATGTACGGAGTAGGGAGTACTCCGTACATTGTTGATTGTTTCACGAAAGAAATTACTGCATGCATTTTGATAGCGTGGTTTGATGACAAGACAATACTGTAAATCGGGGCAACCCGCTCAAGGTGCAGTCTCCCTCGAAGACTGGCCTTCCTTCCTTTTCTTTGTGCGTTCATGTGTGCTGTGTAAGAATTAGATGAATCTTATGCACTGTTTGAATACCTGATCGAACCTTGTCGACTTCCCGATACCCATAACGGTTTGATTATAGATTTGAAGGTTCTTTATTGCACAGCGTCATGTTTACAAATTCCAAATCATGAATTTACCTTTTGATACTTTAATACTGATATGTATCTTGGGGTCAAAGCAGGCGAGGTGAAATGTGCACCAAGCCTTTCGATTTATACACAAATCAAGTCATATTTTGATAGCTTCGGCTTTGATCCGGTAGGAGTACGGAAACCATATATGAGAGTTGCGTGTCCTTGTGACTATAGGCAGGATATCTATGAAGGGTTCTATTTTAATCGTGGAACTTGAGCCAACAGGGAATAGTAGTCTGCGAGACAAATGAATGTAGTCCATAATGATCGAGAGTCCGCCTTGCTTTGGATAGGAGTAGTAACTGCGGTTGAGCTGCCTAATAATTGCGCGAAATGCCGCTTGAATCTATCAATTACACTCCTCTAATTTCAACCATGGATACTCATCAGAGGAATGGTAGTATACACTCAGGTAAACCCCCGTCTTTTCCGTGTACGCAAATGAAATCCAGGATGTCAGGCGAGCAGTTTTGCCTAGGTCTCTCTCGGGGCTGTCAAAGTTAGCAATTAAAGTATTGTTATAAGGGACGGGAGAAGTAGAGAAGCCATACAAATAGTGCTGTACCGTCGCCTCGTAATTGTCACCATACTTAGTCAGCCCGATACGGGACAAGAATTGAGCTAGGCCACTAATAACGTTTTGATCACTCTCGCCATGGATTGGAAAGTAGAACTTCGTGAGTGGGGTGGCCTCGCCAGTTTTCATCTCGTAATTCCATACCATCGGGGTCACGGTGGCATCTTTGCCATCGTCGAAGCCGCCATTGAATTCACGGTGCCCTTCGGACAGCTTAGTTAACTCCCACAGCTCCTTCAGATACATTAGACCCTTTTGGACAACAGGCGACTTGGCTCGCCCTCCAAGGGTCCATATCTCCTGTACTTTGGACCAGACCACGCTGTTGTGAGAGCTATAGAGCTTGAGGCGTGATTGGGCAAGGTCAACACAGTCAAACGACCAAAAGGCAAACTGGCTATATCCATTCGTCTCTTCCAGATAAGAGTTCACCATGTCAAACGAGGGGATGGGGCCCATTCGTGCCACAAGAGGCTGAATTGATTCAGAAATGAAGTTTCCAAATCCTTTCTCGTTAAGGGTGCATTTGATAGCGGGGAATGTGTAGCCCTTGACTGAGATAGCTTTTTCCTTTAGATCAAACCCAAAAGCACTCTGGGAGGTTAGATCGCTCCCTTCAATCTTCTTCTCCTTCAGCAGCCCTTTCTCGTGGCCATTGACGGTATGAGCGTCCAGGAAATATTGGAACAGTGATGGGTCAAATCCCGGTATATTGAGCATCTCAAGCTGGTTCAGGAGATCAACAACTGGGATTTGATTGTAGGGATCAACTTCTGTCCCAGACGCTGCAGCAACTGGCTCGAATCCGATGCGAACTACGGGGTCAACATCTCCCCGTTGCTGGTAGTTGACGCTGAACTCCAGCGGCAGTCCACTTCGGGTGATTGCGCTGCGAAATTGATGCGGGTGTGGGCCCAAAAATGGAATCAGCACCTTGATGTAAAACGTGAGAGCCTCCAAGCGACGGGCGGGGTTATAGCCTGCTGAAGCTAGGATTTTGTCGAGCAGACGGCCGGTCCTCTCCCACCAGACCTTCTGGTGACTATCAGTGAAGACATGGTCTCGGCTCAGGACGTCAAAAGTTGTGGGAATCGGAAAAGTGGAATCCCCCTTAGCCAGCATGCCGTTGGATACATGGCCCTCAGTCACTTGAATCGTCATAGTGATTGGAGAATGTCAAGGCACATGGAAATAATTAACGAACAGTGAAGCTGCCTTGACCTGGTTTAGAAGTGGTTCCCAGGGCACATACATATGGCTGAACAGGTCAGGAGTATAGAAGGCTTATTGTAAGAAAATAGTAAACTTTTGCGGCTAGTGCATAGTCACCGTGAGGAAATCAGGACGCGCGTATCAAGTACCAAGTATGCACTTCGTTGCGTAGTTAGACCTACGGGAGTCCAGACCACTACAAATTTTCGTGCAGAAAGTTGGTGATACAACTTACCTGCAGTGTCTGTATGTAATCAAGGTTTCCTTGGAATGTGCATGAAGCTACAGCGTTACGCTGGATAAACATTGATATATCTAAAGAGCAAGTATGTTACACCTAAGCCCCTTTCGAGACTTGGAACCTCGGCTCGTGGCGTCGGGTTACTGGACCCTGTGTCAATGGTAATTCTAGTTGCTATAGAATGTACTTTTATATGGTGCGCGTCTTCAAATTGGTCTTATATGCCACTTAACTAGGTAAAAAGAAGGATGTCACAAGAATATAAGAATATGGATTAAACAGTAATATGGAGACGGATTCCTAGCGTAAGTTCCCTAAGGACGAACTATCCAATATGAGAGAAAGCGATGAAATAAATCTGCTAATAATGGATGGCCTATCGACTCGGGTACGCCGGCTACGCGCAAGTCCATCAGTAGGGGATTTCTCCTTTGGACTCACTCCGTGGCATTCCGGTCAAATAAGCGTGATGGCAACGGAGGCAGCCTGAGAATTCATCACGAGGACTGCCCGCAAAGGGAGATGGTGGCTATCATTGCTAAATTTGTTGTCCTCGCCACCACTGTCACCTTTTAGACCCTGGGCCAGCGCAGAGATCATCTTGGCAAAAAGTGTAATCGAAGAGGCACAAGGAACCGAGTGCAGATACCGCAAACAGGCATATCTCCGGCAGCTACTTCACAAACTGGACCACGGCAAAGAGAGCGGTGATGAGCTTATAAAAGTCGGTGTACTCGGATAGCACGGTAACTAATTCGTGGATAGCTGCTGCGATACTGGATACAGCTCCTGTACCAAGCCCACTCTACTCAATGGCATTGTTTCCATTTATCTGACTCCCAATTCTGTCGTTCGAGATGCCCCGATTGGACTTAGCAGCATCCTAAGTCTGGAATTGTGAGACTTGTAAAACCTGTCATGCCTAGCAGACCAGACAGTCGGATAGACCGGTATTCTTGCTTAAGGCGGAGTAGAATTATGTCGACGTCCCAACCGATGGCCTCATTTTGCTCATGTTTGCAGATCTTAACGCGAGGAGGCTCTGCATCACTGTGCAGAGAGATACCGTAGATTGAAGATATCAATCTCGATAGATTCGTGCCGACCCGGAGAGTATTGGGCAGTTGCTGCAGGCGACTTACAAACATACGCAGTGCCAATGCAACTACTTACGACCGACAAATTGAAAAAAATGCGATGTGGCAAGTCCATTCACCGAACCAAAATAGCTCTAGAGATCTTTAATAAATTGGTCTTTTAGAGCGAAGGGTCTTGCACTCCTTACATGCAAAGGCAAATGAATGTCGAGTTGATTTTCTATGGGCTAAACGGCAACCGTTGGTGTATTAAAATAGTCTTGCTGAGTCTCATTCTTGCTCATGCCCAAATCCCTCTTGTTAGTCTTCCTGTGTATATTCCATTCGGTCTCAGCGGAATACCATTGTTTTCCAGCAACATGACTGTTTCGACTGAATCAAATTTCCCTCATGGGGCAAGCACTCAGAAATCTCAGAGCGTGGAACCAGAGATATACTCCAGCCTAACAAAATCCTTGGACTTCGGCAACGATGCAGAAGAGAAGTGGTGGACACGAACAGCTCCTCTGCTTTCCAGAATTCTCGATTCAGCCGGCTACACGCTTCCCCAGCAATGCCAATTCCTCACCCTCTTCAACACGCTTATGACCCCAAACTTCGGGCCCCATCCTCACATATGGCACTCCTCTATTACGCACTCCGGGCTTCCCGTCGAGTTTAGCGTTAATTACCAGCCCGGAAAGCAACCGACCGTGCGCATTGGTTTTGAACCAGCATCGTCCATATCGGGCACTGCGCGGGATCCATACAATATAGTCACCGTGTCAAACGTCCTGAACAAAATGTCCAGGCTGAACTTCAAGGGCTTCGATCCATCTCTGTTCCACACTTTGATCGGTTCACTCGCCCTCTCGAAGAATGAATCTGACCTGCTTCAGGGCGCGAAGCTTGAAGGTTCCAAGTTCAAGACACAGGCGGCCTTTGGGCTGGATCTCAAGGGAGACGCTGTGACGGTGAAAACCTATCTCTATCCTGCCTTAAAATCCAAGGTGTCCGGGCTTGCATTTAGCGAGCTTCTGGAGAACGCGTTTGCTAAACTCCAGAACGCTCACGACTTTTCTCGGGTGCTCCCAATGGTCCAAGAGTATATGGAGGAAGGGCAGTGCTATAATCAGTACTCCTTTATTGGATTTGACTGTGTTGACTCTTCGAAGTCCCGGTTAAAGATCTACGGAGCTCTATTGGATATGTCTTGGAAGAAGGTGGAGCAGGTATGGACGCTTGGTGATCGGTTGATAAATAGTGAAACCAACAAGGAGGGCCTTGGGTATATGCGGGCCCTGTGGGAGTACCTGACACCTGGAAAGGTGAGGTCAATACCCCGTAACCGCTTTTCAAGAGACTTACCAAGACAATAGGAACGACGACCTGTGGGCATCTGGAACTACGAGCTATTACCCGGGAGTGAAGAGCCGATGCCCAAGTTCTACGTGGACATGAATGGCGAGAATGATTTTCAAAATGCGCTGGGCATATCGAAGTTCCTGCATCACATTGGATTGACGGCAACGGCTGAAGGCTTGATCGGCCGAATTCAGGAGTACTTGTACGGAGTCCTCCACTCCCCTTTATTGCATACACATGTGCTCTTTGCTGACCAAGATCCTATACAGCCCTGGTGTGAACCTTCAGGAAACGACCGAAGTTATTCAGTACGTGTCTTTTGCGTGGAGTAAAGGTGGACCTTATTTCAGTGTTTATTACCTATCGTCCTACTAAGACGATAGGTTACAGAATCGATTAAGAGACGTTGTTATGTAGCTCTTACGTTGCTCATACTTGTAATTAAAACACCCAGTAGGCTGGCACAAATTTCGACCCGTGCACGATGAATCTGGAATTCCCTGCTCTGAGGGCGACTGCTAAAGTCCCGTTAGCCTGGAAGTGGAAATAATGGTATATCACGTATCTCCAGCCATCCGTATCTTCTCTTGTCTGTAGGAAGACTAGACAAGATAACTTAATTGAACTATCCTTTCCGGTTTTCTTCGCTTTAGAATATTTATGTTGATCTTTTTACTTCACTATATGTCCTTCATTCCAGAATGACACTGCTGTGGCTGAACTGAACCCTGACCGCTACATGACTCGCATCGCCACCTTGTACCAGTGGTCGGTCCTACTTGTGGACATGGGAATGAAAATTGGGACAATTTATTGCTATGATTAAATTATGTCTTGGATAAATAGTTAATTGTGACTCTTATGTCGGCGTCCGTCTTAGTCTAGCTGTGCTGCGTAGCAGGCTTATTTAATCGCGGAAATATGAGTTTTATTACTTTTTCTGACAGTGAATCACAGTATTTGATTTGGACATTGTATACTAGTCTCCTTACTATGAAGTGTAAATTTTGTGATTGTAACGCAGTGCATCACTAAGCCTTTTAGAGTGACTTGTTCTGCAATTGCTCCTTATTCTCAACATTCCGAATCCCCAATTGTACCCGTAAATCGTCAGGCAGGTTCGTTGCGTGATACTCCCCTCCTTCCTGGATTGCCCTCACCACCGTCTCAAACTCCTGCTCAGTATAAGCCTGGCTGTCATGGCCATAGATCCAGGTCTCAAGCGGGAGTGAGGCAATATTCTGCTCATTTGGCTCATAAGCGTCCCAGTCCTGATTCCGCCAGCCTTCGTTCACACGATGGCTTATCAGCTGTACAGCTGAGGCTCGAGCATAGCGTGTCCGTTCAGCGACGTGAAGAGCCAGGGAGACTCGCTGTCTTCCGGCCAGAGACAGACTAGTAGCCAGGACGTTTGCATCTTCAATTCCCTGGGAGGCGCCTTGCCCTGCGGCAGGGGAGAGGGGGTGGGCCGCGTCCCCTATAAGAATCAATCGACCATTGCTGGATACCCAGTGGTCTAAGGGCTTGTGGTTCAATAACGGGTAGTTGATGAACTTTTGAGGCAGGGTATGTCGAATCACGGACCAGAGGCGCTGCCCAATGGGCCAGGCTTTGATCAGATCCAGCATTTCGTTGGGGTTGGCAGGGGATGTCCAGACGTCTAGGAGATTTCTTGTATCCTACACGCTGCGTCGGCTCAGATCATTGATACTAGATCAAATTGAACATACCTGATGAATGCAGAACCACGAGAAGACTTTCCCTTTATTGCAAGACTGCAGGGCGATCTGAGCACCTGAAAGGAAGAAGACATCAAATCGATCGCTTTCTTCGACCCCCTCAAACACCCAGCTCGCTTCCGGGTCACCTTTAAGTGTCTCCGTATCTACCAAAGCCCGAAAGGCTGCGTATCCAGATGGATGAGGCTCAACAGGTTGCGGCATGATCGCCTTCCGCATATTGCTGTGCACCCCGTCGCTGCAGATAATTAAGTCACCTCGAACTATCTGTCGTTCGCCATCTCGGGTAAGGACAACAACACTGGCTCCCTCCTCGTCCTCGGAAGGCTCACAAACCTCCACGCCGAGGTTTATCTCGACCCCGATCTTGAGCGCATGCTCATACATGACTCGGATAAGCTCTGACCGTGGGAGGAGGTAGTTTGGCTGCTTGCACACCTCCGAGAGGTCCTGTCGGATAATCAGACGGCCGGTTGAGTTGTGTATACGGATTTCCTTGGATGAGACTATCCAGGGTCGTAAGGTTTCATGAACGGCACCATCGCCCCATCGTTTGATAATGCGCGTGGCATTGCTTTGAAGACCAATACAGTCTCCTACACAAAGGCAGTCACAATGTAAGCTTCCACCACCAAATTTGCGGTACACAGTCTTACCGATGGACTTCAGTATATTGCTTTTCTCAAAGGCGCGGACGCTATGGCCCTTCTCGCGACACTCGATCGCTGCGGCGAGTCCGACGATGCCCAGGCCGACAATGATTACTTGAACTTCTTCACCTAAAGAGCCCATCTTTAGTCACTTTTTGGTGTGTGTAATTCTTTGCTGATGATGCCAGTCACAGATGATGCGGCATTTGACAATGATAGGAACGAGCTCTATTCAATCGTTCTCTAAAATGTCGATGACCACTACTGCAGGTGACCAGTTCTTCTAAAAAGCAATGAATGCCAATAAGATTACGCTGCAAAATTATTGTATTTATCACTGTTAGCTACATCATATTTACTACTAGTTTTGGTGGTTTGCTTTTATGCTGGTGTATGCGTGACGGCTGCATATTAATGCATGGCTCACAATACTTTGTAGAAAAGAAAAGAAAAAGACTAGGACATGAATAGGTCACCTACTGTACAGTACATGCGTCCGAAAGCAAACCGGTCTCTACACGGAAGATCCTGAAGACCATTACTTCCTTGTATTCTCCCTTCGCCTGTAAGGAGCCTACATTCCGTGGTCCGCTGAGCCACTCATCCGCGCGATATACCGAACAGAAAACAGGTTTACAGTACGGTGAAGAGCAAAGCGTTCCAAGCGAAGTAAGGGACCTAACATTGGGCAAATTCCACCGCTGGCTTTCTAGGCTTTTTCTGTTCTTCAAGGAGCGTTACTGCGTTACGCAAAACGATATACAGAAGTTCTACAGAATGCAATCGTAACCCTTGCTGGCAGCCACAATGCTACACTTGTATAGCCCTATCTTGGGGAAACATGATGAGGAGACTGGTGGGGATTTTACAGAGCTACGGTCACGCAAAAGGAGAGACTTGATATGACTGCTGCAGGGAAATTCCCCGTGTCACTAGTGCTCGCATCTTTGACCTCCTCCGGAACCCGCGAAACAGCACCAGTCTTGCTATATATCGTTTACACCATCGTTTTCCTTCCCTCGGACCCCATTAGGACATATTATTTATTGAATAACACCGGTAAACTGTGCAACTTCCGGGTCCTAATTGTTGGTGGCACATTTATCGGATTCTCCGTCTTAGGCGCAGTCCTCAAGCACGAAGCCATCGTAACTACCGCCGGCTCTAACTATGCAACTCACAGAGCCACTAGGCCAGCTGGTACCCATTACTTTGGAAGTTGCTCGTGTTGCCTTTTATCGTAGTTTTGATACTTCACTGATGTGTATGGCAAGGAAGATAAAAAGGGCGGCATTTACCCAATAAAGTCTCCGATTCATACCCGACGCTATATGTCATAACTATCAAAGAATGCAACACTTCCATCCTGAATCAGAGTAGTAAAACCACTTGGGTACAACTATCTGCCTAGAACCCAGCTATTTTCCTCTCCGTAAATGACAACTCCAACGGCGCCAACCCCATCACAAACCCATCCGTCCTCTCCTTCCAATACTTCTCCGGGTCTGCACCGGGCGCAAGCACAATTTCATAGCGCTGAATCAACTCCACAAGCACATGTCTCACTTGCATAAGCGCCAAACTTTTGCCGAGACAATTGTACGGGCCCAGCAAAAACGGCGCGAAGGCCTCGGGATTCTTCACTAACTCTTTTCTTGTCGTCCAGCGCTCGGGGATGAATTTCTCTGGCTCTGCAAAGTTACGCTCGTCTCGGAAGAGTGTGTAGAAGGGGATCTTGATGTTAGTATTTCCGGGGATGTACCGTCCAGCGATGTGGAGACCCCCTGGGGGTGTTTGGCGCTGGAAGCCGGAGAGGGCAGGGTAGTGGAGGCGGAGGGTTTCGTTGATGACGGCGTTGAGAGTATGTACTTGAGAAAGGCTATGCGAGTTGATTTCGTCTAGTTTGTCGAGATCTTGTCTGATTTGGGCGAGGTAATCTGGGGAGTTGGAGGTGAGGAAGTAGAGACAGCCAATGATTGTGACGGCGACCGTTCCACTGGAGAAGAACGTAAGGGTCTATTGACTGGTAGGGCATGGAAGAGGAAGGGTTATACTAACCTTCCTGCGAATATGACGAGGGATGCATCAGCCACCAAATCAAGTTTCGATTGCGGCGTCTCCTTTCCCTGCTCCTTGAAATCCTCCCACAGCCACGAAAAGACATCCCGTTGCCCGGATGTCTGCATCTTCTGTCTATTTTGAACTTGTTCCTCAGAAAACCCAATGAGGGCCTTCATATTCGCATTTAAGACCGGCGTCGCTTTGATGAAGGAGATGAGCCAAACAACGTGGCTGACGACACCGGTGACTAGGTTGGACGAGTCGTTAATCTCCATGATAGGATGTTTCTTGTTGTGTTTCACGCATTCGTATTCTTGGCTGAATGCGATTCGGCCGGTCAACTACCATTTTGATTAATTTGGTGCCGTGGCTCGTGTAGTGGAGGCGGATTCATACATCAAATGTAAATAGATTAATCCAGTAAGTCATATCCATGGGCTTCCCCTTGCGCCTCTCGACCTGTTCCAAGAGCTCATTGGTACCCTTCTCCAGCGCAGGCAGGTACTCGAGAACCGCTATCTACCATTAGCGTGGCCATCCAAGAGAAAGGTTTATAGGGACCATCTACCATTAGGTCGAAATGCTAGCTCCCAAGGCTTCCGGCGTCGGCTATGTTCCGCCTTGTCTCTAATCGCAAAGAGAGAGATGAACGGGTGGAGCATACTATACCATGGCCCCTTCGTACACTCCGACCGACCGGAGTGGACAGCTTGCAGGGCATCTGGGTGGTTCACCGAAAGCTCTGTTGGTCCCGTGCGCACGAAATCGCCGTACTGCTGATGCAGCCCACGCACGGTGTTGAAGGCATCCGGGTTCCGCGCGTATAGGCTGGTCACATACCACATTGAGAGGCGAGCGGGGAAGGGGCCAGGGAAGCTGTTGAGCCGGTGGAAGAATGCGCGGTAGGAGAGAATACTGACGGTGATTCCTGCTATCAAGCCAAGGGTTATTTGGCCTACCAGCCATAGCGCAGTGTAGATTGAAGTTGACGGGCCGGAGACCAAGAGGTAGTAGCTGAATATGCAGATTTGGAGGATAAATAGACCAACTGGGATCTTGGTGGCAGCGACATCCCATTCTCCCCGCCTGAATATGATGAGATGTGCCGCTATCCCGGCCCCGAAGGCAGTCGTTAGACGTGCAAAGTTTTCGTTCGAGGCAAGCATGGGTAGCACTCTCAGGTCATGCCCGCCATGATTAGGGTCCATAGTCTAGACTTTAGATTAAATAATACTCATGTATGAGGTTCACTAAGGCAGGTTGGTTCTCACCAGAGGCAAATTTAAAGTACTGGTGTTAGGATAGAAAGGCATATAATGGGAAAGGCAAAGGTGAGAAAAACATCCATGACCAGGTCGGGAGGCCATTGCCCACTGTATGGGCTGCCAAGCTTCTCTAGACTGTGACACAGAATGACACAGAATGGCACCGCAGATTCGCTGCAAGGGTCGTACACATTCCGTCGTTTTACACTGCAACTAGCAGCAAGCACATAAACAGAAGGGATCAGCTGCGGGCTATATTGAAACGCCTGTGGATATTCAGTATCGGTGAGACCTAGCTATTACGGCTCATGTCCCAAGCTTCATCCTTAGGGTTAGACGATGGGTGACGACGTTAGTGGCAAGTCAGAGCCTTGACCTCAGGACGGGTGACAGGTCAGGTATAGAATGCATGCTCTGGGCCTAGATATATGCCTTTATTCCAATTTTAATATATTGTAATCCGCTTATTCCATCTACTCTTCCTTGCACAAAGTACCACCGGCGATGGAATGCGCCTCCTTCTCCCACCGATCAGCCAATATCCTGACTTGGACATCCTTCCTATTCCGTGCACTAATCCGATCTACCCACTGCATGCTGCTCTCATCCGTCTCAAACAACGTCATTTCAAACCGTGAAAATACATATGCTGTGACACAGAATAGCTCTAGGTATGCAAGGCTGCGTGCGATATCGTTAGTGCTTGCGCTGCATGGCATAAAATCCGCCGTGCGGCCTAGGATATAGGGGTGGACTAACCTGCTCCCAATGCATCTCCGAGGACCCCGGCTGAACCCGACGTGCCATCTCTCAAGACTCTTGCCTTCTTCACCCAGCCAACGCTCTGGTTTAAACTTGTAAGGGTCGTGGAAGATGGTGTCATTTGTGATAATTGATAGATGGCTGGAGGATACAATAGTCTACTGGGGGTCAGTGCCGATAACAGAATAAATATAAGTAAACAGGGCAGAACATACACCTTCAGGAAGATAGACAGATCCCACTGCGACGCCTCCGGGGGGCACCAGTCGGGGAAGGTTGCCCGGCACCGCTGTTGATAGTCGCATGGTCTCTTTGATCACGGCTCCCTGTCGAGTAGTGTAACAGTCAGCGGAAAACCAGAAACTAAAACGGAAACCTGGAGTCCCGATAGGAAAACATACCAGATACGGTAGAGCCTGAATCTGCTTCGCATTGAAGTCATCCCGTATGAAGTCCACCGAAGCATCCAGCTCCTCGCGCAGCTTTTTGAAGACCTGTGGATTATTCAAGATATGGAATGCCGTAGAAGAGAGAGTATAGGCTGTTGACTCGGTGCCTGCCGTCAAGAAATTGAAAGCATCCTCTACAGGCTGAGCCACGCCGCTCACAGCGGTCTCAGGGCCAGCGCCCAGCTCCGCGTAGTAGTCAAACAGATTCTTTTGCCCTACCTGCACGCCTGAGTCACGTTTGACCTGGGCTTTTGTCTCCCAGGTTTCACATTGCTCGTGCCAATCAGTAAGTGGAGGAGCTTAATACAGGAGCCAGTACTCACTCGTTTGAAATCGTTAAATTCCGGGGCCAGCTTGTCGCCAAGGCCAAAGGGTAGGTGGAACTGGATTGACTTGATCCAAGGAAAATAGACCACTGCCAGCAGCATTAGTAACCATTTCTGGCATTAACCTCAGATATCTCATACCGAGCCAGGAAAACGCAGTAAACCGATCCAGTGCCGCAACAAATGGATGATATCCATTGCCGTCGCCAATGAAGTCCGGAGTTTCACCAAAAAGTAGCTCGCATACCATATCTGACTATGCCCACGAAGTATACTGTTAGAACTACCATCCGCAGAAGCATCCAATTTGGCAAGGGAATATATACCGTAAAGGAGCGATACAGTGCCTGTATATTCAACGGACGATGATCCTTCCGGTGCATATCAAAGATGCATGTTGCTTTCTCGAGCTCAAGGATCAAACGAGGTACCACTCCATCCACAGCGCGGCTGGCGAAGAGTGGTCGCAGGTGGTTCCGGTACATGCGGTGGTGTTTGGGGTCTAGGATTGAGGCCATAGCTCCTTCTGCTCCGAGCGCTTTGTAGAACTCGGGCTCCTTATAGTATTTCGTTGTCATGGAAAACATTCTGTGAGCACGTTAGCTGTGTGCTTACATCTGTTCAATGTATTTGAGGCTCACTCCTGGTAGAAACTGGGGTCATCGACATGGACAGCATTAGGGCCGATTCGGATGACTGGGGAGCCTATAAAACGAACGCTCATTTAGATCCAAGTGATACTGACGAAATCAATATTCAACGTACCGTATTTCTTGTGAAGTGAAGAAAAAGATAGACTGTATTGGCCATCACGAATAACATTGTAGTAGAAGCCGTACCACTTGGTCAATGCAGCTAGCTTCGGCCCCGGCACTTTGCTGAGAGGCTCGAAGAATATTCTGTTGACGACAATGAAGAACCCATAAAAGATGATTGCCAGAAGCAATGATCCCAGCACTGTATTTACGCTTGGCGGTTTACTCCCGAACTGTATCCAACCCATCTGGTGGCGATCCATCAGTCGCTGATGTGATGGTTTAGCAATTGATGGCTGAGATTGAGGTTATCAAGCTTTCTCTTACGAGATTATTCTCTACAAACGCGGATAGTGGGTGGCTTAGCGTAGAGCGGGAAGCTTAGACAGGGGGAGTGGGCATCCTTGACGTTCATGCACCTACTTCATTCACACTACATACCAGTTGTCCCTTGCTTCATTCTGCAAAGTGCCATCACATGCCACAAACTTATCTGTGCATATAAATGTAGTATGAATTGTCCTTGTCTTACGTGGCTGCGAAACATTGGATTAATACAATATACAAAGACCTCAGCCGGTCAGTTTATCCGAGCATGAATCGCGTGTTTTCTCCCGGTGGTACAACCCATTATTTTACCTGTTGAGTATGTGCAAGGAGTAGAGAACTGTATTAGCCCTTGTTTACGTTATTACTGCATAAGAAATGCAACAAATTGACGGCCATGGGGCTTTCTTCGAGATAGCCCTTGACCTCCGCTATATTCATCTAGGGTTCATCACAATGCTTTTAGGCAGTGAATGTTACACTTCCCTGTGGATGCGTAGTACATTGCTAGATAGAAATTAAATGGCCAATAGAGAAGGCCGCTGTTGGGAGAACCATTATTCTACTTCTGTGTCTCCACCAATCTCCCCCTATTCTATTTGTACGGCTCTCATTTGGACCCTATAACCCTGAAGAAAAACCCAAAGCCCATGACTACGTTGATCATAATTATGGGACGACCCCAGGCATAATGGATGAATGGTTATGGATTTTCACTAAGGGGTTCTGCATAGTTCAACGCAGATGTATCCCAGCCATCAACTACGCCTCCGGCTTTCTAGCGACTATCAAAAACATTGGCGAAAAAATTCCCAATTCACCACCGCGGTACATTCCATCCAGAATCGTCACCACAAGATCGACAACCTTCTGCGAACCCGCAGGGAAAACCGTCATCTGCTCCAACTTCCCAACAACAGCCTGCAAGCCCCGGTTAACAAGCGGCATAGCCCTCGCCGCAAAGAAAGTACTCAGCAGTGCAAATGACAATAGCCCCTGCTTCTCCAGAAACGGGTCCGACAGCTGCGTCTCCCAGGGGATCTGGTCGGGTCGAGCACCGAGGTCGTCAATCTCCAGTACCTCGAAGCCGACAGCTTTCATTGCGGCAATAGCTTCAGCGGAGGTGTGGATCCTAGCAAGGCCGCCGCCGCGCTCGATGTTGGTTTTCACCTGCCGGTGCGTGGGGTTGTTGTCGTCGTACTTGTCCGTTAGAAGAGCTTCGTACACTCCGAATCTGGCGCCTGGCTTCAGCACGCGGAAGATCTCGCTGTAGACCTCGACAAGGTCTGGGGCGTAGCAAGTCGACTCAATGGCGTACGCCCCGTCAAATGTATCATTTGCGAAATCCATCTTCAGGAAGTTCTGCTCAACAAAGTTGACCTGATAGCTAAGGCTGGCTGCCTGGGTCAACTGACGCGCCTGCCGGAGTTGCTGCGCGTTGATGTTCAAGCCTGTGACGTTTGCTCCGGTGAATCGCGCGATTGACCGGGCTGGGTTCCCGATGCCGCATCCCACATCGATAATTCGTTGGCCCTCTTGGATGTTGACGCGGTGGGCAAGGTAGTGTTCATGGCGAACGAGGGACTGGGCCATGGGTTCGTTCGGGGAGAGACGGCAGAGGTGTCCGCACATACGACCGGCCTTTTGAAAGATCGAAGTCACTAAATTGTAGTACCTACACAGAGTGTGGTAGGATTAGTGGTCGTCTTCTTCTGCGGGGCCGAGGGGAACCAACTGGACTGAGAGGGCATCCTGGGCAGCTTTCCGTCGCTTGAGAAAAGTCAATAGATATGATCAAGTTGTCACCAAATTGCAATCCCAGTTCTTACCTCGAGTTCTTCGGGACTTTCCTGGTGATCTGAGCTCGCTTCCTCGGGCTTCCACACGCGGAAGTACTCTTCCGCATCTTGATTCATTTGACTCATGGTCATGATATCGCTAAGCAGCTATATCTTGGCTACGGCCTAGGAGGTTTAGAGAAAGGAATGGACACCAATGTCACAAATGTTCCGTTTATGATCGATTCGAAGGGACACTAAGCGTTTTGTATTTTATATCCAATCGGCACCGACTTAGGACAAATCCCAAAGCCCCCGTCAACCAAGCAGTCGTTGGAGCCCCTTGCCTATTTCCTCTCTCCCAGCGCCTCTTGTCCCTTGTTACACAGAAAGCAGTCCATAGTATTGCATAGATCATAACCTGAAGGACCGCCCGCATGAATACAATAGGCCAATGCTATGTCGATCGACACCAGGGTGGAGAAGATACTGCTCCCCGACTTTTGATGCTTTACGAACCATCGACATGTCGTTATCATATCCTTGATTCGGTGTACTCCGTAGCTGGCGTGGAATTGCTGCCATCAAAGCAGGTGAACCCCCTCACTGTCCCATTTTGTGTGAGGAATTCTGCAGTATCACCTTGCTTTTGCATAGGGGACTGGGGATCAAGAGGGTAGTAGATGTGGAACGTGAAGATGCGGCGCTGACATTGTTTCCTCCTTACTGCACTGTGCTTTTCTTTTTTAAAATATTTGACGCCATGCATTATGATGCAGCCGTCACGTATATACCAGTTTCTAGTAACAGAATGCAATGACTAGTCAATATCGCTAAATCTACATTAATAATTACAGTCATTTCGGTGGAGCAAGTCTACGGTATTCACAGTTATCACCATAAATTTATTTGTCCAAGCTACTAGTATAGCGCTGGGTTTGCAAAGACTGAGCTGGCTTGGATCAATATCGTACGCTGATTGTGCAAATTTGTACCACTTTCCTTTCAAGTGGCTCATTCCTTTGAGAAATCGCAGCATTAGTGGCCATCGCCAACTTCTTGGGAACACTGGGTACATTTTTTGCATTTTGCTGGGCAGCGCCACTTCTCACCTCACTCATCGTCTAAACCTGTAGTCTTCTCATAGCATACTCTCCGTACTTACTTTCTCATCTGATTCCAATTTTCCGTTTTTTCTTGATTTCACGAGATATTGATTTCGTACCCCTCATATTCAACCTATTGTCTCATATAGTTTTGTCGATTATCATGTCAATGGAACTATTAATATCGTTCACGGAAGAATCCACGTCAGCATGGCATTATCTAGCCACGCTCGCCACAGTATGGCTAGTCTATCAATATCTGAAACCTGTACCAAGGGTCCCCGGGCTTCCGGTAATCAATCGGGCAGAGCGCTGGGACTTCTTCTCTATCAAGATGAAGCGACGTTTCCTAAATAATGCTAGTGCACTCATGAGAGAGGGCTTCGAACAGGTGAGTTGCATTGGAACACCTCTCCCCCTCTCCCCGTCACTTGAGATGCAGTTGCTCAGAACTTGAAGTCACCGAGGGGATTCACGATCATGTCTGTAAATGGACCTAAATTGGTCTTGTCACCGGATTATGCAGACGAGCTCAAGAATGACGCGCGTTTTTCTTTGGAGGATGCTGGACTGAGGGTAAGCACTCTGAATGAGTTTCCAACGATGGTTCAGCTTCAAATGCTCATGTCTCACAATAGGACTATCCACGCAGTATTGACTGCTTGAAGCCTATAAGTGGTGGAAATTTACAGGTACTACGGGGATGCATCGCAAAGATTACAAGAAACCTCGGTATCGCCTGGACTGTGTAAACCTATTGGTAGACAATGTGTGCTAATACCTTGGGATTAATAGCCTCTTTGACAGCGCCACTATCGGATGAAACTAGCAAGTCTTTTCAACATCATTGGACAGACAACCCCGGTTAGTAGCAGTTCACTGGGCTGATTGAAGGGGCTCTTACTATCGGTTGCTAGCTAATTTGCGAGATACTAGACTGGCATCCTGTCCCACTAGGTAGCAACTTGCAAAGGATGGTATTGCAGATATCCGGTCGTGCCTTTTTGGGGCCAGAGGTTTGCGGCGACGTCAGATGGATTGAAGCAACTATGGGATATCTGGAAATGGGGGTTAGAACTGCTTTTGTCCTCCAGGTCTTTCCTCGCTTCCTTTTTCCGCTGCAGAGGTGGTTCCCTTTGTGTCGCAAAGTCCGGAAGCATATTGACATGACAGGAACCATTCTGCGTCCCATAATTGAAAGTCGTCGGGCAGGCGGAAAATCGGCACAGGATGCGATCAGTTGGTTTGATGAAGCAGCCGCCGGGGAAACGTATAACCCTGTTTATTCTCAGCTCTCCCTCTCCTTCGCATCAACCCACACTACTGCCGATACAATGACCAAAGTCATACTTCACCTGGCCGAAAACCCACCTGTGGTTATGGACCTTCGAAAGGAAATTATCGAGGCAATTACCAAACATGGTGGATTGACGAAGTCCGCTCTATCTCAAATGAATCTAATGGACAGCATCTTGAAGGAATCCCAGCGACTAGAGCCCTTAGCATCAGGTATCTCCCAAGCCATCTATCTCCTTTCGAGTTATGTGCTCTGACATCTTGCTGACCATACCTTTCTTCCATGAGCAGCAACGATGAACCGGGTGACGAGAGAAGAAGTGACCCTCTCAAACGGCCTATGGATTCCACGGAACATGTATGTGTTGGTGTCGGGCCATCGCATGAGAGATGCAACCTTATATCCAGACCCGGAGAAGTTCGACGCATACCGATTCGTCAAGATGCGGGATATTGAGAAGAAGAAAAGCGATTGTGCATACACTGCAGCCACGGTGGACCACATGGGATTTGGCTACGGGAAGCACTCTTGCCCTGGCCGATTCTTTGCCGCTCATGAGGTAAAGATTATCTTGTGCCACTTGGTCTTGAAGTATGATTTCAAATTATCAGATGATCAAGCACGTACGTATATGTTTGCCGGATTCTTCACATCCGCTGGGCCCGAAAACAAGCTTCTTGTTCGCAGGCGCGTCGAGGAAATTGCACTCTGAATCCCGCTGCTTTCTAAAGCAATACCCTCCACTGCCCTACCAAGCTCAGGATAACCCATCAGAATGTTCCTGTATTTTAAGTTTTGTCGAATACTGAGATTTATTATATGGTCAGAACGTTTTTTATAATGTCAAATTTTCTTATTCCCCAACAGATTGATATTGTTGTCTATGAGCTATACAATAGCTATAGCATACCTTAGCTATAGCATACCTGTAAAAAGCATAATATATAAAATCGATTTTCTATACATAACCATAGAGAATGGCTAATAGGCTTTGCTAAATACGTATATGTCATTTAGTACTGAGTAGCCTTTATATCACTTGATGCAGCATATACTGGTTTTGTAGTGTAGTGGTGAGCACTCTGGTTTTTGAAATGATCTGATCATAAAACTACCAGCGACCCCGGTTCGAACCCGGGCAAGACCTTTTTTATTTCTTTTGTCCCCACCACCAACTGTCAGATGATAGAAAAGGCAATAGTCGCGGCAAGCCCACCAACACACATCCCGTGTTGATGGACCACCGGGTAGGAAATTGTGAAATTAAGTATCTTTTATATGGTAATACCATATAAAGGGTACCTACATGTATATATAAGAATCGATTTCTCTCAACGTTCAAACTAGCTTAAGCAATAAAAAACATAAAGATCTAATAACAACTATTCATCATATCTCACATTGCACCCTGAACCTAGGCGTCTCTGTAGACCTCTCCTAGCAAGAAGCCTTTGATCATGTACCGGACAATGTTTCCTTACAGTACCGTGATTGTTCTAATCAAGCTTCGTGAGGTCTGCTCTGTATAGTTAGAAGCAAGTGTACAAGGTTTGAAGAGGATCTAAGCAGGTAACTAAAAGTGAAGTTAAGAAGCTAAAAATAATTTTGAGTCTCCGTAACAAATAACTAGACAGCCAGGTTGATGGGGGTTTAGCTAAATGCGTAACTATAAGCCTAAATAGATAGTTTGTAGCATGATTGTGATTAGCTTAAAGAGAACATGAAGCATACACTGGTTTTGTAGTGTAGTGGTAAGCACTCTGGTTTTTGAAATGATCTGATCATAAAATTACCAGCGACCCCGGTTCGAACCCGGGCAAGACCTTTTCTTTTGTTTTTATTTCCTTTACCCGCAAAGCGTGATAATGGTACAAAAAGCACACGAAGGAAGTATATGTCAACAGTAATACCTTTTTAGTTATATGACTTTTTCTTTAAAGCGTAATGCTTTTTATATAAAACCTTGCTGCAGGGATCCGCTTGAGATTAATCACTAAGATGTAGTTATATATATTCATAAAGTTTAGATGTAATTTTTGATACCATAATAATCCAATGTTTCAATCTATTCGAAATTGATACATACGTACCACTAGATATGCTTATAAATGGCCATCGGCAAATAATAATAAAACCGTCGATGGAGATATAAGTGCAGCATAGTCATATATCGCATGATATCTCGCTTGATGCGAAGCTCATATGTTAGAGCATTATTGCAAAACACAATATATTCCACATTTATCATATTTATTACAGTGTACCCTGTTTAATTCAGAAAACGAGGAAATGAAATATAGTAGTAAGAAAGACTACGGGCACCCTTTTTTTGCTTGCATTTCGAGCCCCTCTAGGCGTGTTTACACTGCAATTCTCAACAAGTAAATTATGATGGTATCCCCATACTATTCTGCCCGAAATTGGTGTCATTACGTGACTTGCTGGATAACTTTATTTCTCATAAATGCTGACTGACAACCTCGTACCTTCCAATGCCATCTTACCACTTCCAACCATTTCCCTATAGCCCAATAGTGGGGTGATGGAGGGACATACCTGGTGCGGGTAAGATTCCCCGACCGCGGTCTCATTCCGGAGACAAGTTGGGAACAAACTTGACGCCGATCTATCAATACAGTCCCATTACGGACTGTCGAGAAGAAACAACAGCTGGCAGGAATGACTGTACCAGCAAGGTCTTAGGCGATGGGGGCCTCCACTCTCGGAAGATTGATAACAGGCCTAACATATGCTTTCTCATATCCTACCTGATTCACTTTTTCTAACGTTCAACAGGGCCGGCTCATACAGCTAGCGACATAATCCAAAGATACCACCACTCGTCCTAACCTCTTGAATACGTTTCCCCAAACCAAAGAACCAAAAAACGATGCTGCGGTTTGCCCGCTGTATCGCTAAAGCTAGTTGTGTCGCCAGGTCGAATGGATTTCCACAGGCACGCAAGATTGCCTGGCGTCCACCTTCTACAAACCTGCGACTTCTGCGGTATTGCTGACCACATCGAAGGCGGCCCTTAGGTAGCGGCGGGGCCTACCATCATGTCTAACATCTCCAGAGGAGTAGTGACGAATCGCAACAAATCAAAACTGCGACTAATTCACTAGATAGGGGTTCATTGTATCTCCTATATTGACCTATATTGAGGCTAATACTACGATGTTTTTATGTGTCTCTCTGGCCTTTTATATGTTTCTTATTCCGTGCGTAATACAATTTCTCGCACCAAAATTATTAATGCCATTAGCTCCAAACTGTACAATACCTGTAAAAAGCATCCTGCGAAAGAGAGTTTCCATGCATGACCAAGGATACAGAATGGTTGATTTGATGGGGCTCAAAAGGATATTTCTATGCAACAGCAGTCTTGGCCAGCTCTCGAGTATGTAGAACGAGGTTTTTTGATCCATTTTCTTTCCTGTATATTAAGCGGCGAGGTGGTATTTCCCCGAACACCCCAATGTGACATGTCTAGACCCCACCCCTGGAGAGTATCGAACATACCACCCCGCATATCGTTTATATCATCGCGTCTGCATGGTCAAATAGTAATCTACCTCTTGATCCCAATGACACGCTGGATAGCTTCATCATTGCTCATAGCTGAGTCAATAACACCAGCCATCTTAAGCACATCAACAACACCTCCAATAATCTTATCATCAACTCCACGAGTAGCATTAGTGAACTTGACATCCTTAAGCCACTCCGTCGCATCCTCCTCAATATAATTGCAACCAAGCTCACCAGTGCCCAAAAGCTTCACAACCTGCGTCGTATCAGCCTCGAAATCCCTGATTCCCTGATCAAAAACCCGGAAAAGGTTCTCCAATCGCTGATCTTGCTCGGGGTTAGGGAACAGCGCCGTAGAAGCAACAATCATCCATGAAGGCCAGGGGGTGAAAATCTCGCCAATCTTCTTAAGCGGCGGATTCGGCTTCTCAGATGTAGCATGGAAGTAAGGCTTCGTGGTGAATTCCTCCCACATGAAGAACTCAGCTGATGGGTTCGCCGCCTGGTCGGGCTTTGATTCATCGAGACCGGATACACCATCCCGCAAGGGACCGAAGGGTCCCAGGGGGACGGTAGTCAAAGAATTGGCTGTCCAGCCTTGCTGCTGGGCAAGAACAAAAGACATGATATGAGAACCGCTGTAGATCGACGTGTTAGTTCTCAAGCTACCGTGCTCGTCATGATTCAATGTTGATAGTTTACCTTCCCAGTCGACTGACTCCAACCCTCTTGTCCTTCAGGTCCGATACTCCATTGATCTCGTCACGGTTGCGGCCTGTGACTATAGCCCAGCGCAGAGGGTTGTCTACCCAGTGGCCGATAACTTTGTATCCTCCCTCTGCGGAGTTCTGGCTTGCTTGTTGCTTCCCGGCTAAGCCTGCGACCCATCCCTCTGTCAAACCAATTGCGATGTCAATTTCATTGCCGCGTAGCGATGTGATCATGTGGCCCGTTCCGGATGGGAAGGGAGTTAGGGTGAGTTTGAATGGAAGGGAGGAAATGGCTGGGGAACGGAGGGCGAGATGGAGTGGGGTTAGGTAGTGCTCTAGTTGGCGATAAAAGCTTATCGTTAGCTATATTCTGTCTAAAGAAAAGAAAGAATGATAGGGAGGCTTTGGTGAGACAAAGCAAGTAGCTTGTGCATGGCAGTACTGTTCGCAGCTGATGCCGAAGCTTTGGGAGGGACGTACCGGGCACATAGCCAATGCGGATTGTGGGCAGGTCAGCCATTGTGTGATTTCTGACTTGCGTTAATGAATCGGACAAGAAACACAGTCGGGGGTTTGGGGAAGACCTTGCAGATGTTGACATTCCAAGGCGGGGCAAGCCCCTCACTAGACGCGCGCAATCGGAGAACCGGATGATTTTTTTGGGAACACCATATTGACATTATCTCATTCAAATTACAGATCTATAATGCTGGCCAATGCTAGTTATCTACATATTCTAGTCCAAGTCCCCTTTTCAGTTCATGCGAATATCCTTCTCTTGATGATCCCAGCTGCCATTCTGCTCCTTGAACTCGCCTGCGGGTTGGGAGCTGGAACGGGAGTGATAAGTGGTGAGGGGGATAGGATGAGGGTGGGAGAATGAGTTGGAGTGTGAGTGAGAATACGGGTTAGAGAACGAAGAGGAGAGCGAGTTGGAGTGGGAGTGGGACGGAGTTTGAGAGGGGGCGTTTCGAGTGAAGAAATAGAACTGGAAGCCCAGGTAGAAGTCGCACACGCACTGGAAGATACCACAGAGCTTGAACGCCCATGGGATGGTCTCGGTGCTGTTGAAGAAGTAGCTCATCTTCATGGTATCACCGAGAATCCACGCCGCGACAACGGAGACTCGGAAGCCCTTGCACGAGCCGGATCGGTGGTTGGCAACGATTTGAGGAAGAGGGAGGGTAGCTTCAGTGGCGAGTCCGATGTAGCCAAGGAGGCTGATATAGAATTCCGATTGGGCGATCGGGGTCAGGTGGATGAAGGTCAAGATTCCGACGAAGTAGGCTATACAAAACCAGTATCTTTGAAAATCGGTAATTAGCGTGAAATCACGGTTGGTGGAGGTGCCGGAACTTACGGTTTGGTATCCCTCCACTGCCAAAACTCATAGGGTCTCGAGGATGAGCCATCAGAGTTACCACCGCTGAAGGGTGCGTGCTCAATTCCATGTCTCCCGCCGGCGGAAGGGCGATTATCTAGTGCAACCTTGAGCAGCGTGACCTGCACCACAATCATGACAATTGCTTGCGTCAACAAAGTGCCTGAGTAGTATTCGCCAAACCAATAGAAAATCCTAATAATGTTAACATTGGACCTCGCATTTCGATGCGCCATCGATCGGAATCTTACTTCAGGATCGACGAAATCAGCATAATCAAAGGAATGTCCAAGGAGAAGCCCGCTGAGCTCCTTGTGCGATAAATGCTGACGATTTGGTCGGCATAGGACGTGACGGGGGAGCTGATAAGGCTGTATAGCTTTATTAGCACTGGGGACGTGCGGATCAAGAGGTTCACACCTACAAGAAGGGTGCGGCATAGTCAAAGGCAATCTGGAAAAGAGACATGGTGGGTATCCACACTATAGTCAACTTGCGGGAGGCGTTTTGGTGAATAGTCCCGAGCGATGGTAGAAAAGCTGGGGACAAGAAAAGGAGGTCAGACCAAAAAAGGTACACTTCGGACACGACTGCGGTTTTTCGCCGCTCCCGGGTTGCCCTGGATTATGTCAGCGACCCACATGGGGCTTGATGGGGGCCACCTGGCGTACTTTCAGCCAATCAGATTATTTAAGGGTTTTTATTAAACACGAGGTCATTTGCCTATCTTGGAACATCGAATTATGATGTATAGATCAGTATGAGATATATCAGGTACCCAGTTTGGAACAATACTTATCTGACATCACAATGAATCGTCGATTCAAAATAAAAGACTTGATCTTCTACATTTTCCGAAACAACCCAAGTGCCCTGGTGCCTTTCGTTCGATTTCGCTAAGCGTTGATCTCTCACAAACATCCAAAAATGAGCAATAATCTCAGCCAGACCGCGAAGGAAAGGGAGTTCGAAGAGCGTGAACGTCAAATCCGAAGGCGAGAATTGGACCTTGACTTTGAAAAACATCAGCTGAAAATCAAATGCGACACAGCTGGGCTCGAAAGGCGTGAGCTTAAAATTGAACAAGACAAAGTCAAGCTCAAAAGCCATGAGTCTAAATTCAAGGAAAAAATGAAAATGCTCGACGAAATTGAGACAGACTTCGAGAAGAACGGAGCCGATATAATCAGGCTGGCGATATCCAAGCAGTTTAGGCGTGGTGTGCCAAGCACGAAAGAAAATGAACTCAAATTGAATGGAGATACAAATGCCCTTCAGCGATGTCGATACGAGCGGTATGTCTATGAACAAGAGCTCGACGTGAAAGAAGATCGCCTGGCGGCGTTTCTCGACACGGAGACACGACTCCGAGAGATTGCTCAACGGGAACTATGTTTGAAAGAACAACTGGAGCAAGATCCAACAGTCAAACAAGAGCTCATTGACGCACAAAGAGAATATGGCCGAATTGAGCACGAGTGGTTGGTGATCCGGAATTCCTTCTCCAGTACATCTTTGCAGCGAGCTTTTGAGCTCTGGCGCGGGACCCCCAGATGGTATATGCATCGCGTTCTTCGGGAGGACTGTGCCGAGAGAGGTGGGTGCTGTGGGCGTGGGTGTGAATGTTGCCTTAGTCGCAAACTCGACTTGACTCGCAAACGCGCAGCTGGGCACTGCACTGTCGAATGTGGTTGTTGTCAGAAGGCTCGTGGATATGACCTGTCCGAGGAAGAAAAAACGAACTTTTCGATACGATACGCGGTCTCTCAGGATAGTAAGAAGGACATCGAACTCAAGGAATTCCAAGTGAAGAAACTCGAGCTTCGAAACCTCGAACTTCAAAACATCCAACTGCAACAAATGTGGGGTAAAAACTCAATGAAGGACAATGTAGTGCGGTATGAGTTCTCTGAGGGCGGATTTGCGGAGTATGAACGCTATATAAACGGAGCTGATATCAGCGACAATGAAGCTGAATTCACCGACGATGAAATTACTGATGAAATTACTGATGAAATTCCCGAGGAGGAGGATCCTTACTATCGTCGGATCTCTCTGGCTTCGATCTGGGGATTAGTAGACGGTAACTTCGAGGATCCAGTTGACTTGATCGACGAAAAACCCTATCATCCAACATGGAAGAATGACGCTTGTGACGAGCAGTCATTCGCCCTTGTCAGCCAGGAGGAAAACAATTCGATGATGACAGAAACGGATTGGTAGTTGCTAGACCACAATGATCTGATGAGATGGCCATGTTTGTTTTTGGAGATAATGGGAAGCCATTTGTTAACATGGCTGGGAATAATGCTGGAGCTTAACTTGCTAGCTTTGAAACACATTTCTTTATCTTGCTCACCTCTATTGCCAAACATAAAGTACGAGATGTTAAGTATGCCTTTGTGCACTGGGATATGGAACCCTCGGAATGAAAGCGTGTTCGTGAAGTCTTCCTTTGAGAGTTTCCGTGAGTAAAACACATTTCAACTACGATTGATAACCTTCAAATGCTAATCTCTCACGGACAGCTGCACCTTGCAATTTGATCTGGGACAAGAATGACGGTGCTCTGCGTGCCACTTATACTCATTATGACCTTAGGTGTTTGACCAACATATCACTACTGGTGTTTTATTTTTTTGGGTTTCGGGATGCAATGCCTTTCAAGGCTAAAAGAGATTTCGACGATGAAGCTTTTTGGCCAGATTTCGATCTTGCTAGGCCACTCGAGAAAAAAAATCAAAAAATAAGGGATTGAAACGGTGATATCTCGCAGTGGCAACCTTGATTTAATGATTGAATCATCACCGACATCCTTTAGATTATAATAAAGTAGCTAGTTAGACCCGAGTTTCTGTAGCTCTACAGTCAACGTTATATAATTTCTTTAATTCATGTTCGATCCCCTACTCTAAAGAGCCCTTAGCTTTACCTTACTAGGCAAAATCACTGGCGAGATCAATCCATACAGCATACTCTATACGTCGTGATACCCTACACCACATATAGCTTAAGTTTGATAGAGTCTACTAATAATCGCTATGGTTCGTAGTCGCGTGCCCTTCAATTTTTTTTTTAGAAGCTTATAGAAATATTCGAGCATGAACACCAAGTCATTCAGGCATTTGCGTAGAATTTTACCCTTATTAACACGATATAGGCAATCTTGGAATGTACGGAGTAGACGAGATGAGAAGTGGATCTAGATCAAAGTGGGGACATCAAAACTCCCACGCGTCTTTATCGCCAACCTTTTTTTTCATAAACAAACACTACGTCCGAAAGACTTTCTGACAATAAAAACCACCTTGAACCACACATCATGATGCAAGAACTTCCAAACTATCCACAAAACCTGCTGGACAGAGTCAGCGCAGCCCAGCACAATCCCTCCGATCCCAACGCTAAATACGTCTTCCATGTCATCCACAGGAATGACGACGATATGTCCGCGCTTGAGGAGATAGACTCCGAGGACGAGGATATGGATTCCGAAGATGACAGCGAAAGACAACGCACCTTCGACACCCTTGCCGAGGCCAACAGCGCTGCTTTGGCTCTTTTCAGAAGCATGTACTTGGATTTCTTTGGTCAAAAAGAAGATATGTCCAATTGGTATGAGGAGGGAACCAGTGAAGAGAAGCAGAATGAAGTGGTGTGGGAAGTCAATGGTGACGGGGAGGTTTCGTTGAAAGCCCACGAAACCGAGGATGGGATGACATATGAGATATATGTTTCTGCCTCAAAAGTCTAAGGATTCTGAGATGGAACGCGGAAGGGGGAAAGGAAGGGGAAAAGCAAAAGTAAATCTTATTCTCATTGAATATTTGGTTGCGTACAAAGCTTCTTGATATGGGGAATTTCATGTTGAGAATCAATAGTCGCGACGCATGCAACACAACCCACCGAACCCAATCACCGTCATGGCTTATAGAAGGATCAATGAAATTAGAAATAGGCAGTATGGATGGAACAAGGCTCACTCATGGTACGCGGGGTTTCGTCACCCTGCCTGGAGTGACAGTGAGCCCAGGGAATTCATCCGGCATTTTCTTCTGATATATGTTAGTTGTCGCAAGTTGTGCAGGGATGATAGTCTCACTAGGTGGTCGCGTTTGATATGCACGCGGAGCTTCACCACCTGAGGGTCGGTGGTACTGAGAGCATCGAACTTAGGGCAGTAGGGACATTTATACGCGCAGGGAGGAATCGTCTAAGACCAACGAGTATTAGTATTGGATGGGAATGAAAGATTTGGGCATTTCCACTCACAATGACTGCATGGTCCATCGGCCATTGGCTTGCCTGGTGGTCGTCACAAGCGCAGAGCTTCTTGTTCTTTAAACTAAAAGAATCGGTTAGCCATAGTCAACATCCTGATCCATAGCGATGCTTACAGCCATTTGGTTGGCGACACATCCCTGCTGGCCTTCCAATAATGACCATAAAGCCCATAGTAAGGATGCTCGAGGGTTGTTACAGTCGGTTGGGACTCCGACGGGGTTGGCACCGCATCGGTCATGGTGGCGTGACGGTGATAGGTGGATGTACTTCTGAAGGGTAAAGTGTTGTGATAGTTTACCTGACTCACAGGTAGGGAAGCAGAGAGAGAACGGAAGGAACCCAAGCAGGAAGGTGCGTCTGATATGGGCTGACACGTGCCTAGCCTTTATATATCCCCCAGAGTAAAGACTTGTAATATCAAAAAACCATCATAAATTCATTCCCATCCAATTATCTACAACACATACTTGAACAGCGGCGACTTGTCTCCCATATCGAACAACTGATCTTCAGTGTAGTTGATCCTCGCATCATCTGCAAGCCTTTCCTTCTTTGCATTACCCATCTTGTAAGTCCATTCAAGGAACAAAGCAACAAAGAATCCAACCCCACCAAGTGCCAGACTGAGTCCAAATCCAGTTGGGTACTTGGGGCTCTCTGTCTCAATATACATGAAGCTGCCCAGTATACCACCCACATTGCCGACACAGTTTACAAGCGCGATACCCATAGCCCGTCGGGATGCTGGGGCAATGTTGTTTGCGTTCCAAGATGCAGCTCCGGGTTGGATGGGGTAAATACCAATGACAGACAGAACAACTGCAAAATATGCCACTCCTTTCTTCTCTTCGAGGGCTCCGTTCAGGGACATTATGATCGAATAAGCTACCACGACGATGACCATGGGAATGCAGACAAATGGCATTCGCCAATAGAAGCGATCGGAGAAGCGTGCAAAGATGATAGCAGATATCGCACCAGCAACGTATGGAGGAGCTGAAGTGAGCTGGGCGTTGGTGGAGCTGAAGCCCATAGCCTTGGTGATAGTCGGCATGGTGAACTTGGTACCTGAGTGCAAAATAAATTAGTCCAATGTCTCGGATAAGATTTGAAGGACTGGTACCATAAGACAAAGCCGATTGGCAAAACAAAAGGTAGCCTTGCACGTATATCCTCCAGTTCGTCAGGACAATCTTGAGGTCTCTCCATTTGAACCCATCCTCCCCAGTACTAGTTCCTCCTTGCTTGATGAACATTGAAAGCTCCAGGTAGCGAATCTCATCGGGAGATAACCAGCGCTTGGACAAAGCCGGGGTGTCGATGAGGAGAAAGAAGCATACAATACCTAGTGCCACACTAGCAAGGCCTTCCAGAATGAAAATCCACCGCCATCCCTCAAGCCCAGCAATACCGTCCATCTTGGCAATAGCGGCAGCCAGCAGGCCGGAGAATGCACCGGAGAGCGCACTGGCACAGTAGAAGTATGAAATACGAAGCGCCAATTCCTTAGGCATGTACCAGTAGGAGCAAAGGTAGATAGCGCCAGGGAAGAATCCAGCCCTATAAAGCAAAACATTAGCGCGGGTGGCAAATAGTCGTTGATTAGGATCACTAACTCAAAAACACCAAGTAGTACTCGAGTGGCCATAAGACCAGCAAAGTTTTGAACCAGGCCTGTGCATGTCATGACAATACCCCAGGTCAAGACAAGAAGACCAAGGTATACTGAAGGGCGCTTGAACTTTTTGAGTAATATGTTACTGGGAACTTCCAGTAGGACGTAGGGAATGAAGACTATATACACGAAAGTCAGTATACCGCGCGCTCACAGTTACGAAGAACTAGACCTGCTGGGTACCGGCCACAAGAAACGAACTTACATATAGAAAGCACAGTATTATACTGCAACCCAGTCATATTGAGATCTTGGACCATGCCTTCGATTTTAGCATTTCCGATATTCGCACGATCGATATGGCACATCAGGTACAGCACTGCGAGCATGGGGATTAAACGCTTATCGACCTGGATAGAGGATTAGCTGGATATGATGTGAATTGGTGGTCCAGTATTCCCACCTTATGGAAGGTCTTTTTCCGTTTCTCCTCCGGATAGTTGTTATAGAAATCTGCATCGTCGAGAGTCAAACCGACGACACGGAAGTCTCCAACTTGAGTAACGAGCGAAGGCTTGGGGATGTCTTCGATATGAGAAGGTTGATCGACGATCTCGACATCGTCTTTCCCGATAGAACCGCGGTTCATAGCTGCGGATTATAAGTAGTATGCAACTTTGTCTACTTCAAAAAAGACCAAGCTCGAGGGATATTCCTGTAGATATAGGGTCTCAAGAGTACAAGCAAATCAACCAAAAAAGCAGCGCGACAAAAAAAAAAAAGGGACTATATAAGCTATCTAACTAGTTACATCATATCGGATATCCTAAATAGAATGGCGGAATAATTTCAGATCCCATTGTCTACCCCAGTCTTAGCATCTACATTCTCCCAAGAAATGCGGGGAAGCTTGGCCATTGAAGGGCCGTGACCCAGTTTCCAATACTAATTTGTATGCTAGACGATCTATTGGAACGGCAGTGGTATTTGCCAAGGTGAGCTTGTCGATAGACATCCAGTCAGAGAACGATCTGCGGCGGAAAGCACAACGTGCGGGGTGGATGTTTACTCCAACCTTTTATCCGGGTCATTCTCCGGGCCATTGTCCGGGTCTTTCTCCGGTACTTGCTCCGGCTTGGATATGTGGAAAAAGGTTGGAAATAACAGAGAACCGCTAGATCGTAGGAAAAGGAAACTAGTTTATGACCTATTATATTATTGTCTAAAGAGACTGCTGTCAACAGAAAGGAAGTTCTTCAGTGCCCATGGGAGGGTTCTACCTAGAAGGCATATGTTAGCGTAGCATGATATACTCAGTATCTTGTCTTCTCGTCAAGGATCATGTCTCAAGAATAAAAGAGATCGACATCAACCTGGTGGAAATTCATAACATTCTATTGGTGGAGAATGTAGTCATGCACGAGCCGCAGCATAATCAAGGTCATTAGATTCCACACACGGCTTGAGCTAGTTATTCGGCAAATAGGCTCGCATAGCCCGTTTGGGAAAAGCCGATGGGGAGATCACAAGCCTCTCGACGTACGATAAAAAAGCATCATACAAACCCTAAACCAACTTAGTGGCAGTTAATTTACAGCATAGTCCAAGGCGAAGGCATAGCCAGAACAGTCATCACTTTTCGTCTCTCCCCTCGTTACATATTTCAATTCCAAGACAAGCTGGCGGGTCTTTTTGCCGAACAACTCGATCGGTGGTCGTGACTGTATAAAGTACCCCGCATACGCCTTCTGTAAGTGTGCCGGACAATTTCCGGGCGGACAAAGAGATACGGCGCAGCGCTAGTTCCTGGAGGGCTGGAGGGGCCGGGAAGGAAGCCAATAAGCGTATAGAAAAATACATTTAGGACTGTCTTGATACCAAGCACGAGGTTGAGTCGTTTGCACAGAAGGTGGAGGCCGCAAAGGCGCTGCTGCGTTCTCAGACTGGCATATCTTACTGGTAGATTGTGGGATGTCGAAGAAAGCAACTACCCACCTATGGGATGAAGTCCGGTGCCGACTTGTTGATATGTTCCCAGATGACCAAAAGGGTAATCCTCGATAGGATGCCGTTAGATTTGTGGAGGGGTGTTTCCTTCCCCCAGCAAAAATTTTTATATAAAGAACCAAAAACGCTGTTCATGCAGGCTTATCAACTTCCAATAATGTGAATATGGCATACATGTACTGTGGGAGAAATGAAATATATCGCTCAGAACTCGATCCGCCATGCCTTTCCAATGGCAACATTGGGCTTCTTCACCACAACATAGGATGCCTTCCCACCCTCCTGCTCGTAGAACTCCAACGAGGCCTTGGAGGCCGACTTCGCTCCATCTTCAATGACAGTAACGCTATCTTTAACCTTCCATTCGGCGGGAGGGTCAACGAGTACCACCCGCTCTACCGTCACACTAGCCATGGTCTTGAGGTACTCAGCGGTCTTGGGTCCCTTGATTCCAATGTCCTCTGACGACAACACCGACTCGCGGTAGTTGAAGCGGCGGTGAATGTAGGCGCCACGCTCGTAGTCGAATGTCTCGCCATCATCCACGTACAAGGTGCCTTCTGCCTCGCTGTTCTTGTCTAGCGTAATGACCAAGGTATACGGATCCCATCGCATAAGGCCGGTGCTGCGACGAGGACGGTCCTTGCGGGGGATAATGTGACCACCCTGGATCAACACAGGCACTTTCTCCTCTGGCGCAGGAACGGTGTGTTTCTTACCCGCGCCCTGGTAAACAGTGAAGTCGAAGTAGTCATAATACTTCTCGTCGTCGGCGATATACACCTCTGCACTGTGAGTGTTCTCATGCACAACGGGCTTCACGAGAATACCTGTGGATGCAAGGTACAGCTGATCGTCGATGGCGAATCCTTGCTCATCCTCGGGGAACATGTAGTACTGAGGCCGCACAATTGGCGTACCGTTGACGGAGGCTTCATGGAAGGCAGTGTACCAAGCAGGCATAAGTTGATATCTCAGGCGGATTGCCTGAGCGATGTACGACCGGTGCGGTTCGCTGATCAGATACGGCTCGCGACGACGAGTATCAATGTGAGCATGCGCGCGGAAGAATGGATACCAGATACCTGTCTGGTACCAGCGGGTTAAAAGGTCCTTATCAGGGTTGTGGAAGAATCCTCCGACATCTGCACCGGCAAAGGGGAAGCCTGCAATACCGTTGGTCAGGACCATGGGGATAGAAGCTCCCAGGTGGTCCCAGGTAGCCTGGTTATCCCCAGTCCACATAGCAGACACCCGCTGGGCCCCAGCGTAGTATGAGCGCGTCAAGATAAATGGCCGACGCACCTCACCCTTCTTGCGCTCTAGCATTGCTTTGTAGGTGGCGTTCAAAAGGGTGAGGCCATTAAGGTTGTGAATATCACGATGTTCCCAGTTCCCATGGTGCAAGTTGTCCTTGGGCATGGTCATGTCAGGCCCGTTGAAAACAGAGGGTTCATTCATGTCATTCCAGATGAAAAGATTCTGAAGCGATCCCTTGAATTTGTCAAACTTGTGCAGGGTGGCCCACCAGGCGTGTGCAGCGGGGTTAAAGCAGTCGACCCAGTTCGAGGAACCTGGCCAGCACCACCCATCGTATAGCTCGCCATCCTTGTTCAGCACAGCGAGATTTTTGCTTCGAAGTTCCTCGGAAACAAAGTACTTGTCCGTGTTCTTAATGTGGGGATCGATCAGAACCACAAGCTTTCGCTCAGTTTCATCGAGCTTGTGCTGCATACCCTTGGGATCAGGGAACGTGAGGGGGTCCCAGGTGAAGTATTTTCGGTCATCGGTATATTCAAGATCAAGCCAAATCACATCGTATGGAATCTGGTACTTGTCGAACTTGGCGTTGACTTCCTTGACATCCTCGTCTGTAACATAGTTCCAACGGCATTGGTGGTATCCAATGGCAAACTGCTGCGGCAATTGTGTATATCCTGTGAGTTCACCATATGTTTTACTAATATCATTCGGCGAGGGCCCGAGGAAGACAAACAGGTCAATCTGACCGGATTCGGACATCCAATGAGTCTGGGTGTCTGTCTTAGAGCGGGCACCCAAGGCAAGGGGGTTGGAGGGGGCGGTTGATTTGACGATATCGATCCAAGTTTCCGCTGCATTAAGCCAGAAGACACCGACGGTGGAGCTCTTGCGGTGGGCTTGCATCAACGGGATGGCTCCGTACAAGGTCATCGGGCTTTCGAGTTCATACTCGAAGACATCCGAGTTATACAGGCGATAAGGGTTCTCATGGTTGCCAGGTCCACCTCTAGTCTCCTTGAGCGAGAGGGAATCTGCATGCTCTGGGATACCGAATACATGACTATAACCGGGGAAGGTGATATCAAGAGCAACACTCTCTGGGCCACGTGGCTTTGAGTCAGTATTGCCTCCAAATGTCTCTTCCCACCAGGTGCTCTCGTCCTCGCCGGATTCGTCGTCTTTGTCTACCTTTGGTCGCCAGTGCTCCAAGTTCAAGAAGCCTTGGTGGTTCAATTGAACATGGGTCTCTCCGTCTCGCTGGAATTCGACACCAAATGGTGCGTGGCGAACGATTGCTTGGAATTTGTCGCCCGGTCCGTATAAAATGTTCGTGAATCCAGTTTCGCTTTGAGCATTCAGTGTGGCCGACTTGCTGACTTCCAGACCACCCACGATAGTCCATTTTTCAGTTTCATCATATCGCTTCTTGTTCGCTTGGCTGTCATGTCTAATTTCAATGTCGCCCTTCATCCGCTTCTCTTCATCCACAACAATGCGGGCGGCTCCCGATTCCAAGAAAGACACCGTGAGAGGTAGCCGGACCTTCTCATTGGTAGTTGTTGTTTTGACAATGACTCCATTAAGGATGCCATCTTTGAAATGTACGGTAGCGGGGTCAAGTTCGTAGGGTGAGCTCCATGAAGTGCCCTGGGAGGCGTTATCGGCGTAGGCACGGTTTCGTTTGCAGAACCCGGACTGCTCGCAAGTCTTGAAATCCTGGTGTTTAACCGCCACTGTTCGTACCATGAGAGTTAGCTTTCTGTTATCTCGCAATTTGGCGACAGACAGCCCTACAACTGGGGGCGACAATGCATCCGAGGAGGATAACCAAGGAGAGCAACATTGCCCAACGGGGCGCAGGTAGACTCCTGGCCATGGTGAAATAAATAGTATGATCAATCAGAGACCCTCAATCTCCGACAGAATGGCGTTGGCTATCAATGATTGACCTGCACCTAGAGGTGGAGATGCCGTCAACAGAAGCTACAAGCTGGCCTGAGCTGGGGTAAGACACCTCAGGCAACAAGGCAGCCATGATAGCTTCTAAACAGCCAATCAACTTGTTTTGCCTTTGAACCAATTGGTGTCCACGATATGAACTTCCTACTACTATTATATTGTACATCTACAAGTCCATAGATGAAAATATCTATTTGTGTTGCTTCAAGTCTCGATCTGGCTCTACCTCGGCCTCTACCATAACAACTAGCTGTTTGCACAGTATCTAGAGGTCAAAAGTCGAAAACAGCGATCCTCTCTAGCAACCACTGACCATTCAGAAGCTTGCAAGAGATTAGTCCACCCTTGGGGTAGCATTTAAGTGCCTCCAGTAAGAACTAACGGAAGCGTTTCAATTTTCCTTGCTAGATTTTAGCTCGCAGAGCTATATATATGTACCTAGGTGAGCAAGATAGTACCTCTCAGTAGTATAATGGGTACAATCTCCTTCCTCGGACCGCACCAAAGAATCAAATATCTCGGAGTTTGAAATATAGAGCCAGTGCCGGAGGTTAGGACCAGTGTGATAGTGCACATTGAGCTGCAGCTGAACTTCAAGGGAAACAGCTGGACACGGGCTAGATGTGAGGTATTATCCGATGCTAGAGACCTTGGTATGGTAGATGGAGTGCCCGGATTGGAATTAAATTATTATTTTCGAGTTAATAAATATTTTTATCATGGTAGTTGGATGAGCGTATGAAGCAAAAGCGTCTATACAACTTTCCAAGCTTTCAACGGCAAGGTCCACTCATTGCCTCAGAAATCTGGCATCAACACCCCTCCTTGCCCACCAATCAGCCCAAGTGGGAGGGCCCGAATTTTTTAAAAGCCTCTATTTAATCTTCCCCTCTTCCCGCTCTCTTTTCCTACTTCATCCCCGAATTATTCAAATACATTCAAGATGTCCGCCAACCAGGAACAGACGTATGTCAAGACTTGCCCTCAATCCCCCTTTTCTATTGCCATTACTCGTTGCCGGTCAAGCTAACCAATTGCTCTAGTTTCATTGCCATCAAGCCCGATGGTGTCCAGGTACGGACGCACGATACGATCCCTCCATAACGGATCTGGAGTATTTTACGGAATTGAACGACATTTACTGACTTCCAAACAGCGTGGACTCATTGGCCCCATCATCTCTCGCTTCGAGAACCGTGGCTTCAAGCTCGTTGCCATGAAGCTCACCTCCCCTAGCCAGGAGCACCTCGAGAAGCACTACGCTGACCTCGCCACCAAGCCCTTCTTCAAGGGTCTCGTCGCCTGTTAGTTGCCTCGCCCAAACCGTTCCGCAAATCATACACTAACACAGCTCTAGACATGCTGAGCGGCCCCATCTGCGCTATGGTCTGGGAGGGTAAGGACGCCGTCAAGACCGGCCGTGTCCTCCTCGGTGCCACCAACCCCTTGGCTTCCGCCCCCGGTACCATCCGTGGTGACTTCGCCATCGTAAGCAACCCCCTTGATATTCTATGGTCGCGTCCTTTCATACTAACAACTTCATTAGGATGTCGGCCGCAACGTCTGCCACGGTTCCGACTCCGTCGAGAACGCCAAGAAGGAGATTGCTCTCTGGTTCGGTGCCTCCGAGGTCCTCAAGTACACCTCCGCCCAGTCCGCTTGGGTTTACGAGTAAATTCCTCGTCTTTAAGTAGACTGGTCGGGCGGACTTCCTTTTCGGATACTTCTAGCATAGAATAAAGCAGCGGTTATGAGGAAGAAGTCCAATGGCTTGGAATAATACACAATATACAAATTCATATACTCTATGAATACGGTTCTCTCTGGTATCACAGTAATGCTCAACTAGCTCAACCTCTGCGGAAGAGCCGCCTTGCTAAGTTTGCTGTCGGTGTAAAGACCGACCTTGCAAACCACGGTGTCGCCCAAACACTCGCTGCCAATCGGGCTGGCAACAATGCTTTCGTGATTGCATAAGCCGTCGCAAATTCCAGCACCAATCGAACCCCTGCTTGATCCACTGTCTTCTCACCAGTGATTTCATGCTCGGCAACAGTATTCACGTCGGCCTCATCCACCCAACCTTTCTTTTTCAACCAACGGCCGAAACGCGCAACTCCTTCGTCGAAGGCATTGGTCTTGCCTGTCTGCGATGCAAGGTCCGGCATCCAGGCACCATAGTGAAATGCGCCAACCAACCCAAAGAGTGGAAGAATAGCGGTGATTTCGTGAAGTATTAGGAATGATGTGATATGTGTAACCGGCGCTCCAAGTAAGGGTGTAGTATATGTGCGGAGAAAGCGAGGGAGGCGATCGTTGAACCGGCGCAAGCGAGAGCGAGAGTCATTAGGGCTCGAATGTGACGACTTTGGTGGTTGTGGAGCAGAGGGAGTGGAAATGCTTCGTCGCGACGCATGCGGTCTAGTGTTTCGAGCTGTTTCGAGACGGAGATAGCGAAGAAAGTTGGGTGGTCTGGAAGCCATGTTTTCGTGGAGGAATTGGCTAACCAGCGGAGTTCAAACAGAGAGATTTTATATGTTCAAAAGAGAATTGTCCCCCGACAGCCAATATACTGGAAGGCAAAATAGTCAAGTTAAGCTCGTCGATCCCGATATAAGTTGGAAATCACCTCGGGACGATGATCTGGCTGAGTCATCTCTAGCGCTGCCACTTTTTTTTCTCTAGCTCTTCGGGATCAAGATATAGTCCCTCCTTGCATGGAAACAGTATTTAAGCCTTTAAATCCATCTGTAGTGTATTTGTCGTAGACCCTTATTGCGCGATGGCCACTCGGCAGCTGTAGATATGATCGTTCCCGGGCAGATGGTGACATATGGTCCACTTTTGCCCGAATCCTCTCTTCTTCATCCAACCCCTCCCATTGCCGACCCATACACCCAGAGGACGCAATGGAGAAGAAGATCACCGAGAAGATCGCGGCTCTGCCGCCAGATGCCAACTACTTTTCCTTGGAGTTCTTCCCTCCAAAGACCCGGATGGTGGGGGTTACCCCGCGTGCTGAACGCATCGTGAACATTTGCTAATGAGGCCTACTATAGGGTTTCGCCAACCTGTCCGCGCGTCTGGAGCGGATGGCTCAAGCACTCCGTCCCCTGTTCGTTACGGTTACTTGGGGCGCCGGTGGTAGCACTGCAGCACGATCGCTCGAGCTGGCAGAAGTATGCCAGCGCCAACTGCAGTTGACCACCGTCCTGCACCTGACATGTACGAACATGAGCCGCAAACTGGTGGATATGGCTCTAGACGAGGCCAAGGTTCTCGGAATTCGCAATATCCTGGCCCTGCGAGGAGACCCGCCCCGCAGCGAGGAATATAACATGCACGGAGAGGACGACAGCAACAAGGATTTCACTTTTGCCGTTGATCTCGTACGGTATATTCGCCAGACACATGGCGACTACTTCTGTGTTGGTGTTGCCGCATACCCGGAGGGCCATCCTGCCGACACGTTCCAAGACGTCCAGGATCCAGTCAGAGATATACCTTACCTGGTTGAGAAGACATTGGCTGGAGCAGATTTCATCATGACCCAGCTGACCTACGACATCGAAGCTTACCAGAAGTTCGAGAATATGCTTCGCAACCATGAGTCCGGTGCTTTCAAGACCATCCCCATCATTCCTGGCTTGATGCCCATCCACAGCTATAAGATTCTGACGCGGGTGACTAAGCTCAGCCATGTCACGATCCCACCTCCCATTGCCAGACGTATGGAAGAATTGAAGCACGATGACGACGCGGTCAAGCGTGCGGGTGTGGATATTGTTAGCGAGATTGTGGGTGGCATGAGAGACATTCCTAGCCCGGGGCCGCGAGGATTCCATTTCTACACCTTGAATTTGGAGAAGACAGTATCATTCATCCTGGAACAATGTGACTTGATTCCGGCATTCTCGGATGCAGGAGACCTTGCTATCGAGGATGATCCTGCGTCGATTCCACTCGATTTCCCTGGACGTGCGTTGCGAAGACGCCGTGCGTCTTCTATCAACTCGCAACCCCACAATCGCGTCATTGTGGATAAGCTATCTGCCCACGACTCATCACATGCCTCCGACCATGAAGCCCGTGCAGACAGCGCAGGAATGCCAGCACTCCCGCCAAACCGCAGCACCACTCTTCTCATCTCCGAGGGTCTTGGTGCTCTTGGCAGGGAAGCAACATGGGATGACTTCCCCAACGGACGATGGGGTGATGCTCGCTCGCCTGCCTTTGGTGAGATTGATGGCTATGGTCCCTCGCTTCATATGACTGCCAACTCCGCGCGTAGGCTATGGGGTCACCCGGTGGACGACAAGGACATGAGCACGCTTTTCCGGCGCCATGTCTCTGGCGAGCTACACATGGTTCCGTGGTCAGAGGGTGGTGCTGAAGAAGATGGTGAAGGATTGAATGCAGAGACTGAGCTGATTCGACCGGAGCTGTTGAAGCTCATTGATGGCCGCGGATGGTGGACACTTGCCTCGCAGCCCGCCGTGAACGGTGTACGCAATGACCACCCCATCTTCGGATGGGGTCCCCAACGAGAAGGGTTCGTCTTCCAGAAGCCATTTGTCGAGTTCTTCTGCTCGAACAGCGACTACACCAACATCCTGAAGCCAATATTTGCTAAGCACGGCCACGACAAGCTCACCTGGTTCGCGACAAACATCAAGGGCGATTTCGAATCATCGCTCCCAACCCAGCCTGCTGATATGGAGCTCGATGACCTTGGTGACAACCCCGACAGTGTCAACGCTGTTACCTGGGGTGTATTCCGCGGCAAGGAGATCGTCACCCCAACCATCATCGAGGAAGTGAGTTTCCGTGCTTGGGGCGAGGAGGCTTTCCGAATCTGGGACGAATGGCGTCGCATTTACCCCCGCGGTTCGCCCACTGAAACCTACCTGGACACAACCAAGAACAACGCTTGGCTTGTGTGTGTTGTCGGCCAGCAGTTCGGTGCCGGTACCAAGCGGGGCTCCAAGGAGGAGGAAGACGAGGTCAAGTGGATGTGGCGGGTTTTGGCGGGTGAGGATGTTTAAGACTGGGTCTTCAGATTGGGTCTTCTACAAATCGGGATAAAGAATATGCCCTGTATCAAGAAGGGTTCTTACGGTTGAAGGTTTAATGAGGGCAAGCCTGGACATATGAACTATGAATGGCACAAAATATGGATTTCTGTATACTAGTCTTGACCCCATCCCATTGAGATGAATATTACGATCATGCGTGTGCTCCTGCTTTTATATATGCTTTATGTTGGTTGATATATTTCATACGCCAATTGCTAAGCAAATGCTTCTATAAATACGCACCGTTTCTCATGCAAGCGTTTCCCAGAGGCGATCCTCACTGGCGCAGGCATAATCACAGCTTCTCGGCAAAACCGTGTTCCTCCAGTCCGCTCGCGTCGGTGTCCGGGGTAGCAATCTCGGACTGGGACTCGGTGAATTTCTGTATAGCATCCTCAAGCCCGCCCCATATTTTGGGCATGCGGCGGGGTTGGTTAGGCCCGTTGGCCGGGAGTTGGTATCCACGTAACCTGGGAAGATTGTTAGTTTTGCGACAAAATAACAAATTCGGAATTGACATACCTAGGACCTGCCCCACTACTCTCTGGCATCGATGAGGCGTAAACACGAGCAAACGTCTCAACGTCCTGATCAAAGGACCCACGTTGAATACTCTCCCGCACTCCGGCGAAGAAGGTATCCATGACGTGGAAATTATGGACTTGAAGGAGCGCCCAAGCGGTCATCTCTTTGGCAAGTAGGAGATGGTGGATATAAGCACGATGGTAATTCTTGCAGGCATAGCATTCACATCCCTCGCCCAGCGGAGATGTATCTGTAGCGTGGTCTCTAGTCCACAGATCGATGCCCAAAGGCAGAGGCTCGGACTTGCCCTCTTGTAGGGCAGCTGGAGCGGGGAAGACGAAGTCCATCGCGATACCGCCGTCTGACGATGCGCCTAGTAGAGGCGTAGTCAGAAGATCTGCTCCGAGGGATATGTCACGCAGAATAGTGTGCGGAGTCTCGGGCTCGCTGAAGAGTAAACGAGGAAGGTCTGCCAATGATTCTGGGACGAATCCTAGTGACGCAGACTGATATAGCGCAAGGCCGGAGATATCCCATCGGAACTCGCTCTCCAAATCATCCAGATAGAGGGACTGCTGCGCGTTATCGAGAGGCAACACCGGTGCAAAGAATGCGCTCTTTGACTTGTCTTCCTCTGCGACACCGTTCCCATAGAGCTGCTCCAATGCTTCTTGAGTCCAGGCATGTGTCCGATCAACCATTCTCGCCCGCCTCTTGGATCCGGGCTGCTTATTAGCCAGGTCCACCATACCAATTGCAATATCCGGTCTGAGCTTTTGAATCGACTTCACATAATCCGTCGCAGATAACTGGGTGAAGCCTACTGATGTCAGTAGCGCGATGGAAGTCGATGTGTTCGCGGGAGGACATGGGATCGGAGGGAATCGCCGCGGGCCCAAGATCAAAGGCATATCATCGGCCACACATATGAATTTCTTCAATGGCGATTCATGATTTGCGACGGGTGTCTTGTATACGGGGGCGTCCTTTTTCGCGATGACTTAATACATGCCATGGGGTGTCAGTTATGTCCAGAGCAGATTGAAAACCAATCATAGATATGTAGTATTCCGCTTACAATCTTCCAATCCAGCATACAAGCTGTTGATCTCAGTGTGGTCGCGCATCACATCGTGCGCAACATGTGGGACTGTGCCCCGCGAAGTGAGCGGGACATGGTGCGGCGTCGCGAGGGTCTTGCGGCCTGGAATGGCCAACCTGCCTACTCGGGGCGCAAGGACTGGAGCAGTGGATGACAGAACACTGAAGGTCATCGCTGGGGACGCGGACGTCGCTTGGTCCATGGCGTTAGTGGTTATTGGAAGACCGTGTTGGGGGCGCGGCCTGGATCTTGTTCTTATCGGCTAGGAGAAATTGGATTTCCCGATAAACATCGCCCTCACTATCTTCCTTCAGACATATTCGTTAGGCTGTTTTTCATATATTTAACCGGAACTGAGGATCTGATCTACAATTCTCATCACTTCTACAATCTAATCATACCCCAACACTTCGGTCAATTATGACAAGCACATCAGCGCCGCCAACGCGACGCGGAGCTCTCATTGTTGTCGAAGGACTCGACCGCGCTGGCAAATCGAGTCAGTGTGAGATGCTACGGGATTCGCTCTCGCGGCAAGGGCAAGAGGTTAAATACATCCGATTCCCAGGTACTTATTTGCTCGGATATTGTTAGTGCCATTGGTCTAATAATCTCTCTAGACAGAACGACGCCCATCGGGCAATTGATTGATAGCTATCTACGCGGCACATCGCACCAAGACGATCACTCCATTCACCTTCTTTTCTCGGCGAACCGGTGGGAAATTGCGAAGAGCATTGAAGAAGATATCACGAACGGAACAACGGTCATTGTAGACCGCTACTCATATTCTGGCGTTGTCTACTCCGCTGCGAAAGCGAACCCCACACTATCATTGGAGTGGGCATGGCAGCCAGAAATAGGCCTACCGCGCCCGGATATCTGCCTATTCCTTAGTATTTCGCCCGAGGAGGCAGCAAAGCGCGGTGGGTTCGGTGCTGAGCGATATGAAAATGAGGCCATGCAAACCCGTGTGCGGGAGCTTTTTCGGACGATCTTCGAGAAGCAGCAGGATGTTTCCATTATTGATGCGGGGAAATCGATCGATGAGGTGGCACAGGAGATACAGGATGCTGTAGCTGGTTGCATTGCGCGTATGGATGCGACGGGCGCATTGAGGAAATTGGAGCCTCTTGCAAATTAGTGAATAAGAAATAAGACAAGGCTTGGTTTTGCTTGGCTCTCATTCGATGAGTTCTGCGTCATCCCAGTCGCTGTCTTCAATCACTATCTCGAGTTTTGATGGAGGTTGATTCGAGCGGTTCTCCTGTCGGCCCTCGAAATCAGATTCGGATTCTATGTCGACTTCCTCGAACCAATTTGGCCCGAGGTCGTCTTGGCTCGGTTCTTCTGGCAGTGACTTTGGTTCAATGGAAAATGACCGAGGTCCTGAAGATGCCTCCATGGCGGCGGACTCTTTGCGAGCACGTTTCCCTTTCTTTCTTAGAATTGCGCGCGCTTCTTTCTCTGCCCTGTTGCGGAAGCTTAGCTCACGCATCATTGTCACCCACTCTATGGTATTCCCACACGACGGGCAGGTCCCTTGGGTGGGTACCAGGAGGTCTGGTTCGTTGGTCACGTCAAGGAATTTTGTAGAAAGACATAATAAATGACTCGTGCCGTGGCAATTCGGATGTGGACACACTACTATTTGTTCTTGGTCTGGGGAGATCGACGCTTTACAGGCCGTGCACTGTAGATCCTCTGGGTCTTCCAGCATGAACATTGACTTTTCGAGATGATCTTCAATCCTGGTGTAGTCAATTGATAGATTGTTAATGCTTCCAACGGGTGCGAGTTCATCGTCTTTTCTGACATCAGGCGCCGTTGCAAGGTTGGCTCCATCTAGAATAACCTTGATATTGTCGGGTAAGTGACCATCAACACGATCATTCCAGGCCCGCCATGCACGATAGACATCGGCACAAAAGAAACGAACTCGTAACGGCCACGAGGAGAAATAAGCCGAGCGAAGTAGGGAAAGCAAATCCTCCAAATGCGCCACTAGTGATCTCCTAGCCCGCGCCTTGGGTTTCGGTTTCGGCATTCCCGTCTTCGCATTGGCATTGGCCTTAGCTCGAGGTTTGGGGTCCAAATCATCTTCGGAATCAAGATGCCGGGATCTTTCCGGGTGTTGCCAAGCCCATCTACTCGAGATGAGAAATTGAGCGATGTATACAAACAATGCACATGCGACTTACTCGAATTGCAACGCGCCGACTCTGCTCGTGAAACCCTCTACAACAAGGGTCATTTCCCAGGGGCGTAATTTATCTCTGGCGGTTCGCTTGGCCCCACCTTTGGCGACACCATTATGTTGAGGGAGCCGTCTGATCGGGTTTGGCGTCGAGCCGATGTACAGTGAGGCGTGTCGAACGGATGAACGGAGGAGATAACAACAATAATATGCCGGGATTGGTTTGGGATTTTCAGACTCCATGGTGTTTGATTTGGAGAAGTTTTGCATGCTTTTTTTCACATTGATATGTTCAATTCAATGTTGTAGGCTTTGTCAAGTCCTTGAAATTAGCTCTGCCTATCGAATCCGTGCGGGTCCTTAAACGGTACCGTATCTATAGATACATGTGAATATACACCGGATCACATGATAAGTATTTTTTTCCCGCTCAAGGGGAAATATAATTTGAGTCTAGGGATATTAGAAAATCCATAGGAATTACTATGTGTACTCCGTAGTTAAGGGATATGTAAAGAATGACACAGGAAATCTCTATAAATATGCAAAAAAAAACAATAAAAAAAACAATAAAACAGTAAAACCCTATCTGATAAACATTTGAACATATCAGAAAAACAAATAAAATACATATTTAGATTGAAATCAAACGGTCTATACGGGGTACCCAGATAGTATCGCGCTAGAGACTATCCGAGGCTCATCTACTCCGTACTCCGTATGTCACAAGACTATATACTAGTACGGTGTAATATTGGGCTCCCATACAAAATAAAGGGACACCGTATGATGTTCCCCCGTTTGCAGCATTGCAGTATAATTACCAAACTTTCAAGTGGAACTCAGGGCATAAGCGGTACCTGAGCTCAGATTAAGTCATTATTACAGTATCTCCTGTACCGTACTGATCGGTACCATCGCGGCTGGGTTCGAGGTCCCCCAGGGTCACTCATTGGTTCCTTTTTTACTGGCTGGCCACACAAAAGGGACCTGGCGGTACTTCTGGAGTACCACCCCAGTCGATCTGTACTGCACATAATCTTCCTCCACTCTTAAGGTTTCTATCCCATCTATCCTTCTTTCCTCTCTACGATTTGGGCGTCTGTTTTCTTATATCGCCTTTCGCCCGACTTTTTCTTTCGTTTTTCCTTCTATCCTCTAGCCTTTGGTTTACCGATCCTTCACCATTCGGCCATATTGACAGGACGCCGGCAGCCGCCTTTCCTGATATCTACCATCACACCCTGCCTGTCGCATAACAGTCATTGTTAATCGGATTTCCCTCGGACCGACACGCTCAATCCAGCATATTTCCTAATCGTCTGTCCAATTTCGAACAATGGGAGCTCCGGCCTCTGCCGGGGCGACCTCGACGGCCGCGGAAGGCCAGCCGACTCGGTCCTCAAGCACTCATCCGTCGCACTCCCACAACGTGCCCCTGAGCGCTCGCAGGTCCACGCCTCTTGACTTGTCCACTGTGGAACGACGTGGACAACCGAACAACCCCAGAGAGCCATCTAAGCGCATCCGTCCTCATGGTATCCCAGAAGCCCCGACTTTTCGCCCAACGGAGGAAGAATTCAAAGATCCGGTGGCCTACATTCAGAAGATCGCCCCAGAGGGAAAAAAATATGGAATTTGCCGAGTGGTTCCACCAGAGGGCTGGCAACCGACTTTTGCAATCGATACAGAGGTAGGAATACTCCTTCATCGCTTCCCGCGCATGATCACACCTGACAATGGAAACAGCGATTTCACTTCAAGACTCGTCGACAAGAGCTCAATTCGGTCGAAGGAGGTAAGGACACGCGTTCAGCATATCAGGCTGCCCTAGCTGGTAGGATCACACCGCAGTGCGGTTCTAACCCTCATTCAAACATAGGAAACCGCGCGAACATGAACTATGTCGATGGACTTGCCATGTTTCACAAACAGCATGGTACTAACTACAGCCGACTACCCAGCGTGGACAAGCGACCCTTAGATCTCTACAAACTCAAAAAGGCAGTAGAGAGTCGTGGTGGGTTTGAATCCGTGTGCAAGACGAAAAAATGGGCAGAAATCGGTCGTGATCTTGGATACAGTGGCAAAATAATGTCTTCTTTGTCCACTTCGCTCAAGAACTCCTACCAGCGCTACTTGCAGCCATACGAGGAGTACTTGGCCCGGGCCAAGCCTGGTGTCCAACAACAGCTTGAGCTTGAGCATGGTGGTCCATACACCCCTTCGCCTCTACAATCCCCCTTGACTCACAAGCCCATGATGGACGAAAATGGCACGCCTTCTAAAGTCCGTGATGACACTCCTAGCTTGCCCCGAATGGCCGCCTCACATACCCCAATGGCGTTTACTCCTGTGGCACATACCCCGATGGCACATACCCCAATGGAAAAGTCCCCAGAGAAGCCAACGCCCCCCATCGAACCTACTCCTCCCCCTCCTTCACGCTCAGCGGCCGCAGGCTTTACTCCCGTCAACTCCGGACTCGGTGGCTTTACCGCTGTCAACCACTCCCCTTTCACCCCCGTGAACAATGGCCCACCAATCAAGCGGGAGGGAGAGAACGGCACGTTGACACCTAAGGTCCCCTCCGAGCATGCTTTCATTTCTACTCCTGTACACAGTCAAGATGATGAGTCTATGAAGCGTGCTATCAGCTACGAGGACAGTTCTCAATGCGAAAATGGCGATGACGATGATGGAAGCGGTCGACGCAGCAAGCGTCTCAAGAAAGGTACACCATTTTTTGCTCTCAATACTCGAAGCAAGTCTTGTCTAATCTTCCTTCTAGATTCCCTCCCAACAGTTGCGGGCTCTCATATGTCCCTTCTTCGCCCAGCGCCGGTCAAATCGCGCAAGGATGGCTCCCAGCCAGCTGGAGAGGTAGGCGAAGGTTCGTGTTAGCGTTTGATTCATACACTGATTCAGGAACAGAAGTGCGAGACGTGTGGCAAATCGGATGATCAAGGGATGATTCTTGTATGCGACGGTTGCGAGCTTGGATATCACAAAGCGTGTCTCGATCCATCCACTACCACACCATCGGAGCACGATTGGCACTGCCCCAAGTGTTTAGTCGGCACAGGGGAATTCGGATTTGAAGACGGCGGTGTTTACTCACTCAAACAGTTCCAAGAGAAGGCTAACGAGTTCAAGAAGAAGTACTTCGCTTCCAAAATGCCCTTTGACCCGGTTCTCAACACCCATCGGCGCGAAACCGAAGATGACGTGGAGGCTGAATTCTGGAAGCTTGTTGTTGATCTGCATGAGACCGTTGAAGTCGAGTACGGCGCAGACATCCATTCAACCACGCATGGAAGTGGATTCCCAACTATCGAGCGGAATCCCCTTGACCCATACTCTTCAGATCCTTGGAACCTGAACGTGCTTCCATTCTATGGAGACTCGCTCTTCCGTTACATCAAGTCCGATATCTCTGGCATGACCGTTCCCTGGGTCTATGTGGGCATGTGTTTCTCTACTTTCTGCTGGCATAATGAGGATCACTACGCTTATTCGGCAAATTACCAACATTTCGGTGCTACCAAGACCTGGTATGGAATTCCAGGTGCCGATGCAGCGGCCTTTGAGGCGGCCATGCGCGATGCAGTTCCGGAGCTTTTCGAAGGCCAGCCCGATCTTCTTTTCCAGCTTGTCACCCTGATGCCACCAGACAAGCTTCGCAAGGCCGGGGTCAACGTCTATGCGGTTGATCAGCGAGCTGGCCAATTTGTGCTCACGTTCCCACAAGCATACCATGCCGGCTTCAATCATGGCTTCAATTTCAACGAAGCAGTCAACTTCGCGCCTACAGACTGGGAGCCATACGGTGCAGCAGGTGTTGAACGTCTTCAGAACTTCCGCAGACACCCATGTTTCTCCCATGATGAATTGCTTCTTACCGCTGCTGCACGTGATACCTCTATTGCCACTGCCAAGTGGCTTGCGCCAGCACTAGCAAGAACCTGCGCTCGTGAACTGAGTGAGCGGGCTGCTTTCCTATACCGGCAAAAGGAAGTGTCTGCCCGTACCCCAGGCTTTGGTCCCGACTCCACGACAGACGATGCGCAGCCGAGATTCGTAGTTGTGAATGAAGACCTCCCCGAGGATGATTACCAATGCCAATATTGCAAGGCCTACGCTTACCTCACTCAGTTCCGTTGTCACAAATCAGGCAAAACGGTCTGTTTGTCGCATGTGGACACCTATGACTGTTGTGGCGAAACTTTTGCTCAGAAGTTGTGCGGCCCAGGACATACTCTCCGTTATCGCATGAGTGATGACGAATTACAGGGACTTGTGCAGAAAGTCCAAGAACGGGCCAGAATCCCTGAGGCATGGTCCGAAAAGCTCGACAAGACCCTGGAGGATGAACCGAAGCCCCAGCTTAAGGCCCTTCATAACTTGCTCAATGAAGGTGAGAAAATCCCATACCACTTGCCAGGCCTTCAAGATCTTGCGGCCTTCGTCCAGCGTTGCGATAAATGGGTTGAAGAAGCCAACTACTACATTACCCGGAAGCAGCAAAACCGGAGAAAAAACGAGAAGGCTTGGCGCAGAGGAAGCACCAAGGCGGCGCAGCTGGACGATCGTGATCGCGAAGTCCGCAGAATTGAACATATCTACGCCCTTCAGGCAGAGGCTGATAAACTTTCGTTCGACTGTCCACAGATGGCGGCGTTGGAAGAGAAAACCCGCGAAATCGAGAAATTCCAACAAGACATTAATAATGCCCTCATGCATCCGCACACCCGGCCTCTCCAGGAGATTGAAGAACTGATCGAACGCGGTAAAAACTTCAACGTGGAAGTCCCGGAACTGGAACACCTAGAGCAAGTCTCCCGTCAGATCAAATGGATTGAGCAAGCTGCGCGCAAACGAGACCAGTACATGACCCTTACCGATTGCCGGGAACTTGTCGCTGGTGGGGAGCAGCTTGGCCTCTCCGATACCAATGAACATTTGGTTCATTTCAAGGAGCTTGCTCGCCATGGTGATGCATGGGAAATGAAAGCCAAGGAATTAATGTCTGTTGAAGCCGTTCACTACCAGCAATTAGAAGCTCTCTCTGCGCAGGCGTCTCGTTTCCCAGTTTCACCCGATACCCTTGCAGCCGTCGATGCTATTTTGACCAAGCAGCGTGAGGCGCAGAAACGGATCCAAACTCTGTATGAAAAGAGCAAGGATGCGGAGATGAAGAATCGGCCCAAGTACAAGGACATCCGTGACCTCATGGAATCTCTTGAGCATTTAACGAGTCGACCCATCGGGGCGATCGACTTGGAACGTGAACAAAAACGCCACGAGGACTGGATGAGAAAAGGGAAAAAGCTATTCGGCAAGGCGAACGCTCCTCTTCATATTCTGAGATCCCATATGGAATATGTCGAGAAGCGAAACTCGTATTGCTTCGACCTAGAGGACAGTTACCGACCGCCTGTGGAGCCTTCATCTCGAGACAATTCGCCCGAAGGCTTGCTTGAGAATCCTGGCAATCCCAATAACATGTGGGGTCCAAAATCACGAAAGCGAGATGTGTTCTGTATTTGCAGGCACTCTGAAGCAGGAATGATGATTGAATGCGAAGTCTGTCACGAATGGTAAGCCAACAAACCTTCATCTTGTGGTTTAGTTTACTGACCTATGTAGGTACCATGGCAAATGTTTGAAGATCGCTCGGGGGAAACTGAAGGAATTTGACAAGTACACCTGCCCAATCTGTGATTGGCGTCAAAAGATTCCGCGCGATGCTGCTCGTCCCAAGCTCGAGGATCTGCAAGATTGGCACGCGGAGATCGCAACTTTGCCTTTCCAGCCCGAGGAAGAAGAGGTTCTCGAGAGTATCATTAATCAAGCGACAGCCTTCCGCGATTTCCTGCATGGCTTCACTAATGCTGCCTGCACAACGACCGAGGAAGTGCCTACCTTGATATTTTACCTCCGCAAAATCGAGGGCGCCGAAGTTCTTCTCACCTTTGAGACTAATTTCTTCCGGCAGGAGATACACAAATGGGCACCCGTCGCACCGGAACCCCCTCCAATTCTGGAGCAATCTCTATCAACACGAAAGCCGCGACCGACCAAACAACAAAAAATAATGGCTCAGCTTGGGGTGAACCGTCCAGAGGATCTTCCGGAGCATCTCCGCCCCAAACACATTGGCGTAACGAAACGGAAATCTGTTGATGCTCAACCGCAGTCGGTTTCCAGTCAACCTGCATCCATGCAACCAGTACCACCGACTTCTAGTACCGGACAACCTCCTAGCACAGGCCCAACATTGGCTCAGATGGCAGACCCGAACACTGCACCATATCCCTTCTCGGCGAACTATTCTTTGCCTGCGAGCGATTCCACACCCGCCTTTGCACCTACCTCCTCCTCAGCTTTCCTCCCCCACGCAGCCGCTTCTCAGTCCCCTTCGTTCCTGCCACGCTCTCCTCCCCAGCCAGATCTGGAACCCTCCCTTTTCAGCCCTCCGCGCTTTGGTCACGAACCTCAGTTTGCGAGCAGCAGCCCTCGTCAAAACCTGGATGACGTATTCGCAGACTTGACCAACCAAGAGATTGACCCTGAAGCTGAGAACCAGCCCATGGACAATACACATGCTAACGAGGCCCTGGAGGCGCTCGTGGTCAGCAACGGCAGTAGTCAATCAGCTTCTGTTCAAGGGGAATTGGTTCAAAATGGTGAACCTGGTGAACCGCAAGGTGAGCCCAAACTCGACAGCACCAACGGGGACCTTGAGGACGAGGAACTTTGACCGAGTCTCGCTTTTGCTTAATGAATCTTTTGCCTTTATTGAAAACTTGACCACCGTTTTTTCGGTCTTTGTTTAGTACCTTCTGATTGTTTTCTTGTGTCGTCTTTAGTCTTGTGTTTACTCGCCCCTCCTATTTTCTATTTGCTCGGATCAATTTTAAAAAAGGAAAGGTGTACAAGAGTCTGGACTGGCGAGTCTGGGGGTGTTTTCCAGCGATTCCACGCTTTTCTGTTTTTCCATACCACAAGACTATGTCTGTCATGACTGCTTTTCTTTGCTGCTACACCATGTAATACTAGTTGAATTCAGCCATTCTTATTATTTCCGACTATAAACTTCAATGTTTTATATGACATCCGCATAAGCTCCTAGAGCAGCCTGTCCACCTGTATGAATGAACAACACATTCACCTGCTTCAAGGGTTTATCAGAACCCGCAACTTCTCCCTCGTTCACCCAATGCATCATGCCTCTTGCAACCTTGGCTGTATAAACCGGATCTAGCACCATACCCTCCGTCCGCGCCATAGTTTCTAGAGCCTGTTTACTCTCGCCATCAAGAACACCGTATGCAGTCCCAACGAACCGATCATCAAGCCTCACATCCTCAACTCCAATATCCCGCTCCCCATCAAGCCCAATCAACTCGCCCGCCCTCCGCGCAAAAGCAAGCACTCGCTCCTCATGATACTCCCGTGGTTTAGTCGGCGAATTAAGAATCCCAACAACTTTCCTCGTCTCCCCAATCGTCTTCGACACATCCAACCCCCTAACCTTCTCCAGCAGCTTGAACCCTGCCACCAACCCACCAACCGTACTCCCACTTCCACACGCAACAAAGATGTAATCAAACCTCCCCGAACCGCCAAGTCCCAATTCCTCCTCCTGCGCAGCAATCTCAAACGACGCCCGCGCATACCCCAGCCCACCAAGCGGGTGCAAGCTTGCGCCACCAGGGATCCAATACGGGTTCCGCCCTGCCTCTCTCAACTCATCCAGCAGAGGCGTTGCATCCCGCGCTAGCGGGTCACCATCTTCACAGACGCGAACCTCCGCACCGAGAAGGTGATTGATTTGCACGTTTCCGCTGCGTTGGAACGCTTCCTTATCGCTGGCTGCTGCGAGCCCGCCGCCTGTGCCGCGGTGTAGCAGGATCAGGGCTTGTAGTCCTAGTTTACGTGCGAGAGCAACAACTTGCACGGTGTGGTTGCTTTGAATTGCGCCCTCCGTTACAAGGGTTGTTGCTGCGCCTTGTAGCGGGCCTGGGGGTGTTGGGTTGTTCTCATGGCTGTGATAGAGGGGTGTTTGGGAGAGGATATCTGGGACTATGTATTCTAGTTTGCGATATTTGTTTCCTGCGCAGGCTAGTGGGGAGGAATGGTCTTCTCGTTTCGCGTGGATGGTGATGAGGGGATGGTGCGGGGAGACTCTTGGCGGTGAAATTGAGGCTAAAGGGTGAATGGGAGATGGATTAGAGTATAGAATCTTATAGCGGGGGATTTGGGCGAATGTTTCAGGTAGTAGTGGGATAGACATTGTTCTATGCATGGCTTTTGGTGTGATCAAGTTGGGATGTCGCGATGGTGCATTTATATTAGAGGCCTCATTTGTAAGGCCTTCATTCAAATGATGTGTCAGCAATTGAATGACGTCGATCTGCCTGTGGGCACATGGAGCTTGGCTGCGAATTGATTCACCAAACATGACTCTCCTCCAATTTTTACGACAAGCTCGCCAAGTACATATCAAATTCCTCTCAGGTGCACTGCCTGAGCCTCCAATCTATGTAATCGGCAATCCATCCGCCGACCTTGACTCCATCGTCTCGGCCATCATCTACTCCTACTGCGCGAACAACAGGCTGCCGGTCAAAACCCCAAGACCCCATATCCCGCTCTTAAACCTGCCCAATTTCCCCGCTGGGACAGAGCTGTATCGCCTAAGACCGGAATTCTCAGCTGCACTATGGTCATCAACCAATTTCCCCGCGCTGAAGAGTGAAGAGCAATTCGAGAACACCCTACAGTCCGCAGGGAACTTCCTATGCGAGCATGTTATGACAGTCGCGGACTTTGCACAGTCCCTCCAAGACCAACATGTCTGGAAGCAGATACTCACCGATGCAACGCTGGTAGACTGGAACGCCTTCCCGCGCCATTCAAAGACCGATAAAGGCTCAGGATCTCTGACCGGGCTACCGGGTGTCACCTTCCGGACTGTTGGATGTATCGACCACCACGTGGATGAGAACTCCATGCCAAGCATCGACGAACTGCCACAAGGTCAACCAATGATTATTCAGCCAGGACCTGGGTCATGTGTATCGCTCATCACGCGCGAGTTGCAACAACGGAAACTCTTCGATGCGAGCCCGGAGATGGTGCAGGTTGCGAAACTTGCTCTTTCGGCCGTGCTGATTGATACATCGAACCTCACTGCGGAAGGCAAAGTGACCGATGTAGATCGTATGGCTGTTGAATTCCTGCGATCTCAAATTGAAGGGGAATCACAAGGCGATTGGGAGCTGGAGACGTTCTACAAAAGCATTCTTTATGCTAAGCAGAATAGTCTTGATCTTCTTACGATGGATGAAGTGTTGGGTCGTGATTACAAGGAATGGATTGAAACGTCACAGTCCTCTGGGAAGACTGTGAAAATGGGCTTTTGTTCTGCTGTCAAGCCCATGCGATGGATTATACAGAAGGCGGGTAGTCCGGGGAAATTTCTTGATGCTGTGCGGTCGTTTGCGAGTTCCGCTGAAAAAGACTTGGATGTGCTTGTTGTTATGACCGCGTTCACAGGCACCAACAACAAATTTTGTCGTGAGCTGTTCATCAGTGTTATGCGTGACAATGAATCGGCTGTTAAGGGTGTTAAGAGGTTTGTTGAGCACTGCTCTGACCATCTTGGGCTCATAGAATGGTCTCCGCTCGATGGGGAGGATATCCCCGAGCTAACGGCACAGTGTCTTTCTGTACTGAACGCGGAATCACCCCCCTGGAGGAAACTGTGGGTGCAGACCAATGCGGCTGGGAGTAGGAAGCAGGTTGCGCCGTTGTTGCGGGCAGGGGTAGCCAAATTATAAATAAAATCTGTAGAAGAATTATATTGAGGTGCCAGATGCCTATATACAGGTTCCACCTTGTAATGCTCTATCACTACACATAGCTTTTGAGGTTACTCTATAATCACCCATGCGGATTTGAACTTCCCAAACTCCAATTGATTCACTCTCTAACACCGAAATTCAGATCTCTGGAATAGAACCTGCACAAAATGCAATATATGCAATGCTCCAAGCTAACCTCATGCAAATGCCAGCATACCAGGAGGACAACATGACAAAAAAAGGATGTGCAACCCGCAATAAGGGAAAATGAAATATGAAAAGAGAAAAGAAAACAGAAAGCCACCACCCCTCCTGAATCTGGTGTCAGAAGGCTTTAAGATAAAACGCCCGTGATATGTAAAAAAAAAAGTTCAAACACATTCCCACTCGCAAAATACACACCAGCGCGCAGCTCGATCAGCTAGCACAAGACCGCGCCACATCCCACGCTCACCGATCTTGATAACAGTCTCCCAAACACTGCCCTCAGCGACAGCATCGGTGACAGATTCGGTGCCCGTATCAGTGCCAATCATATGCTCGGCTTTACGGGTGAGACGAAGGATCTTGCCGGACGGGGACTGGATGGCTAATTTCGCAGCCTTGTCCCGTCCAGAAGCGGATCTAGTCGACGAAATGGCCGACGTCGACGCTGAGAACTCGTTCGAGGCGCCGGATACAGTCGAGCCGCCCGCTGTGCTGGAAACCATGCTCAACGCACTGGACGGACGAGTGAAGACAGATGAAGGCGAGCCGCGGCCATTGGAGGCTTCGTCCTTGGCGGATGCGGGAGCAGCAGGGTGTTGTCGGACAGCGAAAACGAAGGTATTGTTGACCGCGAGGCGAGAGCATTGCGGCTGCATGATGTACAAGTCGTGTCGCTGGGCATGGGGTGTAGGATGGCGCAACACAAAGTCGTAAGATGGATTCTCTCCGGTGTGGAGAATTGGGAGGGCTAAGGCTAAGGGATGGGGGATGTCTCGGCTTGAGTGCATCAGGCCCTTCTTGCCTGCATAGACCTTCAACACAGCTTGTCCTTCATCGCCTGGTAGCACAGCCTTGATTGTGATGCGTTTTTGGCCTCTGATCCAATCCGGCTGGACCAGGGCGCGCTTGCGCACGATGTCTCCGCTTTCGAAAACGTCGCCATCTGCGTCGCGGGCGAATCCTGGGGCTTCGACTTCCGCGGCAAATTCGACGTCTGCAGGAACTACCATGCGTAGTTGCATGACCTCCAATCCGTCGATACGGATAAGACTTGTGTCATAATCCGGTAGCTGGACGTTAAGTTTGAAGAATGGTGGACACACGGTGGGCAGAGCGAGCAGAACATCTGGTGAAATTGGCGGACAGATGTGCTGTTCTTCGGGATACAGCGGCACATGAGTGTAGCAGAGATCAAGCGGACGCGTAAGGAAGTACCAGCTCTCTGCTATGGACGAGTTGTTTGACACGAATTTACTACGTTCAGGATTCGTGGGGTTTGCAAGTGCGCAATCCATAAAGCGCCATTCGCCATCGACCAGAACGGAGTTCCACCAGTGATTGGGATGGGAGAGGCTTTCCAGATCAAGGACGTCACCGGGGCTCTTGAGGAATCCCCGGATGATTTCTGTATGCAGGCCAACGGCTGCGCACATGTCGTGCACTAACAGTGCAATTTCCTCCGGGGTGCCTCGTTTGGCCTGCAGAAGTCTCTTCATGTCAACTTCGAGGCCGTCAACAGGTTCCTCCCACGATATTTTCTCGCTGACCCAGGTGAAGATGGCCCGAAGACGTTGAACGTCACTCTTGTAGGGTCGACAGATATAGGCTTGCGCAAGGCTCATGGGATTCGTCATTGGAGGTAGACTGCTAATGAAGCGTGCACTCTTATCAACGAGTGTAAGATTGGCCGCGTTGAAATTCGTTGGCTCGGTGATCGGTTGCCCATCGATGCTTTCATCGCCCTCCGCGGTATCGTATAGCTCTTCCACGGAGTAGATAACAGGGTGATCCATCATCTGGCATCGTTCTGCCCTGTCGATCCTCTCGTTTCGACTAGGAGACGACGCCCGGTTAACATCTCGGCGCACCTGAACCCAGTCAATAGTGCCACTTCCGAGTCCCAATTCACGACCACTATCGCGATTCGAGTGAGATGTAAGAGCCGGTGATACAACGTCTATTCCTCTGTTGCTCTTGGTTGGGGAATTTGCTCTCTCGCTATGACCAACCGAAATGCTACTCCGTGCGCTGGCTGCGCCAGTCTTGGCTGTCTCAAATATCTTTTTGAAAAACCCTTGCTTTTTGCTCTTTGGGGTAGTGAGACCGCCAAAAACCCCGCTATGATCCGTCGCGTCGAGACCGGTGGACGACCACGGAATAGCCGATGATGCGCCCTGACGAGACGAGTTATGACTGGAGTGATATGAAACACCAGTAAATGGCGTCTCCGGGCGTACGTCACTGAACCCTCGGGAGCGGACAGTGTCCATAGCAGTATTCGGCCTGTCATGCCCGCCTCTCCTGGCAAAGCTCCCTGCACTCGTAGCACTAAATCCACCCGCAGAGAAACCACTCATAACGCTTTGGCTGGTCTTGTCTGTGCTGGTCGTCATGGATGTGCCATTGCTTTGCACTCCACTGGAGGAATTGGTAGCACTAGACTTATTGGTAAATGACCGGTTAAGAATATCACCCCGGAGATCATGGCCAGAACGCCGTGCCTTGAGGGGAGCATATTGTCCAGGTATAGAATTATTTCGCGGGTGGTAGGTGGCGTGTTTTGGTGGAGGGGGAGGAGGCGCGTTGTCATCGTCCTGGTCGGCTCTTCGATCCTCGGACGGTCTATTCTGTTTTTCCAACTGACGTAAGCGGCTCTCCATCCTTTGCACATAATTGTTCAGCTGAGGCGGACCATCCATCTGTTCATGGCTATAAACGCTGTTGCGATGGACGAGTCCCTGTGGTTGCTCTTTGTCTCCATGAAAGCCTGTCGAGGTCAAAGCCCGGCGTCTGTTACCTTGAGGAGTCCTTTCTTGAGACGTGTCAAATTCTTCGGGGGCCCAGGGATTGTTGAATATGGGGGACGGAGAAGGCGACTGGTCTTGGCGACCCATGTCTTCCAATGAAGTCATAACATCCTCCATAGCATCTCGGAGTGGGGACGGTGTATTTCCATGAATATCTGACTGTGCTGAGGTCGCAGAAATAGCGGAGTGCGTTGAGGCCGCAGACGGAGATGGGGTTCGGTCGAATATCGCGTAACGATCATTCATAACTAATGGCGTGGGGGATCGTGACGGGGGCGGGTAGTGCGATGGCGGTTGAGGAGAGTGTGCACGATGCTGGGACGAGTGCATTGGTGGTAGTGGCGAATGGCTTCGTGGTTGAGAATGCATTGGCGGCTGGGGAGAGCGGGATTCCGTACGACCGATGACGACTCGGTGTGGCGGCGGCGGAGGAGGAGGGGGTGAGTCTTCCCGCTCTTCAATCATTTGCACCGGAGATGGCTCGCGAGACGGGACCCGATATGATGACAGACTGCTTTGTAAAACGAGCGCAGATGGATGTTCCTGCATTGGTAATGGCGATGGAGCCCGGTAGGAGGACATACTTCCATGTGGCATGGGTGCAGGTGGATGATCCTGCATGTACAATGGGGAGGGCCCACGTGAAGGATCCCGGTACATACTACCATGTGAAACCATTGTAGAATGCTCCCGCATTGGCAGTGGAGATGGCGCCCGGTAAGATGGGATACGCCCGTGTGGGACCATTGCAGATGAATGATCTTGCATGGGTAATGGCGAGGGAGCTCGGTAGGAGGACATACTTCCGTGTGGCATCGTTGGGGGTGGATGATCCTCCATATACATTGGAGAAGGCTCACGCGATGATGCTTGATAGGATGAGGTACTCCCATTGGGAATGGTAGGGGGCGGGTATTCTTGCATTTGTAATGGAGAAGGCTCACGCGATGAGCCCCGGTAAGATGGAACACTGTCATGTGGCATATTCGGGGGCGGATAATCCTGCATCTGCAACGGAGATGGCTCACGAGATGAAGCCCGATAAGATGACATACTGCCTTGTGGAACCATGCCAGACGAATTCTCGCGTATTGGCAAAGGGGACGGATTGCGGGACAGAGGTCGTGTAGATGACACGCTGCCCTTCGTCGTCATAGCATATGAACGTTCCTGTGTTTGTAATGGAGATTGCTCGCGGGATGAAGGCCGAGAGGATGAGACGCTCCCCCTCGGCACCATCGATGGCGACCGGTCAGGCTCCACGGACGAGCGAGGAGAAATACCGCGTGACGAAGGCCGCGACGAGGTTGATTGGGGTCGAGATACCGAGCCTTGGTTCTTGACTGCTGTCGCATGCGTCCGCAATGGCTTCGTACTTCGTGGAAGGCCACCATCCCGAGGTGGTGGCTGGGGAATCGCAGGTGCGGCTGGACTAGATTGGGTTGCGCGCCGAGCGACGGAAGCTGGCGATACGGCTTCCTTATGCGCCTGGAAGGGTTTCCGCCAAACGGTCTTCTGTTTCTTCGGTGCTGATGTGGGGTTGTTGATTGGAGAAGATCCCGCTAGTACCATTGGACTAGTAGTATCACGGCTCACTGGCACAAAGTCCTCACTCAGAAGCTCGACAAAATTTGACGGGAACAGTCCAACCGCGCGCCTGTCACGGCGCAACCGACCCATCCACCATTGTCCGTCGCCTGCATTCAAGCATTCGATCAAGTCACCCTCCACGAATCCCAGATCTCGTGTAGTCTCTCCGCCCCAGGAATATACTGCTCGACACCAGCATGGAAATCGCGCAGGGAGCTGAGCCATAGTTGTCACTTAAACACGGTTTCGTCGAGCGCAACACACGGGATCAATCCAATACGTTATTTTGATACCTGGCGCACTTCTGACAAATCCACGTCCAGATGAAGGTAGAAAAAAAGTGTATCAATCGACGAGGTTGTGTTGTTGACTCGAACCCGATACAACACAGCTTGGTCAGATGGGGGACGAGATCCGCACGGCCGCAGGGATAGCAACGAGTGCTCAATCAATCCGCATTGTTGGGAGAATAAGGCGGTTTCAATTGGGTGTTCGAAATAAAAAGGATTGGCAAATAGAGATTGAACTGCATAAAATGAGACCAACAAACTGGTTGTAAATGCGTGGGGGGGGGAGGCTGAGCGGTTCAGATCGGTGAGGCCTAAGACGACACTTGGGGCGTAAACCGGGACTGGGGTTGTTTGTTTGTGGCCCGATCGGGACTAGCGGCGGAGGGCTGCCTTATCGATAAGCTTAAAGCACATTATATAATATCTCTTGTTCACCGAGTCGTAAGAAAGCATGATCGTTATGCCTCTTGGAAGGTCATCTGCCTGTATATGTGCATGTGAATGTCTTAAAACAAGCCTTGTACAGTTGTAGTCGTCTATCCCCCTGCATATGCTTATTGATTGCAACTATAAAAAAGTCGGATCCGCAGCCGATCCATGGTTCGATATCGAAACAACCCTGGTACTCGCGACAACAGAGGGTCCATGGCGAACTAGAAATATCTCTATTTTCATTTTGGTTGAGATTATCACCACTATATTCACATTTATGACTGCTTTGCAAGGTTGAGAGATACTCGCGAATAGTTGAAGATAGACATTCGGGACTAATGACTAACGTATACCTTATAGTTAGATGAAGATTTGTAATTGATTTGAGTCTGGAACAAAGAAGTCTAAACAAGCTAGCAGAGAGACTAAACATAACATCTAAGTAGAACAAAAATATTGATGACTTGGATGTCCGGCAAACGGATGACCTCGAGATATATATAGGCCCTGTAGTATTTATTTATTTCCTGTCTTTATTCCCGTTTATTATTTTTTTGGCCGTAGGATTACAGATAAAATCATGTAGTAACACTTTTTCAACTTGAATAGCCTTATAGCTGAACGCGTTCCAAAGAACTTTTGCGTGAGCCCTATTATCCATGCATTATTATTGTTTCACGACTACTCCACCAAGCCCCTCGAACCCACAGACAACCAGCTAGCATTCCTCGACCAGACAACATCAGAATTGTTTCACCAAGTTATGTGAGCTCATTTGCATGATGCTTAAAGTCCGTGTTACCAGTATCTTACAGTTCGCATACTTTCATGAACTGATCTTGGCTCGATGAGACATCCTGGATGTGCAACTTTGATTATTCAGAGAACTGGATCAAAGAAGGAGCTAATTGGCAAGCAATATGAGTTATGCGAGTAGTCACAGTACACTAATTAATGATCTGGAAAATTGGATAACTAGCTAATGCCATCTCATCCTCAAACTGCTGGATCGGGAAATTGCCACATTCTCGTTGTGGCTATGGAATCTCCAGCCACGCGCAAACAGTTTACTTTTCTGGATCGCCAGCCCCTTACATGAACTTGGGACATTACCAAGAAGCTCAATAATCAGGTCTTTAGGACACTGTTCGATTAAATCTCCGAGCAGTCTGTCAGCCCGAGTGAAACGGAAAGTAATTTGCAACCAAAACTATCCCAGCCATCTCAACATTCCCCGGTGAGCATTGATACTGTTCATCATTGCTAAACTAAACAAATTTGATAAACACAAGTCTGCCTCAATAACCCGTCTAAAATGAAAACATGTTTGCAGCCATCGACCTATGCGGCCAGCCCTAGCTAGGAGCATAGGGATAATACTGTCATAATAGTCATAATGTAAGCCATGCAAACACCTCCTTGGTCTACATAACTAAGCCTTACTGTTACCAGTTTGATAAGCAACAATCACCTATTCCTTCACCCTCGAGGTCATTGGACCAAATACAAAGCTATATCTATTCCATTGATATAACATGGAACAATAGGCTTATCACAATGGCACCTTTAAAGGCCCTTGCAGCGCCTGCTGCCACTGGGCTTGTGCAGCTAGCCTGGGCTAAATAAGTCTGGACCTGACTCAGAAAAGGGGTGCGCCCGAGCTGAATCCTCCATGGTCTGACAGTGTGCCTGGTCTTACTCCAAGGGCTATCCAGCCAGGACATAGCTGGAAATACCTTTGGAGCGAAACTCAGTACGGCACATACTGGTATCATGCCCATGCTCGGGCTGACATGTCTGTTGGTCTCTATGTGCCCATTTGGATCAAGTAAGATATTTGCTTTCTGGTTTCGCTCAATATACAAAAGCCAACCCACGCAGTCCTGATCCGGATGTGCCCCAGCCTTTCCATCTTATCTCGAACAATAAGCAGGACATTAAAGCAATACAGAAAGCGGAGAAGAACACTCAACTTGTTATACTTTCTGATAGGGACCACTTGGCCTCTTCTGAGTACCAAAAAGCAATGGAAGACAGCCGTGTGGACATTACATAAGTTGGGACATTGTTCAGATTTTTATAAGAAGGTGCTAACAACATCCAGCTGTTCTGACAGTATTCTTATCAACGGCCGCGGAGCGGTCTATCGCCCAGAAGCCAAAAAGATCTCCAGTGTGGAACTTCCTTATCTGGCGACTTTACTGACAATAAGCCACTGACTGACAAGGGGTAGGATGTTATCTAGCGTTAAACCAGAACTTCCACGAGACCCAGGGTAACTTCCTTTCAACCTATGAGATCAAGATTCCAGCTGGAATGAACTCCGGCTGTATTCCTAACACTGGTTTGCAGGAGACTATTCAAGTTGATCCTAATGCGGCTGGGTCAGTCTTAAATTCACTAGTGCGGCGTCTATCAAGGCTCTCTTGTTTCTACTGATGAGTACCCGAAGTATATCTATGAGATTGATGGAAGCTACATTGAGCCACAGCGTGTTGAGAATGTTAACATATGCAGCGGCGAGCGCTATGCCTCGATGATCAATCTCGACAAGGCTTGGAAGGAGTACACTATTCGAGCTCCAGATACCCAAGCCGATCAGGTCATTTCTGGGTTTGCTACGATGAAATACCAAGGTTCTCAGGACACCTCTGTGTCTCAGCCCTACATGGACTACAGTGGAAGAAAAACATCCGCCTCTGCCCATGGCTTGGATAACAAGGGCATCAAGAATTACCCTGCTGTCACTATCCCCAAGTCCGCTGATCAACTTGTCAACCCCACCATTGGCAGTTTTGGAATGCTTCAGGAAGTGGCTTGTAGGACATGATGGCGAACTGGGATGACTCGTCTCTATGACATCAACGCAAAGAACAACTTCGAGCCACAGGTGACCATCCAAACCAAGAACGGGACTTGGGTCAATTTGTTGCTGCAGCTGGGTGAGATACCGAACAGCCCTGCCACCTAGGCCGCTCATGTGATGCAAAAGCGCTCCAACAAGGATTTCATTCTCGCTTTTGGCCCTGTCCTCTTCAAGCGATCCAGCACCGAAGAAGCTTACGCTGAGCGCCCTGAACTCTTCCAACTGGAGAACCTCTGAAGGAGAGATACTTTCGTCATTCTTAGCCCGAAAGGACCAACATGGATGATTGTGCAGTGTCAGGTTGTCAACCCCGCTTCCTCTTCTATCCATATTTATAATCACAGGCCAATGTAATGGCTGTTGCTCCACTCGATGGTATTGATGCATGGCCTCGGATACCACTCATTTTAATTTATTTGTTCATATTATTTCCCTTGTTTTTCGTAAAATACAGTCCGTTTGCATTCGACTCTCGTGGGAGCTCGGTCCGAATGACCCGGGTCCACTTGATCGATCCATTGCTCGAACAAAAGCTAGGTTGCCATGGGGCGATCGGCCGATGAGCCACGTGTGCTGCAGATTGTTCATTTCAAATTCCCAATTGAGTGACTGATATCAAGGCAACTGTTCATTCTTTTAAAAAATCACATTCCACTTAAACAGGGAAATCGGCTTTGGATATTTTACCGTACAAATGCGAATGAAGTCTCCCAGGCTGCTACCATCTCAAACGAGACTTAAAAACAAGTTATTATAAGTAAATAATAACTTCTTACTCGGAAAACATGTTTTGAAGCTGGAGTCATGACGTATGGAAAATATATGGACAACACTGATGATGTCTCCAGGCTATCTAGACCTTACTGACCTTACTGACCTTATTGAATTTGCAAGATATCTGCAGATAATTTTCATAACTGGTTTATTGCTTTCGAATACTGTACTCTACATTGTTATGCATTACTTGAAAACAACTGGCTTAGAAAATTGGGAGGTTGGGCTATGTAGGGCAAATCGAGTCATGTGATAAATGGATACAATTGCACTGCAACCTTCCGAATGCGGCCACATCATCTCTTTTGCAACTCCATTGTAATTTTTCTAGAACGAGTCCATTGTCTATGACCCAACTGGGTTCGGGCAGTTTTCTCACGGATAGCTCGGCTGAAATATCCCTTTCAAATCTTAATTTCTTGAGTCATTGCTAGTTTTATCCGCAAACAGCACTCAGACATCTGTAAACTATCATCGGTTTTTTGGTAAGCTTAGTGATTCAAATCTATGATTAAGAATTCAATCGAATTATCCAGGGAATAGAGCCTTCAGTTCGGTCCAGCCCATCCTAGTCCAGACTCTGCACCAAACAGACATCGAGCTTTTGGAGACATTATGGAATCTACCGCCGTAACCGTGCTATGGGTTCATTTTAGGACGTAAATACCAGAACTACGAAAACAATGGATCTTCGCCGAATACTGCAGCATAAGCCGGGATCATACATTTCTTATGAATTTCGGCCAAAGTACAATGCCATAATCCTGATTCCTGAGAAAGCATCTGAGACCCAGACTCCCGCATTTCCCCTTTCGATACAGCCAAGAAAATAGAACGTAGTCTGTGGCAATCTGGAGGTGACCCACTATATGGAGAGTCCTCCGTCACCTCCTCTATAAAGTAGGATATCCGTCAATTTGCGGTGCACCTAACTATTTTCTTCTTTCCCCATATATCTCTGAACAAATTCTTTGTCATTAGGGAGATTATGGAAGGCCCCAGTCAGGTGTATCTCTTCGGAGACCAGACTGCGGATTTCGACTCGGGTCTTCGCCGCCTGCTGCATGCAAAGAATGATTCGCTTGTGGTGGCATTCTTCCAAAAGACTTACTATGCACTGCGCAAGGAAATTACTTCGCTTCCGCCATCTGAGCGCCAGGTATTCCCAAGATTTACTAGTATAGTTGATCTTCTCGCGAGGTTCAAAGAGTCAGGCCCAAACCCAGCTCTCGAGAGCGCGTTGACGACAATCTACCAACTTGGATGTTTCATCCAGTAAGCATATTTCCCAACCATTGATAGAGAGACAATGATTGGAATCAAATTTGCTGACCAAGTCCGATAGCTACTACGGTGATTTGGGCCATGCCTATCCATCAGGTGATGATAACTGCATCATTGGACTTTGCACAGGTCAGCTCGCATCTGCGGCCGTGAGCTCTTCGAAAACTGTCGGGGAGCTCATTCCGGCTGCCATTGAGACCGTGGTTGTTTCCCTGAGACTCGGAATGTGCGTTATGAAAGTACAAGAGCTCATCGAATCAAGCAAATCGGCAACATCAAGCTGGTCTGTATTAATTCATGGCATCCGCGAGCCCGAGGCTCAGGAATTGATTCAGCAGTACGCGAAGAAAAATGTAAGTCTCTTCCCAACATTATCTACAAAATATGATGATTTTTAACATTTTCAAGGCTTTACCCCGCGTTTCCCAGCCTTATATCAGCGCAGTCAGCGCTAATGGACTCACACTCAGTGGTCCTCCGACCTTCCTGGGCCGCTTCATTGAGGACAGTCTCTCGAAGGAGCACAAGCCTATAAGAGTTCCGATCCACGGCCCTTATCATGCTTCGCATCTGTATGATGACAAGGATATTAACCGAATCTTGGAATCTTGGCCTACCGAACAGTTCATGACTTATGTGCCGCAGATCCCTGTGCTGTCAACTAAGACAGGCAAGAACTTCCAAGCTGACAGCCTTGAAGAGCTTTTGAGATTCTCTCTCCAAGAGATTCTGCAAGGACAGCTCCGTTGGGACAAAGTCATTGAATCTTGCCAGTCAGCTTTGCAATCCGCCACAACATGCACTCTGTTCCCGGTTTCCAGCAATGCAACCCAGAGTCTATTCAACTCATTGAAAAAGGCTGGAGTATCCAATCTCGAGATTGACAGCGCAATTGGTGACCTCCAAAACGATTCCGAGGGAAACAACCGCACCGGTCGTGCCGAGCAGTCCAAGATTGCAATCATTGGTCTTTCCGGAAGATTCCCAGAGGCACCTGACACCGAAGCATTCTGGGATCTTTTGAAAAAAGGACTGGATGTCCACCGCGAGGTCCCTCCCGAGCGATGGGATGTCAAGGCTCATGTCGACTCGGAGGGAAAGATAAGAAACACCAGCCAAGTTGAATATGGATGCTGGTATAAGGACGCCGGAATGTTTGACCCTCGGTTCTTCAATATGTCTCCCCGTGAAGCGCTTCAAGCAGATCCTGCTCAGCGTCTGGCCCTTCTTACTGCTTACGAGGCTTTGGAGATGGCAGGCTTCATCCCTGATAGCACTCCCTCTACGCAGAAGAACCGCGTGGGTGTCTTCTATGGAATGACCAGTGATGACTATCGTGAGGTCAACAGTGGACAGGATATTGATACCTACTTCATCCCAGGTGGTAATCGTGCTTTTACTCCTGGTCGCATCAATTACTACTTCAAGTTCAGCGGTCCTAGTGTCAGCGTGGATACAGCTTGCTCCTCCAGTCTTGCGGCAATTCATGTCGCCTGTAATTCCTTGTGGAGAAACGAAAGTGATTCTGCCGTGGCTGGTGGTGTTAATATCCTGACAAATCCCGACAACCATGCTGGTCTCGACCGTGGACATTTCCTATCAAGGACTGGAAACTGCACCACCTTTGACGATGGGGCTGATGGCTATTGCAGAGCAGATGGAATTGGCTCCATTGTCTTGAAGAGACTCGAGGATGCTCAGGCCGACAACGATCCGATTTACGGTATCATCGGAGGAGCCTACACCAACCACTCAGCTGAGGCTGTGTCAATTACTCGGCCTCATGTAGGAGCACAATCCTTTATCTTCGACAAGCTTCTCAACGAGTCCAACAGCGATCCCAAAGAAGTCAGTTATATCGAAATGCACGGAACCGGCACCCAGGCAGGTGATGCGGTGGAGATGCAGTCGGTTCTCGATGTCTTCGCTCCTGACTACCGTCGTGGACCAAGTCAATCCCTTCACCTCGGTTCGGCAAAGTCAAACGTTGGCCACGGGGAATCCGCCTCTGGTGTCACAGCTCTGATCAAGGTTTTGATGATGATGCAGAAGAACATGATCCCCCCTCATTGTGGAATTAAGACCAAGATCAACCACAACTTCCCGACAGACTTCCCTCAGCGCAATGTGCACATTGCGCTTGAGCCTACACCCTGGAACAGGCCAGATGGTGGTAAGCGGAAGACTTTCGTCAACAATTTCTCGGCTGCCGGTGGCAACACTGCTCTGATGGTTGAAGACGGGCCCCTCAACGGGGATACCGTGGAAGACCCCCGGACTGCTTATCCTGTGGTTGTCTCTGCTCGGTCTCAGTCTGCGCTGAAGAACAATATCTCTGCTCTAGTGCAGTACATCGACACAAACAAGAACTTGTTCAATGTCAACGAAACTAGTCTCCTTGCCGATCTGTCTTACACAACCACGGCGAGACGAATTCATCATCCCTTCCGAGTCGCTGTTACTGGATCAACTCTGGATGAAGTGAGGAGTGCATTGGCTCCTATCGTCAACCGAGACAGCATCAGCCCGGCTCCTGCCAATCCACCTGGCATCGGCTTCATCTTTACCGGACAGGGTGCTCAGTACGCAGGCATGGGACGTGGACTGTTTGAGAATTGTTCTCAATTCCGTGCCCACATTGAGCACTTGGATTGTATCGGGCAGAGCCAGGGTTTCCCATCTATTGTGCCCCTGATTGATGGTAGTGTCCCAATCGAAGAGCATAGCCCGGTTGTTACCCAGCTCGGAACTACCTGTGTGCAGATGGCATTGACCAAGTACTGGACGTCTTTGGGTGTCACCCCTAACTTTGTTATGGGCCATAGCCTCGGCGAGTTTGCCGCGCTCAATGCTGCTGGTGTGTTGACAACCAGTGACACCATCTACATCGCCGGGCGGAGAGCCCAACTTCTCACCGAGCATATCAAGGTCGGAACACACGCGATGCTTGCTGTCAAGTCTTCAGTATCACAGATCAAGCAATTCCTTGATGACGCTACCGAGGTGGCTTGTATCAATGCACCTAGCGAGACTGTTATCAGTGGTACAAGTGAGAGGATTGACGAGCTTTCACAACTTCTTACCAACGAAGGTTTCAAGGCCACCAAGCTGAATGTACCTTTCGCTTTCCATTCAGCTCAGGTTGAGCCTATTCTTGAGAGCCTGGCTGAGATTGGCAA